AAACTTCGACGAAGTCACGTCTTTAATAAAAAAGTAAGGGATCGTTCAGTGTTCACATATTACGTAATCACTGACGGGGGGAGGGGTTTAAATTATTTAATGCTAGTGTAATTTTAACACAATAGCTATGTGTAAAACTGATCACGGAGGAGGAAGGGGGGCTAAAAATTGGCTGAAAGTGATTAAATACTTTAATAACATGTGAACGACCGTTTACTTTCTTAATGCTTAAGGACCTGACTTAACATTTTCCAATACAACAGTGTTAAAAATAAATGCAGTTGAACAATTACGCGTACGAATTGTACAAATCGGAGTGTTGTCAGATGAATCTTAAAGGTGGGTAGTCGTGATTCGGAAACTCAAATTCGGCGATACATGAAATATGTACTTGTAGTCAGGGCCGGCCGGGAAATACAAAGTTCTGGGCCGATACTGCGGTTAAGGCAATCTTGACCATCTTGAGGGCGACATGTTTAATTCTTGGTGGATCTGGATTTTATTTTGTCGGAAGACAAAAGATCTATGTTAGTGGATAGCCAATTATTTGCGTGACCGATGCAGGTGATTTGAGCTCGCAATGACTTCGAGCGTAGAATTTACTCGTAGTTGTAGTATCAGCATGTCAATAATGACAAAAACGATGCCGAATGTCGATTACGGTAATAATGACAATGGCACCAATGAATAATGATGCCAATGGTGCTAATCATGTTAACATATTATATATTGGTCACACCTAATATATAACACCTTAATTCCTTTTTTATAATTGCGATATGATGGATTTGGTCGTCTTTCAACGTTGCTATGTCACATTTGCACAACTGAATGGTGGCAATATTAATAATGAGTTCCACAATCCATTTGCACTGCTGAGTGATATTATTGTCTCCAACGGTGATTCCATGATTGTTTTCCTCATTTGCGTTCGCCACTTTCAACTTTATTGGATCAGCCATAAAATAAAATTGAAACAAACGACACTTACTGTGTTCCCTATATGGCGAAAGAGTTATCTCTGGATAATCTAAACATGTGTATGAATAATGATTTTAATGTGGAAATGATCCGGGTAAGCCACTAAAGAAGCGAATTGGTGTGCCCAAATCTGATGCGATACTGAATACTGATGGGTGTTGAATATCTCAACACCCATTATTGTCAATTTCAAGCCTGGGCAAGCCATATCGACGTTAGATTCACTTATGAATTCATGGCAATAAATTCTTTACTGGACGGTGCTCTGTCATTCCACCAAATCATTATTTAGGCCAGGTAATTATATATTTAATGTTTATGAACATTAATATTATAGCCTGGGGTCCCCAGGTAATAAATTTTATTACATGCACGACTAATTTCATTCAATTTAAAAGAGGAAGAAATCCAAATTGAAAGTCGCCATTCGTTCCACAGAAAAAATCGGCCGAACGAGAAAATATTCCGGGTGCGATATTAATTTCCAACGCGGAAAAATTACATCATGACCAAGAATTAATGATTAAATAATTGCTGCTGGAATGATAAGTCGTAGGTAAAGAAGCAGATTAATTAAAGTTAAACTACACTTACAGTGCTACTGCTGGTGGCCTATGGCCAAGTTTTCTAACATTACCGTAATATTATGACAGAAAATTAACCCTCGTCACCATACCCCCACAAATATAAGGAATAATTGTTAAATCAGAGTTGAGGCCGGGGCAAAAGCTAAGCTCCACACCGCTAGTTGATTGTAGTATGGACAAATAGCTTTTAAGAGGGCACATAACACATAACAGATTGCGAGGTATAAACTTGCTTGCAACAACTCCATATTTAGAAACTTGTGAGATAATTAAGTATTCATGATAATTCGAGGAAATTTATAGCTATAAAGCTATAATTATAAAAGCTCGGACAGTATTTTTATCTTTATAACAGTTAAAGTTAAACAAGCTACAAGGGGCCTAAATATTATTGGTTAGCGCATCATGATTTCATGATGTTCGATTCCATGACCAATAAAGCAATAAAGCAATAAGCAATAAGCATTATAAGTTCCATGGTTTTATCGGCATGACGGTATTATTACCACAATATAACATTGCGATGGTGATGGGTTTAGTTTATTATTTGTCATTGCATGCCACCACACACCAGCCATCGCAAATTAACAACCTGTCAGCTGAAAAGTGAAACATAATATTTATAAGTTTGACGTCGGGATCGTTCATATATATTACAACTAATGTAGGGACCGTTCATATATAGATATATATTACGACGGACCGATCGAGATATTTTGGGATCTGATCATGCCGGGTGAATGTTCAGGAAAAATCATAAATTTGCTGAAATCAAACCAGAGGCCAGAGATGTCAAAACTTTTCAGAAAAATAAAATTGCACATTGTATAACTGATAACTATTGAAAATTTGAAGGATGAGGGGGGTCGGGGGCGGGGTCAGGCTCTAGGCCTTTATTGCGTCATATTTCTGACAGGAGGGGGATGGTTTGGTCTTTACGGTTGATTACGGAGGGAGAGGTGTTAAAAATTGCCAAAAAATTGATTACGTACTAGGTAAACGACCCCTTTGCCCTTGGCCTTACTAATAATAATATCAAATATGTGAAACTCAAAGAGGATCAACTCTGAACTCTTGCTTTTAGGAAATAGTCCAGTTCAAGATCTTCAAAAATTACAATTATACTTAAAGTAACCTAAATTAAATATGGGTTTCGAAAAGGAAAACGTACGCGTATAACTTTTGTATCTGAAATGTCAGAGAAGTTCAAAGCATTACTTTCAAATTAATTGTTTACTGTTTCAAAATTGTGCAACACATTTTCCAATATCAGATCTCGATCGCAACAATGAACAATTAACAAAATTGAAAATGCTACGGCAGAAAATGTTATACAAGATCATGTATTTAATCTTGCCATTTACTTCAGTCTCCAGCTTTACTCAGTTTAGTACTTATGCTTCCGAAAATAACTGGGATCTTTGACGTTGAACTACCAAAGTACTTTACCTATAATGGCATGGCATTTGAAAGCAGCAATTTTGCAGATTTAAATTTAATTTTAACTTCATGACCTCCTAAATTTTTGTCTCATATATCTGCTCATTTAATTAAAATCAAGTTACTTTTCGAGAGAATAACTGCTTCTAATCCTAAAGGACCATTACTAGAATCTCGAAATCTGGATGCTGGGCCGGAGGTTAACTGACTAAAACCCAAAATTTCTGTCACGTACATAAACAAATATGTACAAGTAGTCCACCTCTAATTGTCCAGATGTAGATAGCCGTGCACATCCAACGGTTTCGAGTGAAGGTAGGGTGCCACAAACGGGGATATTGGTGATAATTGAAGGTGACTGGTTATATTTGTCCATTAAGGTAATATTTTAGTATTTTCGTATTTTGTTGATTATAAAACTTATTACTTTACGTAAAAGCTATAATTATATCGGTAATCTAAATTCGAGACCCAAAAGTGAACTGCTCGATCTAGGAGTAGGAATTAAATAATTAAGTTACCCTAAATTAATTCCAAAATATTCAGCAAATCATGATTTGATTAATCATATACGTCAGGACAATTTTATCAAAATAAAAATGGGAAAAGTTGTAAAGTAGCTGGTGACTGAAGACACCAACGAGTGTACCCCAAAAATAAAAATCATTCGACAATTTCCGTTACTTCAATGTTATCAATAATAAAATTGATAATACAATTTCAGTACAAAATATTTACCGATCATAAGCCAGAGACTGCTCATTGGCAACCTTAACATTGTATAACAGCTACCTGCAAACTGGAGTCCACAAATGCGACGTGATAGAGTTTCATTCTTTTATTACTGTGTCTATTTTTCGAGACAGTATAGGTATGAAGAAATTAAATTATCAAATATATGACCATCTCGAGTTTTGTGTTTAATTGTTGACTTAATTCAAAAATCAAAGAACTGAAGGTATGATAACTCTTACAACATATATTAACAAAAGGCTACAGGGAAACAGATTCCCAATTTTGGGGCCCGGTCAAAGCATATTATTTCGCGACAGCTTATGAGTAGTATTTATTACAGCTGGTCTGGTCTACATCACATATCGGTGTTGCACTTGCAGGAACAATTGGTGGCACTCTCATGTGGTGGGGAGGGGAGAGAGGGGGGGAGGGGAGAGAGGGGGGGAGGTGGGGAGGAGGTAGGGAGGTGGGGAGGGGAGGAGGTGGGGAGGGGGGAGGTGGGGAGGGGGGTGAACCATATAATATGTGACACGTGACAGCGATAAACCAATCCCAGCATTGACAGATATAATCAAAACCCAGAATCACTGTCATGTGTAAAAAACATGGCTCAACTCTCCACCGGTATCCAGATATATTAATTCTACAAAAAAGCGATGGTTAGTACACATGAAAGTGGGTAAATTATTTGTTATAATAAACTCAAGCCACCTCAGGTAGTTTATTTGCCAGCTCGCAGCAGGTCAACGAAGCAGCCAGCAACAATGTAATATTATATATATATATATATAATATATATGTGTACAACTTTGTATCTATAGAACACTACGATATCTGTGCAACCTTTGAAAAGATAACCACAAGATATATGATAAGATTGGTAGACCGATCTGATAAGATGAGGCCTATATAGTATATAAGCCTCGTAGTATGTGTAGTTAAGTTATTGAAACTCTCTTTTTATAACTAATAAATAAATGAGTAAAACAATCTCAGGGGTTGGTAAGCACGAGGTCTGATCGACACTGTGCAGATTGTAGGCTTTTATTAGAGCATTAGCATCGACGCAATGATGCCGCTTTAAATGTCAAGATCAAGCAAGTTAAGTGATTAATGGAGGAGTGATCTGATCAAATTAACTGTTGGGTGGTTGGTGTAAAAGATAGTCTGTATCGTGAATATAGACACTGGGGAGATCAAATTAAAATGCTCAACTTAGTTTATAAAGTCTGCTTTAAGAGTAAATAAAACGAAACATTTATACAACAAAATCTTTCTTGGTAGGAAAACATATTTACAGTTTTATACAACTATTAGTACAACAAAGTGGACAAAACGATAATCAATAATGTTACAAGGCACGTGCGTTACCACAGTGCCGGGAGACAAGGTACGCACGGGCCACGGGGGCACGGTTACTACTATCACAGTTTGTGTGCTCTCCATCTCAGTCGTTTAATAATATATAAATTAATGGCTCTAAAAGTTTTAACGGGAAATAGCTCTAAAAAGGTCTCTCTTTGTCGAGGTAAATTGTTTACAGTCACCACTGATTTTAATTATTCCAATTCCGGAGAACTGGAAATTAAGGTAAACGTGGTATAACATTTACATGGCACAGTGTGACGTCACGTAACATTGAGTGATGTCACGTTGCAAAGTGTGACGTTACGTGACAGCATACCACGTGAATAACTCCTACATAAGGAAATATCTCAGAAGAAGGTAGGAGTAGATCGCCAATCGGAGGACAGTAGCGGTGTGTTACGAGCTCCTGAAAATCACAGAATTGTCATTTTAAATATCGGTAATTTTACTGCTTTACAGCTGCACGTCAATTAGATTTGGCAGATTTTATTGGCACATTCTGAGTGGACTCCCACCAGGTTTCTCATTGAGGACAGTTCAAGTCAAATAACTTTTTATTTTTACCACCCGCTATCATGAAGTCCCTTCTTAGTAACCGCATGTCTGGTGTCACCAGCTGTCATTCGCCATAATTACTTCTAAAGAAATGCAGTTCCCACAAGCAAGATCACTCACAGAGTATTTAGCTGCTGTCGAAGGCTGTCAAATTGTAAATAGGAGCTTACCTTCGTCAAACTATTAATATCAAACAGAAGATTAAAGTAGCATGATCTGCCCTCACAATTTTGTTAAGATAAGGATATGAGTTAAGATGCTTCACTTTACAAAACGAAGGTTTAGAAAGAATCGCTGAACTCTAACGGAAATCCCACCCTCCGACACCCGTCTCAATTATAATAGTTTGAGAATTTACTAATTAAATAGCATGCACCTCTTACGTCTAGCCAAATGAGAACTAAAGAGTTTAGTAACGCTCAACTTCACAGTTCACAGACACCACATTTCTGCTATTTACCATGGTTACCATGGTTAAACTCACGCGAATTTTAGGATTTAAGAAATTACTTTGAAGGCACTCCGAGGTATGTTCACTGCAAAAGTGGATGAAATTAAATCGCAGTGGCTATGGAAATGAGTGAGTACAATTTGCATCATATCAGGCGTCAAAATTTAAATGGTACAGGGATCCTAAACGAAACGATTTGTGGATGCGATTAAATAGCCTCCCTTTTAGTATTGTCGCAAAAATTACATTTGAGCACATTTGACCTTATCACGGTTGAACGCTGCTGAAAATCGCCTTGTGTTAAAACATTAAGTTAAAAAACTGCCCAAACAACCGTTTAAACAACGGTTTAAGTTATGAATAGTTTCACAGTGCCATAGCCAGACAACCTCCAACTCCATTCACTACAAGCGCTTTAAATATGGTATTATTGCGACCATTTCACCAAAATAAAAGTTCATCCTCTGATTGCAGGTGCAGTGAGACGCAGTGAGAGCGGGGTCGACTAATCAAGCTCATTCTAAACGTGAGCAACCGAGAGCAAATATTAGACCTGTTTAGGCTGGAAGATAGGTGCGGTTAGCGCTAACCTCCCTCCCTCGTCCCGGTATTTCAACTGTCAAGGTGAGTGCTACTAAAAAAAACTGATTCGGCAAAAAGATTTCCGGGGAGCCTTTTCTGTAGCTCACACAGCTGAGATTCACGTTGAAGAGTAAAACATCAGCATGATAAGCAACATGATAAGGGTTATAAGAGAATGATTGAGTGATATTTACCTGAACTTGTGCTGTTCACAAAACTGCTGATATCGATTATCTTTATGTGCTGAGGGAGTCGAGTGAGCCGACCACTCTTGGAGCGTTCGTCGTATTCCTGAGAGTTAAATGTTGCAATTGAATCTATTGAAGACAGTTAGAGGGAAGAAAGTAAGAATTGCAGGAGGAGGTTGTGAAATATCAAATTGATAAAAATTAAAAAAGGATGGATAGAGAATTATTATCATGATACGAACCTGCATCGGAAGGACAGTAGCAAGCACTGGTAGTCTGAACACCTCAGTTTCCATGGTGATGATAATATCCAATGCGACGTGACCAATCTCAGTTACCTCAGGAGCTTGGATACAAACATCGAACTTTACAGATATTCCTGCCGCCACCTACGGGAGTAACGCATGTTATAGCTTTATAATTATATCAGTTTCCTCGCAAATTTCTTTTAGCTGTTTGGACAAAAGACGCTTGAGAATAGATTGAGAGAAAAATAAAGATTTTTGTCACAATTATCAAATAATCGATTAGACCATAAATCGTCGCCAAAATATCAAACCAGACCTATATCGTATTAAGTAGTTAAGACAGAACTGCCCGTCAGAACATTCTTTAACAAACGATAAAAATTTACTAGATACCGCAAATTCTTCTTGGACGATAAACTCACAAAATTGGTTTCAGAATGAAGGCAGACTGAGACACCCTCAATATTCTTAGGACACTTTATCTGGAACCGGCAACTATCGATACCAATATTCTTGAGAGTCACGGTGGTAGCGTACATTCCTCCGGGACAGAGTACTCCGAAAGAGACTTCGGGTGGGTAAACCTGGATCAGACCATCTTAATTCCTTATTCTTTGAACCAAAAACGAACTTTTGTTGATTAATTCATGGACAAAAATAGTTGATGGTTTTATAAAAAGTTGAATAAGTTCTTTGTGACTTGGAAAAAAATATATGTATATTTATATTTACTTTACTGGTTAAGTAATTTTTTGCTGGGAGTTGCTACAAGTGATTTTAAAAGCTATTAACCTGGAACCCTCTCATGTCGCTGATATGTTTCCTCCTCCCGGCAGCTAGAACACTGGACGTCTTTACTCCTCGTCTTACTGGTTCTTCCTGCTGTAGAAACCGTTCGTTTGGCTCAACTCCAGGTTTGTAACCTTTTATTGATCGTGGAATTACGACTTTACCCTTCCGCGCGTCTCCCTTCACATCCACGTGCAAACTCTTCACTGTTCCTAAGGATCAGTGCTATTTTGTTAAAACGCATCAACCCATGGTAATAACATTGAAAACAGGATATCGGATCAACATTCAGCAGTACTAACAGTTAGAGGGTCTGTACGATTTACTATGGTGCTTTTATTTATTTGAGCCAGTCAAATACTCAGTTTATTGTAGCTTTCTTGTTAGAATGTGGCCTACAATAATTGTAGGCCACATTCTAACAAATAGGATGACAGCAACACAATTGAAGTAATTGAAGGCATGCATTTACCAGATGTAGGTTGGGAAGTTTGTCGGGAGGAAAGTAGATCATGTACTGGTGTTTCTATCTCGTCGTGTACCGGTGATAGCTGAATTGTGATTAAATAGTCATTTCTAGAGAGACATTGCTCAATAGTAGTTATCTGGTAATTTATATTTGAGAATGTAATCGTTAAATACTGTTATGAGACACACTATTAAGTTTAATATAGTAGGTTTATTATAATATAACCAACGTTGCGGTTAGCTTTTGGAGAAGGTCCGTCACTGCAAGGAGACGATTGTTTGGGGGAACACTTTGGAATATCCCCTTCCACCCCCGTGGCTACGTTTGGCGTTGGATTTCCTGAAATCTCAGACATTACATAAGTTATTGTGACATACCATGACTGTCATAATGTTGAACTGTTGCGAAGGTGACAGGAATATTTCGAGACTGGTAGGTGGTTAACTAGTTTTAATTTCAGGTCCAAATCATAAAGTAGGGGTATTTGACTTAAACAGAATCCTGCTGCACGATTATCATGGTTACCTGCCGCACGGTTACCTGGTCTAGGTGTGGGAATTGCTCCGGCTTGAGTAAGACTGATAGCTGATCCAGCGTTCTCTTCACCGTCTATCAGGATCATGGACGTGGACAAACTCTCTCCTTTACCTCCTGAGATTAGTTACAAGATTTGAGGAAGGAGGCAGATATATATAATACATATATTAATATATAATATGTGTCTATGTATTTATAATATATATTCGTAGTTCCAAAGAAGGCTGGCCCTTTTATCAGCGAAGAAAGGACGGACATTTTTAATTTCATACATTTATTCGGAGAGACAAGTTCAAGAGATATTTATTGCAAACCATTTTCAAGGGATTTGTCAGAGGGAGTTCCCTGTACTGGTGACGGTACATTCTCCGACAGACCCTTCATATCAGGACCTAGTGGGAAATCAGAAGATTACGTCAGGTCGGACTAGTGGACATTGGAATGGTAATTGTTCCATTTCGGAAAAAATCCAAGGAAATATAAAAATCAATTAAACATTTCGAAACATCCACCGAAACCGAGTTTTGTCTGTTTTTAATTTACCTTCTCTCAGGCTGCTGAGGAAACTTTGGCCAAATTTGCTATCAAAATAAGGCGGCACCCTAAAGTTTCTAATATCACTCTTCAGAATGTTGACCTCCATTTTCTCCACCATTATCTGGTCCCACTTTGCTTGAGGAATGATGCCTATGGGAACTAAGTGTTTCAGTGCTTATCACCGTTAGATAGAGAGTTGTTCCATGAGAAAGATCATCATATTTTTATGACAGGAAAAAAAGGTTATATGAGATATAAAAAGGTTATATGAGAGTAGGTAAAATATATCGCTCTAAAACCATTACTATCATTCATATAGTAATTGATAACGTTATCTGAGTTAACTTATCTAAGTTACAATCTTATCTGAATTATCCAACAAACCTTTCTTCAACTTCATCTTCATCTTGAAAGGATTATTGGAAACAGCGGTACTGTATTTTCTGGTTACAACTTCCACAGTGTTCCGTTTTTTTTCCAACCGGTCCATAGCACTTGGAAGATGCTCATCTTCCGTTTCCGAACTGTCATCTTCCTCCAAGAGATCCTGGTTAAGGGGTTCTGTCACGTGGCTTAAACTTACTTGATAATAATGAATTTCAGTCAAAATTCAGCCCTATTCTCCGAGTCTACACCAGCACGCTGTTAGATTAAATCAGTTATAATACCAGATTGATGAATTTTCACTCCGTCCTTTTTAGTCAGTCAAACTGATTATCTTACGGCAAAATTTACGTGCATTCACATATAAGTACACACGTCGAGTTTTTACCGTGAGTCTGTCGAAAAATTACATGCGTTAAATTATTTAAAAGGATAGAACATCATTTAGTGTACAAGGCAGAGAAAGAAAATAAAAGGCGTTGTTTAACTTTTTTACGGTAAAAAACTTCGGTGTTAAAACCTGTATCGAGCTGTGAGTTTCTCCCATACTTTACCTTTCAATGCAATATTAATCTATTTTGCTCAAAAAATGCTACAAGCTAAAACTACACTGAATAAACGAATACAATGTAAGGCTTAATCTGCTTCCGGTACTGCATGCAGGTAAACTGAACATGCGTGTTGAAAGATCTTTGGTGATGATACACACATTGTTCATGAAAGTTCAGATAAACCAATCAGCTGCCAGCAATGTGGTCTACTATAAGTGAAGCTGATGATCTACCCTTGCTTGTCCAAGCATGCATGTATCGTCGCCTCAAATGATTATTGCATCTAAAGGATATAGTCAGTCTGCTTGATTTACCTCATCAAAACTGTCATAACTTGCGTACTGATAAGAGAGGGAAGATAAGAAATATATGAACTGTTGATGGAAATCAGGCGAAAGAAAATTAGGCGGGAAAAATGTTGTGGCTAAAGGATTTTACTAAGCGCGAGTTGAATAAAATTCAATAAAGCAATATTAAGTTCTAAATGAAGACTCTAGTAAATACTAACTATAGAGTATAAGTGTGTAATTTAATGGCTATAATTGGCTATTTTAATAGACTAAGCTACACTGTCTCGGCAAAATTTTCAGACTTCCGACTATATTGATATAATATGTTGAAGTTAAAGATTGTAGTACAGCCACGAAAAGCTAGTCGTTAAAAGCTCGAAATTGCAATATAGAATTACGTTAAAAGCTCTGAACATAGAGGCCAGCTTTTCGCGGCCGCAGTATAAAAGAATACGTTCACTGCACGGAGGCTATATACCTGCTTGCTTTCACTGCGCCACAAACGGTGTACCTATGGTTTGTTGTTTGTATGCTTTGTGTATTATTTGTATGGATATTTGATCAGTTCACTGGTCATTTATTTATAGCTGATAGAGTTATTGAATTGATGATTAGATTAATTTTAGAGATTAATTGGAGATAAAAATGTACCCAAGATTTATCCAAGAACTCCTCAATTTGAAATACAGAAGTAGGAATACTTGTTGGATAGTGAATTGATACAGAAAATAATCTAAGTTGAATCGATATTTATATCTAGAAATGTTCTCTTACATTCTGTGGTGTCCGAGGCTTGGAAGCAGATCTGCCGACTCTGATTGCCATCTTCTCTGCATTGTCTTTCTCCAGCTCCGTTCTGCATTATAAACTTGTCTAAGATATCGAAACCAGTAATTTGATTATTATAAAATAATGAAACGTACAATTGAATCCAACGATATTAAACGCGACGAAAAGTTCCAATGCTCAATCTGGTCAAACTCAATGTCTACTATCAGACATCAGTAGGAGAAGCGAGGTAATTTGTGAGAACTTACCTTTCGTCCGGTACAGAAGCTTTACTAGAGTTTAGCTCCCGCTCGATAAGCCACTGCGTGTGAGCTTTTATGCCATTTAACACCAACTCTCGGTGGTAATCATTGAGTGGGGTTTCCTCGATCACCTGATACATTGTTACTTTAACTGATACAAATTCTGGAAACGTTATTCACAGATTTGTTTCCAGGAACATATCACAGATCAAGTTGCACACAAATTCAATAAATACCTTAAAATTGGTTGAAGTGACGTAAGCGTAGTGCTTACACTCCCCACTCTTCTAATATATACCTGGTTATAATGAATAGCTGGAGGTAGTTCAGGTTCGGTCGTGACCGGTGATGAAACCCTCTTTTCCCATCCTCCGATTATTTGTTCAGCAGGTTTGACAGTTCCAGCATAAACCAGACCACCAGGCACTATGTCTCCCTCATCAAACTCTTTGACCCACTTAGAGCCCGGACTTGAGTAATAGGGCGTTAGGAATGTGTACCTGAAAAACAAAATTTAGTTATAATGCATCCGAAGTCCGAACACCAGTCCAGGCGTCCGGCGGGCATTCTTAATGCCAAGATTTTCATTTTCAACTTATGCCTAATCAGTAATCATTCACATTATAATTGATCGCAAAGTCGTATCAATTAAAATGTGAATGGAAGACTTGAAGACTCCCGGCCGAAGGTTTTGAAATATTGCAGGGCAGTTAAAATTTCCCAGCGCGGCGCGTGATTAATATTGTAACCATGGAAATAGGGTACTTAAACGACTCACAATAGCAATTTAACAACCAAAATACAAAACGGCGTTCGCGCGTTACGCAAAGTTCCTGTTGCAGAACCCGGTAAAAAAAGTTATCGTGCTGCACTGGAATTATTCCAGTGGAATCGTCTTAAATTATTACTTGTAAAATAATCTATTTACCCTTTCGCGAGATCGTCAGACTCCACATCTTCAATGACTTGTACAATATCGGCATTTTTGTCAGGCGACTCGAATAGAGTTCGAATTTTCTCTTTATCCATTAATTCTGATCCGGTGTGGTCGGAGTGGATTACAAATAGTCTCATAGGCGGTCTGTATTTCTCCTCAATCTCATGATATGCTCCCACCTATCATAGTACAGTAAGTTTCAAAAGTATTGAAAATAAGGTTCATTTGGGAGATACTTTACACAAACACGCTATTTGCTTGTAATTGTAGGCTTCGTCATAAGATTAAAAACCTTAAAATTGAAATCGTGGCACTTACTGCGTTCTGTTTGTAGAAATGATCCAAATGTTGTACGATGTGCGTATCAGGTCGCTCTGTCAGTATCCTTCCTTCGTAACTTACATTGAAAATATTCCCTGCTACGTCAGTATGATCGAAACAAATCTCATTATCCAGATCAAATTGGTGTTTTCCCAGTTCAGAGTACACTAATTCCCCTCTTTCTCTTATCGTATTCAGAGACTGAGGGTCCATCTTCTTGGCGATGTCTTCTGTTCCAATCAATTCTACCTTGTTTTCATAAGGCGAGATGTGTAGGTCCATCCCTCCTTCTTCCTCGATTACGAATGTTTTGTTGCCATTGCTGATCACTCGAGTGGGAGTTCCAAATATGGTGCGTGATTCAGAGCCGGAGTATTGAACTGTAGCGTAGCCTACACATTCTATTTTGTAACCAACTTCTCCTGATTTGGGTTGATATGGTCAACATTCCTTGTTTTATTGCAAGGTGGAGGCTAAAATTGATTGAGTTATACGTTAAAAGCTGAAATGTTAATAAAATCAGCTATTTAAGACACAAGTAAGTATTTTAAGGATCGTTTGTGACCACCAAACCTACCACATGGATTTGTGACGGTTGTTATCCTGGTACCATCAATGTGATCGACAATCCTTGTTCCGTCTGGTCTGATCACCGACAGGATGCTATCCATACGAGTGAACATTACCTGGCGTAGTAAAATGCTTATCGTTCGGACTAGACAAGGACAGAGCGAAAACAAGATTTCAATACAGTGTTTTTACGGGATATTTATCAACAAAAGATATCGTAAAGTTGTAGGGAACAGTTTTACTGTAGTATAGGGAATAATCAGGTACTTAAAATTATAGGTCAACTGTTATTTTGCCGAATTTCTATCATAACAATGTTACCTCTTTAGACTCTGGGTCAGTGGCGGTGTAACATTGAAGAGGGGTATTCTCCTCAACCTCTCCGTTACTCATCACATGTTCTCTTCCTCCCTTCTCTTTTGTCACTTCCCACACTATGTAAGGTGGGGGTGGGGCTGGTGTGGCCACAGGAGTCGGTGCTGCAAGATATGTAAGATATGTAAGATATGTAAGATATGTAAGATATGTAAGATATGTAAGATATATAAGATATATAAGATTTGTAAGATATGTAAGATACGTAAGATATATAAGATTTGTAAGATATGTAAGATATGTAAGATACGTAAGATATGTAAGATATATAAGATATGTAAGATATGTAAGATATGTAAGATACGTAAGATATGTAAGATATATAAGATATATAAGATATGTAAGATATGTAAGATTTGTAAGATATCTAAGATACATAAGATATATAAGATTTGTAAGATATGTAAGATATGTAAGATATGTAAGATATGTAAGATATATAAGATTTGTAAGATATGTAAGATATGTAAGATACGTAAGATATGTAAGATATGTTATCATATTGAGGGGGACGAGGAAATGGGGGAGGTGAAGTTGCAGATGTTAGGATAAACCAGACAAAATAATAACCTAATTAGGAGCTGAAGTTAACTAACCAGCGCTACCAGTATCGAGGGGTGCAGGTGTACCAACAGGTTCCTCAGGAGGAGGAGTAGGAGGAGGCGGAGGAGGTACGTGTTTTAATGAGTACCCTCCGTCTGGATACAAAATCAACGTCTGACCTGTGGGAGTAATTATATCAATATAACCGTCTACCGTGTTACTGTTAAGAACATTTAATATGTTCATTCTAATATGTTTAATATATTCATTTTATAAGCTCATTCCAATATGATTCAAATTATTTAATTTCTTATGGAAGTCTCACCGTTCTTCATGTGTTTCACAACAGTTCCATTTGAAAGACACAGTCGAGAGGTTTCCTCGGCACAAGTTTTAGCTTGTACCTCTTCACAACGGTGTTTCAGTTCTGTCTTACTTTCATAAGTCTGTCTTATGGCGAAGTAATCTGCGATAAAAGCAAATCAGTCTTGTTATTTTAAAATCACTGTCGTAGAATTTAATTGTATATAAGTTAATTGCCCATCTGAATAAAAGTCGAAAAAACACAAAATTTAGACAACAAATAATACTCAACATTTAACCTACAATCACAACATTAAACCCACAATCACAACTTTTAACCCACAATCCTACCTGAATCCTCCTGCTGCTGACAATATTGTAAAACAAGACCGTTAGGTATAGACAGCACCATCACCGAGGGCAGAGGTTCTTCAAGCAGCACAGCGTCTTCTCCGTCTAGTTGTACTGATTTGGGAGGAGGTACCGGCTTCTTGAAACTCATACTCATACCACCTGAGATGAGGATGAATTAGGTGACAGGAAACCAAAACATTTTCTAACATGAAACAAAACTATTCTCATTACCAGAGCCTACTTGTCTTTAAAATAAGTATATTAAATTTGCTTTGTAAATAAAAGCCTATTTAACCAACTTACTTTTGAGCTGAGCATTGAATGAGACACTTCTCGCTAGAGGAATTTGAGAGTCAGCCACTGAGCTCAGAGCAGAAGTGGTGGTTATATCTTCGGTAGCGGGAATGTCAGCGGAGGAATCTACTCCAGTATCTGGTGTAGCTGCTGCTGCTGCCTCCTGGAATTATAGAATTTACCATCCAAACTGAAGATTAAAATTTTGCTTCCCCGTTTCAGAGTTATGATTCAAATGATATTGATAGTCGGGAGATGATAACCCAGTTTTTAATACTAATAACAATCTTACTGCTTCCTGCTTCAGTTGTTTTTCTTTAGCGGCTCTCTGTTCGTTTCTCAAGTCCATGTCAGATTTAAGAACATAGTTAAGAGACAACACGTGACCACCTTTCAAAAGGGACACACGAGTTTTTGGGCTCTTCCCCTCAAATCCCCACCTCTCAACTCGAACCAAACTACCATCAGCAGGGTGGCAGTGAGCCACGTTTCCTGATAAAAAGTTACATGAAAACTGAAATGTAGCAAGATTTTACATAATGGGGGGTTTATGGGGCGATGGCCAGTGTTTCAATTCTCATATACATCTACTGATATTTAATATTTATCCATCGCAACAAAGAATAATTGTAATGCTCAAAAAGAATTACTGTCGGACATTCAAGTATTTACCTGTCGCTTCAAATATTTGGTTGGGAAGTTTGAACCCAACAAACATATTCTTCGCTGCATCCTCCTTCATCACGATATCCATTTCCGGTTCTGGAACGAGAGGAACTTGTTCGAACTCTACTTTACTCTTGTCCTCTTTACTCTTAGCACTGCTTCCGCGAGACGCTCCTGCACTTCGTTTAGGGCTCTTAGAAGGAGATCCCTTTCTTTTGGGACTTGGGCTCCCCTTTCTACCTTTACCTGCTGACTTCTTTCCTTTCTTCCCTGAGGATGCTCTCTCCTTTTCTTCTTCTTTCATATCTGATCGCTTCTTAAATCCTTCAAGACGATTGTCTGGCATCTGTTGAATTAAAGAAGTTGTATATTGAATATTGATTAAAGAGATCATGAAGTGTAAATTTGCGAATTCTTCAAAAATACTCGAAACTTGGGTAGTGAGCTAGGCTTGGTAATTCTGCCACAATCCCAAAATAGCTCCGTCATAATTGCTTCACAAGCTGAGATAATATGGGGCATATCAATTACATTTTTCCAAGTTGAGGCTAGGTGACGGGATAGCATATACGACATGTGTAAAAACACCTGATTTTAATTGTCCATAACAAGTTTTCTGTTGGTTTTTTTGTTGAACCGACAAGATTACCATCAGGTATAAACCATTATATTCCACATATCTTCCTAAATTTGGTGTACAGCGATTAATCTAGTTCCTACAAGCAATTAAAGACAGCTCACTTCATGAAATTTGAATGTAGCACGATCAGTGTTCAATTTGTTTACTTTCGTTTTGTACGGTCTTTGTATTTTAAAGCTTGCGAATGTGTGCTTTCTTGAATAACGTGTAATGTGTAGACACGAACCTAACATATGTATCCGTAGTCTGTACCCCGTAGATAAAAGTCTTATCTTCCAATTAAAGAATTAATAACTAAGTCAGAGCTGTTACAAATTTTCGCGTTTGTCGACTGCGGCACGTGTTTTCAGAGTATAGTAGGTCAAGCTTTGCAATTATGACATTACTAAATATATTAGTTTAGCTTCATTCCATTATCACTGCAACAACTCTTTACTAGTTAAAATTTATCAAAAGACGGTTGATGGTAAGACATTGTGCAGTCGGAGGTTGTAACAACCGTGAGGGAAGAGACACCAGTAGTAGGAGAAGCTTTCTGGTTTTTCATTCCGTCCCAAGCGATGCAAAACGTCGAACAGCATGGGATAAAAGAGTGAACAGGGCCGACCATGAACAAGGCCTTAGATATTCAAGATACCTGTTTAGTTTCACCATCAATGATGCTGTAAAACGGGGAGACTATCTAAAAGCACATTTGACACAAAAAAAGTGGAGATATTTAGCCTACAAATCATTTGTGAATTTGATAAGCTCCCAAGATTTGGATAAAAAGGTTCGATACGTACTTCCATCATGTGTTGTGTCGGCGATCCGAGAAAAGTTTCCAAACACAGATGGATCAAGATATACGGGTTTTATCAGTATCGGAACTGATGATGGACATATTTTGCCATGAAGTTAACAAGTAAATGTTTGTATCCAGAAAAAACTATTTACAATTTAAGGTTAGTTTAAGTAATAGGTTCTTACAAACGTGTATTGTTATTTAGCGTTTGGTAATTGAATGTTTTTCTTCCTACAACATAACACAGCAGTACGTAAACTTATAAGACAATTATTTGATGCTTGTGTATATTATGCACATTATTCAACCACAATTTTCGAAAGATAAAAGTCAAATCTATCAAGTGTCGTTAATTTGAAGATTTTATCAATTAAATTGGCGCCACAGCACATGAATAAAAATGTGCGTTTTAACACTGTTTCTATTGCGGTGTCTGACAGTTAGCCACAATCCAACAAATTCGGGCGATCTTCCTGTATCGATTTCACGCGACATAATTAAGTTACGAATCTGGGAATTCCGAGCCCTATTGTTATATTAGTGTTTCTATGTGATAGTATATGTGAAATGTTTTGACGATTAAGTCGGGGACACTTCATGATCCCTTTAAGATATAAACAGACGGTTGAATTGTACACTAATGTAACTAAAGTATTATAGAACGCACCACGAACTCTGGCTCCTCGACAGCCTCCTCAGCAGCAGGAGTTACAGGTGTTGGAGGGGCAGTAGCTTCTGAGGGAGCTGGAGCTGGGGTTAGCGGCGGCAGCTTCTCTAAGAGTGTTGGGAATCTGTCCTTTGTTCTAGAGATGAAGTAGTGGAACCCTGCAAACGTAATGTATTGGTAACAGTTAAATCGTCAGACGTCATCACTAGCTACTTTCTTAACTAAACGGACCAAAAACTTCGGCTATTTACGAAAATGATTGCCATTAGGCAGTAAACTTGGTATTTTATCTAAATTAAATCTTATGAGCTCTGACCTATTTCAGTGTGAACACGCTCGTTCCAAAGGGAACTAGATTGTCGTTTGTCATTGTATCCAGCGTGGAAGAGCAGTAACATTGCATTTTCATGTCGGTGGTATATCCTCTCACAATATGGGAACTCGTAAAATGCATCACCCAATACCTGTCGTCAGATTCATGAATTCAGTTCAATTATTTAGTATTAATCATTTATAATTGACTCGAAATTTACTCCGTTAAAACTTAACAAGCGTCCATTCGGGAGATCTAGATAAAGTCTCATCAGTTAGATGTGAACAATCATATCATTCAGCGAATTTCGTAGAATTACTTGTAAAAGAGCATCTTTCTCATAACTCGTCCGATAGTTGAAGTGATCAAGTCTTTGCACAGGATTAGAAATCTCAGTATCTTTGAGTTTTTGTAGATTCTCTACTCCAACCTCAGCCGAACCTAACAACATCTCTATATCCCAGAAATATTCTGCCGGGGTCTTCAGCTTAGAAATACCTGGCTCTGTTTTAGTGTGGTCACAATTCTCAAAAGCAAACTGACGCAATGCCTTGTTTACTGTGCTCTGTCCGGTTTGTCCGCAGAAACTTTCCGTTTCGTAAGATAGGGACTGAATCTTTGTAAGTACTTCAGCGTTAGTTTCGGGGAGTTCTAGGAACGCACTACTGATGCTGTGTTGTAGCAATATTCTGAAATTAGGGCAAATTAAATGTCAACGACAGCTGGAATTATTTTGATTAAACTTAAATTCGGATAAATTCACGATCTAATCATTAATATAATCAATGTTAGTGAGAGATACAATTCTGCAGCCTCATCACTTACAAGTCGTTAAGAGGATAAACTTTTGGGTTAAGATGGAATGATTTCATTCTGATTTCATCAGCCTCTTTCAACACTATTGGCTGATCATCCTCCTCCACTTTTTCTTGTTTCAGAGATAAAAATCCTTCGAACTCCTGATGTTGTGATTAAATGAGTTACGATATTTAGTATTGGATAGTGCAGTTTCTCTCAGAAATTTATAGATTGTCAGGATACAGATGATACTTCTTTACAATTATTAAATCTTACAGATTGCTGCAGAAGGGTAAGAGGCAAGCCATGTATCATTTCTCCCAACTGTTTATTCACTGGATCCTCTCCAATTTCTTTCAGTTCTTCCTTTTTCGGCTGCTGATCTTCACATACCTTCAAAATTATGTATTAGGACGTTTCTGAAGATGGCTCACTTGATTCCAAGTTTTAAATACTTACGAAATGTTCCAAAATACGCGCATAATTATACAGCATACACTATACAGACTATAAAGCGAATCTTGCTCTAGTATTTACCTGCTCTAGCATACAATTAAGGACAGACACGTGAGAAACACTCTCGTAGGGAAGTAGAGATATTATCTTGTTGTAGTATCTCATATCTAGGGGGTGCAGTAGTTCACCATCCTCTGTTCGTTCAGTTAGGTCCGCTACCTCAACCATGTCCATACCTGGTTGAAAGTGAAACTGAATTTAATAACAAATTTAATTTACCATGCATTTCAGGATCTTTAAGTTTCCAAACTTGCCACCAGACATGTCATCTATTGTCATACATGGATTTAGAAACAGTACAGATGTATTTACAGGGTCACTCACAGCATTTAAAACGTAAAGAACAAACCTTTGTAGTACTGTTTAAATTGACATAGGGAGGATTGAATCGAATAGATCTTATTAGCAACTCGTTGATAAAGCGCCAGTAATAACTTCTCCTGAGATAAGCAATGTGTAAACCAGCAAATCAATAAATGAACCAACGTGGTTCTGGAAATTGATAATGAACATAAAAGGAAGATAGATAAGATAAGATAAGATAAGATAAGATAAGATAAGATAAGATAAGATAAGATAAGATAAGATAGGATAAGATAAGATAAGATAAGATAAGATAAGATAAGATAAGATAATATAAGATAAGATAAGATAAGATAAGATAAGATAAGATAAGATAAGATAAGATAAGATAAGATAAGATAAGATAAGATAAGTTAAGATAAGATAAGATAAGATAAGATAAGATAAGATAAGATAAGATAAGATAAGATAAGATAAGATAAGATAAGATAAGATAAGATAAGATAAGATAAGATAAGATAAGATAAGATAAGATAAGATAAGATAAGATAAGATAAGATAAGATAAGATAATCAGTAAATTCACCATTCTCTCGTTGTCTTTCTTAATTTCAGCATCCACTTCCAATTTAGGTAGGGACATCTTTTCGAACCCAACATCCACCAAATGAGCTGGCAGGGGGACCTCGGTAGCTTGTTCAGCAATGTCTTCCCAGAACTTATCAATCAGTTCCTGGTGAGCATCTACCCGCGCCTCAACTTCTGGACCTTCATTATCGTCTGGTAACACCACCTGGACACGACGAAACTATGGTATTAGCATGAGTCTCCCGGGTAAGTTAGTACAATCACGTTATTTATTGTTAAACACAATTTTCAACATGCTGAACTGATGCATTTATTGTATAACATACTATAGTTATAATCACTATTGATTATATAGATAAATTTAATCATGCGATTTTAGAAGTAAAATTCTGTTCATTTTATGGAGCATGCTTAAAGACTACCTTCGATCCCATATTAAAAGATGAGATGTGTTCCATCCAAGAGAAGTCAGACGAGTATGTCAGAGAAGATGATTTGAGAAGGGAGGTGATTGGAAGGTTAGCTTTGTGGCACTCTGCCATGAAATCAGCTTGCTCAAACCCAACACAAAGTACAAAAAGGTCAGGACTAAATTCTGGATAATCGTCTGAGAGAGTAAAATAGTGAACTATCAGAAAACGTATAATTCGATGTATTTTTGTTTTTTAAAAAGCCAAAATCGAGACGAGCAATTGAGAAAATGTAGTTAGCATCACTCAAGGAGTGTAACATGAATCACCAAAAAATAAGCCGCTCAAACTCACTGATTTTGGCAGGTTCTTCTTTCTCCTCTCCCCTTTTTTTCAAAGGACACTTCCCTCTTGCGACTTCTGCCTCAGGATCGATGTTAGTTCCACCTTCTTTTTTGACAGGGGACTTTTTACCTCCTTTCTTTGCATCTTTCTTACCCCCTTTGTCGGGAGAGACAGACTTGGTTGGGGACCGACTTGCATTACCCGTTTTACCCTGAATGATAATAAGTAATTTAAAGTCGCTATGACAGCTTGTCTACATTTTGGAAATGTTACAATTTACATGGTTATGAAGCAACGTTTTTAGAACAGAACGACAACATACTACAGTGAGAAACTGTAATACCATTGTCTTAACTTGCCCTCATGCACATATAAAATACCTAAAATACTGCTAGGATTAACCCTAGATACCTTCTTATCGTTTTATTTTGTACACGTGATCAACTTTATTATCTTATATAATATCATGCAAGTTTAATGTCAGTGATGCAGTGGATATAGCTCAGCATAACAGCTTTATCAAGTGATATATTTGCAAATGAATTGGTTTTTAAATTTAATAAGCATGCAACAGTAGTAAAGAAACGAAAATAGAAAAATAGATATGCACTGCATTAACAAGCAGCATGAATTATGAACATTCTTTGTTGTAAAAGCAAAACGTCGCTGTAACCGCCAATAATCCTGAACTGATAAGTCCAACTTTGTCCACGGTATAAATGAGTTAAGGGGGCCGGGGGGGTCTTCATCAAAATTCTCTCGAAATTGACTTTATAGTTGTTTCTGGTAGAAGGGAGTGATATCTACCAGCTGCTTTTGGTCTCATGGAAAAATATTGTTCCTAGCCGAAATTATTGCCGGTCTAAGGTCAGCGCTTATGTGTATTTGTATTGCGCGAGCGATTTTCAATCACAAATTCTGAAAATCGAGTCTAAAAATCTATCTTCTCCTACATTTTTTGAGCAATCACCCTGAAACTTTCAGGATATGTTCTAAGGACCATTTAGAAGATTTGATCGAGCCAAAATTTTGAGATAGGCCTTTAAACATTTTTTATTCAATTTTGAAAATCTTGGACCTGAAAAAATCGTAAAAAAACGAGGTCCAAGATTTTCAAAATTGAATAAAAAATTTTTAAAGGCCTATCTCAAAATTTTGGCTCGATCAAATCTTCTAAATGGTCTCTAGAACATATCCTGAAAGTTTCAGGGTGATTGCTCAAAAAATGTAGGAGAAGATAGATTTTTAGACTCGATTTTCAGAATTTGCGATTGAAAATCGCTCGCGCAATACAATTACACATAAGCGCTGACCTTAGACCGGCGATAATTTCGGCTAGGAACAATATTTTTCCATGGGACCAAAAGCAGCTGGTAGATATCACTCCCCTCTACCAGAAACAACTATAAAGTCAATTCCGAGATAATTTTGATGAAGACCCCCCCGGCCCCCTTAAAACTTCATTCCATTGGAAATATTACAAATCAGCCAATTGTTATTGAGAATTTTTGGGTTGTGGCAATTATTCTTAAAAACCTAGAAATGCCTCCTAAGTTCACAGCTCATATTATTTGCCCATTTTTCTCCTTCTGCACTTGGGGCCCAATGTAATTGCTCGACTTTTCATCAGGTCTCTCGAGGCCTTTTGTTTGGTTATTTGGGTGTATTGGTGTCCCCTGATTGTTATCATCGCTGTACACTTGTCAAGGCATTTTTTGGTTTCTCTAGTCCATTTTTAGAAATTCTATACAACATTGATATTGTAATAAATTCTGATGATAATAATTGAAAGATTTCAATAAAAAAATTGATGCTAGGGTACATTTTGACACTAAGTAATGTGATAACAGCTCCTTAAGACGAATTATCCAATTAAATCAAATGTGTTGACTAATAAACACTTCTAACGATTCATTCCAGCACAAGTTTAACTGCAATAACCATATTGGAGTCGTTAAAAACTCTTCATTTAAGCCCATGCACATTGCATGATGAATACCTTGGCCTTCCCTTTAACCCCCTTAGCCTTTTTCGTTTTTTGAAGCTCTGCCTGGGAGTTAGTTGAGATAACTTGATGAGGAAATAAAGTCAACACATTATTTGCTTCAAAACACAGAAAGTAGGATGATTATAATATTCAGTGTACCTGCTGAAGTTCCTCTCTTCTGTTCAGTTCTTCGTCTCTGTACTCCAAAATTTTTACTTTAAGCAACTTTGCCAAGACTGCTGAAGGCAGGAGCTCATCTGCCGATTTAAGCATGGCAAATATTTCTGGGAAAGATGTTTTTGATCCACTATCTTTACCTTTGCCATGCTCTTTTCCCTGAAATATTTTCTAATCTTGCAAACATTTCTTATGCATTTAAAAAAACAAATTAAAAAAACATGGATTCTACAGTACAACAAAGGTATTCTAACATAAATACCTGCGCAACAAGACTGTCCTTCTCAATATACACAAATCTCTGTCGAACATTTGTCTCTACAGCTGATCCCAGGATTTGTAATTGTAGTTTGTCTTCAACCTTGTCAGGCGATATGAGATAAACACTCGTCTTAAGTTCGTCCTGAAAAATGTTATATAGTTACAATACTAAATTTAATATTTCTTTATACAATTCCAAGTTATAATAATACAACTGTAAGGGTGATAATGATCTATCACCTAATCTAGTCATTGAGTTAAAATTTCAATCTGTATGATGAAATTAAAATCAAATCAAATAATAATGACACAAACATCATCACACGTCATAATAAATATTGTTACAAAACTTGAAATAAAAATTAAATAAGATAGAATAGAAACATACACTATACTACTAAAATATAAACATCATCAACTCACATTGTTGATAAGAGTGGATGCTAGACTGGCTTCCCAAGCACCAGTATTACTTGGTGCTGGATTAGTGGGAGTCTTGGGCTTTCCTTTGGGCATTTTAGAGGAGCATGTAAATCCTTCAAAAAATTACATAGGCTTTAATTGTCCCACAATAGTTAGTCTAGTTTAAATGATATATTTCTAACTGTGGGTGCCTGGAATAATATGCTAGCAGCTAACAAGTGAAATGTAAATTCAAATCAAAACTTTTAGACATGAATGTGGATGTTCTTGGGGCAAATCATTCTAACTGAAGATTTTGCAAGTCTGATTTTTATAGACTTTGGTTCCATCACTCTATCATATTAGCCAAAGCAGAGATATTAAGTTTACATTCTTGATAAAATTAAGTATGTGAATGGTGGTGTAGTACAGCAACTCCCGAAGACTGTTCCTACAACCCTACGAGACATATTTAAATGGTACGAAAGTCTGTGGTTTTTCGAAAAAAAACACCATATTTTCGGACTACCAAAATTTAGGTCACCATCATTATTTTCCCCAAATTATTCTTCACGTATTTTGCGATTAGTGGAAGATAACAAACACTGTCGGTCTCCTATACCCTCTAGAGCATTATAAGTTAAGTTGAGGCTAACTTTCAAAGGCTATGTAGAAATCGTTTACAAGATTAAAGTTGAAACAGCTGATCGGAGAAGATTTGTGCATTTAACTTTTTCAAATATTGGGTTTCATTTTTGTAAAATAAGGAGATGGAAAAAAATCCCCAAATACCATGATTTAATTTCCCATATTTTCGTTCCCGAATCATATAGGTCACTGGAATTATGTCGAACATAAATATGTCTCGTAAGGTATACAGAGTCAAGAGTAGAGATACTTTACAAAAACATTATTCAACCGTCACATTAGTAATATTACAATAATGTATTATTGTATATACAGTACATTACTATACAGATGTACCAACGAAGTATCATACGAAGATTATTTATCTTTAAGCAGGACTATTCCTAATTTAAACCCTCGATCACGTTTCTGACATTAAAGACAGAGGATTATTAATATTGACCCTGGTCATTAGGAAAGTTCGCACGAGATGGACCACGTTTTTCCCAATTTAACTTTAGAAGATTGTCACAGGAAGAAATTGTTTGATTCACGATGTCAATCCTTCGCAGCTCGGTGAGGCACAGTGGTGCATCTCGCCGATCTACCGAAGCGAGAAGCATTATTTGATGCGTGCGCGACCCAGTAGTGCATCGCGCTACAAGAAATTGTAAGATAGGCATATTATGATATTTTACATATCTATAGTTAAACTAATTGAGTTTCGATTAATAGTAAAACAAAGAATTTTTAGTAAAAGTAAAACAAAGTATTTTTAGTAAAAGTTAAAAAATTTTTGAAACATTTAGTCGAAGGCAAATTGAGGCTAACGAGTCATTTAACATTTAGTTTTTATTTATAATGACAGCCTCCAAGCATGCAATAAAAATTTAAACATGTTTAATCAAAATTTGTTTTCTCTAATTGAGGAAAAAAATTATCAGACCTGAGGCTAATAAGTCGATCATTGCTAATTTTTGAATTATATTTGAATAATAACGTAAATCAGAGTATATCCTCTGATTGGGCCGCACAGGGGGGGGGCTGAAACCAGGTTTTCGATCAAATGCTGCCATTTGTAGTCAAACGTCGCCAACAGTTGCTCTCGTCCAATGAAATCGCTGCATTTTGCAAATCAGTATGCATAATTGAATTACATATATTCATATGCGGAGCTTGGCTTACATAATGCAGCGATTTTATTGGACGAGAGCAACTTTTGGCGACGTTTGACTACACATGGCAGCGTTTGATCGAAAACCTGGTTTCAGCTCCCCCTGTGGCCGCGCCGCGCACTCAATTATGCTTCTCGAGCTATATCGCGGCGAAATGCGCAACTGGGCCTCGCCGAGCTGCGATGAATTTACATTAATTATAAAACAAATATTTAAAAAAACAAATATTTATTTTTACGTCACAATCAAACAATATCAATAATAAATAAATCAGGGGAGGTTTGAAAAGGTTTCAAGTGCACTTAACTGCTTATCTTTAGGATTTGAGAGTGACCTGTGCTTGAAACCCCTTAACCATCCACTACGTCAATATACTTGTTATACAAATATAAAAAATATAATAATCTAAAATTACTTATTGGTTTAGTTTGGTGACATAGGAGAGCCCAGTTTAGTTTTAGTTTAGGTTTAGGTTTTAATCATAGTTTAAAAGGTTCGTTAGCCAGGCCAATGGCCATGTTTCATGGCATAGAGAGATATCATGTGTGCAGAGCTAGCCGTACCGGATTTATTGTAGCGCGATGCGCGTTACTGTGCCGCGCCGCGCACTCAATGAGGCTTATCACAGCGAGATGCGCTACTGTGCCGCGCCGAGCTGAGATGAATTGACATCGTCAATTAACAGATTTAGAATTTGAGGTATAATATAAAGTAGTTACCATGTATTAGGTCATCTCGATTTTGGAGGGATAGCAAGTGCTTTTTAAGGTTAGATTTAATAATACCTGACGAGGCTGACCTCTAGCCTCTGACTTGTCATACGTTGTATGCAGTATGACCCGCCGCGCACGAAGTGCGCGGCTCCCCCTGTATCGTCACTATAGGGAAACGACCGGCCGTGGGGGTCGCAACGTGATACAACCTCTGACTGGACCAAAAATATATAAAATGGATGCTTTAGGTTTAATTGTAGTGCAATGCACTGCCACTACTGGGCCGCGCTGCGCATCTTCTCGCAACCACAAATCATTTCTAATTTTTGAATTATTTTTGAACAATAACAATAACGTCTATCAAGTATTCTTCGATCACCTAAAATACAAAATAAATGCAGCGCTTGCTCATCATGCTACTAGTACTAGACTTCGAAGAATAACATCCGTTAAGGTTTACATGTAATTTGATTGTAAATGAAAATTTTAAATAAGGTTTTGGCAGAAATCTATATTCAATAATTTTACAACGTCTACATAATGGGTCCTTGTAACTTGGCAAAAATGTTAATTTTAATTGTTAACTAGGTTTTGCATGTTCAACAGAAACATTAAATATGAGCTGGCGATGCGATCGCGATTTTTGATATTTTGCTCCTATTATATAAGCTGAGGAGTGAGGTATGAGGTTAACAATGAGTTTACCTAGCCATGAGTCTAGGCGTACTGCGTGACGGTACGCGCGTTCGAACCTAGCCATAAGTCTACGCGTATTAATTAACGATGTAAATTCATCGCAGCTCGGCGCGGCACAGTAGCGCATTTCGCCGATCTAACGATGTGAGAAGCCTCATTGGCACAGTAATGCATCGCGCTACAAGGAACATTTTTACCCCCCTCCGAAATTAGTTTTACACATGACTATTACGTATCAAAATTACACTAGCGTAATCATTCGGAAACTCCCCTCTACTCAGCTGATTACGTAATATAATGTGAATTAATATGTGAACGACCCCTTAAGATGAGAGCAACAAAATGTTATAAATAAGAACCGCAGTTATTTGTGAGGTTAACTGATTAAATAAGCAATTGTTAACCTCAATTTTTCGAGCTCTACTAACTGCTGCTCACTGCTTGTAGCGCGATGCGTTACTGTGCCGCGCCGCGCACTCAATAAGGCTTCTCACAGCTGGCTAGATCGGCGAGATGCGCTACTGTGCCGCGCCGAGCTGCCATGAATTGACATCGTCAATTAACTCACTGCTTGCTCTATCCAAAGCCCTTGCGCTTGCAGTAGCGCACGCTGAAACAAGCGCGCCCGCAGCGGCGCGAAAGCACATGGTTAGGTGATATGAAGCTCACTGCTGCTATGGGCGTGCGCGCGACAGCAGCAGTGAGCAGCAGTTTGAGGGATGTTACTCGTCTAAATTTCTTCGAAGTAGCGCGCACCGCTTTCTTTTCGGGCCAGATCATTAACAATGGTCAAGCAGCAGTGAGCAGCAGTTTCTTTGCACTATGATCGAGATAGTCCTTCGTGGGCTAAGGTTAGTGCATGCGAGCGTCAGGTAGTACGTACACGTGGTCTGCCAACTTCACATAGCCATGTGTATACGCGTACTGCGTGACGCGCGCTACTGCAAGTGAGAGGGCTCTGGTTAGAGCAATCTGCCAACTGGGGAAAAAAGTTGTGGCCTCGGACCCCCCGGCCCTGTGGCCTTAAAGCCGTAGTACATACATACATATTAAATTACACTGAATCGAGCTTACACAGTGTAATTTCCTCCAGTCTGCGCCGCGTAACGTACGTTTATATAGGCGCGCGGCGCAGACTGGAGGAAATTACACTGTGTAAGCTCGATTCAGTGTAATTTAATATGTATGTACTATACGGCTCAACACTATGAACTAATGTTTGGCAGTTTTAGGGTTAAGTATGGACTCTGATTTGTGTATGATTATTTCTTATTGATATTATATTCTGTTATCAGTTAGTATGTTTCATATTCCAATTTCAATAAAACGAAACGGAAATCGGGTCTTTTCATTTACGGACCTAGTGTAAAATGATTAAGCGCTTGAAATGCCGCCAGAGTATCATCAAAGCCTCCCCTCCCAAGGAGAAACATAAATTGGAATAATTTAGACATTTTCAGAAATTTTGGTGTGGTTTAAACATTAGAAAGGGTACAGTATTACATAGGACTACTTTTCTGTAAACAAATGATAAACTCAAATTAAGATGGTCTTTAATATCAACATAACAATAAGTTGGTGAGAATGGTAGATACTATCATTTTTACTGTCTTTCATTGTTCATACAGTAACCCATAACTGATCTCATAAAATAAACGAGAAACTACAGAAAATTTCAGAAAATATCCACACATTAATGACACTTACAATCTATGTTACAAAATGTATTTACATATAATTTTGAACTCTTTTTACTCTGAATAATCATCTCAATATCAGTGTCTGTACGAAAAGTCTAAAAACACGCTCCTCTCAGCCCGAAGGCACATTGTTCACAACATTGTTCACAACATTGTTCACGGAGTATTCTGAGCAAGGACCCGCATATTTTGTCTGATAAAGTTCTTCTTGACACCTGGAGAGGGCTTTGGTAGCCTGCTAGGGGTGGTGGTCACTCCAACTGGCACACTAAAAGCCGGACTTTGTCCCTGGATCACGTACGACCACTGGTTTGTCGGAGTCTGAAATTATTACCGCTCATAATTTTCAGTATCACTATCTACTGTATTACAGTTTGAATTAGTGCCGCGTCGAAACAAATGGAGAGGCATAACAGACAAGATAAAAGCTATGTTGGAAGTTAAAATGGTGAGTTTGAATTTACTCCGGCGCGAGGACTAAAGTAAAGCGACTACATAACAATGTAATAATTAAGAAAGTTGCTGTTTTAATAATGCTTCCGTTCCCCACCTGAACAATAAGTTTGGCGTTGTGAGTTTTTCCGTAAAGGGTGGGTTTATAAGCGACACAAATAAGAGTTCCCTCAGTTCCCAGAGGCAGAAGCTGTCCTGTCGGAGGATAGACCCTGAAATCAGGATCTGATCCCTTATCTAGATATGCTTCGTACGAGATACTGGAACTGGGGGTCAAAGTTGGAGTTAGTTTGGGTGGTTTATAGTGTTTTAAAAATATTGGAATTATTCTAAATCTCAATTAAAACATAATCATAACAACAAAATAAATAAAACAAGAATTTCGCCGCGGTGAAACCACGCACGATCAATTTTCCCTACGATGTACTTGTACCATTAATTCTTTTGAGTGAAAAGTGTGACTGGAAAAAAGTGCATCATATTTACATACTATGTTTTTTATAAATGAGTGTGATTCGTGCATGGTATAAATTGACGATTTATTTGACCAATGCAGCGCCGCGCATCAACAATAAATAAATCCAGAAAATAGCGGAAAATAACTTTGCGAAGGAGGAATTTCACTGTAATTAATTAACACATGGCTAGCGTCGAGCGCAGCATAACAGACGCTTCCTATACACTTAATTATAGGGGAGTGGTCTATATTTCGAAGGAGCAGACTTTTGTCATCATCGCAGGTCCATCGGGCCACCTCATATATCCAAACCCGATTACTTATTCCCTACGATCTTTTTGCCTTCGGCAAGAGTAGGGAAAAAAAATTAGATATTGGATTATTTTGTTGTTACAAAGTTGCAATATTTTCATCGTAATTTGTCATTGCGCGCGTGCAGGATTGCATGTACTATATAGAATATTTAGTACGCCGCGCACAAATTTTGGGCTAATTTAATTTGAACGGCATCGTTTGACAATTGAAATTCGCGTTGGATACTGCAATTAACTAACACATGCCGAGCGTCGCGCGCAGCATAACAGACGCTTCCTATACTCATAATTATAGGGGAGTGGTCTATATTGCGAAGGAGCAGACTTTTGTCGTCACCGCAGGTCCATCGGGATAGCTCATATATCCAAACCCGATTACTTATTCCCTACGATCTTTTTGCCTTCGGCAAGAGCAGGGAAAAAAATATCCTGACCAAGTTTAAAACCCTCATACCTATCAAGGCTGTTGAGTCTGATGCCCACGACAGAGTCCTTGTGCAGACCTGAAGCTCTAATCACGATACTGTCGTCAGGTTCGGCTGAGGTAGAGTGGATTGTGAACGGGTAGATCCACCGACCTCCATTTTTACTGTCCACTGTTAACTTTACTGTCTTCCTGGTAGGGAGATAATTGTTAGTTTTCAGTATTAATCGGCTAAGCTGAGTCATTGATAAAGTCAAGCTGATTTAATTCGTTGTTTTAGACTACGATATTTATATAAAATCTAATCTGAAGTAACTGAAATAAGAACATAAGAATTCTTTACTTGATGGGTTTGCCGGGAGCGAAGACTAGAGTAAAGGTAATGAGACTGAGGCCAGGAGGAGATATGTGAGAAGAAGAACAGTGTTGTAAAGAAAGCAGATTTGTCTCGTCTACTGAGAAAGTGAACTCTTGTTCGGATTCCTTCTTCTTCCATCCTTCTTTTAGCTCACTCGGTCTATCGCTTACTAAAGTTTAGGGAGCATTATTGTAAGTTTTAACTGTTTTATAAAAAGTTGTTTTCCAAACATTTTTAGTACAGAATATCTTGATGTCTCCCAGATCTACAAATTATGTTAAACTAAGAAAAATTACCCAGATGCCAAACACTTACTGGCTGCCTCAGTGTATTTCACGTTCTGTGTAGGTTTCACTGAGTTCGTATCCAGAATTATTTCCATGAAGCACTCCTTCCGTTCTTTTGACTTGCAACTTATTACCGGTAACTGGTAACCTTTACTAACATTGAAAACTGGCGTTCCTGCAAAAAAGGCCCGCCAAGTCAAGACAAATATGTGATACGAGTAAAACAATTGAACATGATATTTTGTAGATTCTAGAGAGCAGAAACTAAAATTCAGAACCAGTAAGAAGACTATTTACCCTTTACAGGGAATTGCCATTTAACACCGTCCACTTTGGATCCTTCCTCAACTACCTCCACTACAATATACGCAGAAGCCTGAACCATGTCCAAAGGTCTGAAGGTGAATGGTAATTCCAGGACACCCCGCTCTGGCACCGTCATCAGCTCCTCATTCCTCTCCAATTTCTTTCAGTTCTTCCTTTTTCGGCTGCTGATCTTCACATACCTTCAAAATTATGTATTAGGACGTTTCTGAAGATGGCTCACTTGATTCCAAGTTTTAAATACTTACGAAATGTTCCAAAATACGCGCATAATTATACAGCATACACTATACAGACTATAAAGCGAATCTTGCTCTAGTATTTACCTGCTCTAGCATACAATTAAGGACAGACACGTGAGAAACACTCTCGTAGGGAAGTAGAGATATTATCTTGTTGTAGTATCTCATATCTAGGGGGTGCAGTAGTTCACCATCCTCTGTTCGTTCAGTTAGGTCCGCTACCTCAACCATGTCCATACCTGGTTGAAAGTGAAACTGAATTTAATAACAAATTTAATTTACCATGCATTTCAGGATCTTTAAGTTTCCAAACTTGCCACCAGACATGTCATCTATTGTCATACATGGATTTAGAAACAGTACAGATGTATTTACAGGGTCACTCACAGCATTTAAAACGTAAAGAACAAACCTTTGTAGTACTGTTTAAATTGACATAGGGAGGATTGAATCGAATAGATCTTATTAGCAACTCGTTGATAAAGCGCCAGTAATAACTTCTCCTGAGATAAGCAATGTGTAAACCAGCAAATCAATAAATGAACCAACGTGGTTCTGGAAATTGATAATGAACATAAAAGGAAGATAAGATAAGATAAGATAAGATAAGATAAGATAAGATAAGATAAGATAAGATAAGATAAGATAAGATAAGATAGGATAAGATAAGATAAGATAATAGATAAGATAAGATAAGATAAGATAAGATAAGATAAGATAAGTTAAGATAAGATAAGATAAGATAAGATAAGATAAGATAAGATAAGATAAGATAAGATAAGATAAGATAAGATAAGATAAGATAAGATAAGATAAGATAAGATAAGATAGGATAAGATAAGATAAGATAAGATAAGATAAGATAAGATAAGATAAGATAATATAAGATAAGATAAGATAAGATAAGATAAGATAAGATAAGATAAGATAAGATAAGATAAGATAAGATAAGTTAAGATAAGATAAGATAAGATAAGATAAGATAAGATAAGATAAGATAAGATAAGATAAGATAAGATAAGATAAGATAAGATAAGATAAGATAAGATAAGATAAGATAAGATAAGATAAGATAAGATAAGATAAGATAAGATAAGATAAGATAAGATAAGATAAGATAAGATAAGATAAGATAATCAGTAAATTCACCATTCTCTCGTTGTCTTTCTTAATTTCAGCATCCACTTCCAATTTAGGTAGGGACATCTTTTCGAACCCAACATCCACCAAATGAGCTGGCAGGGGGACCTCGGTAGCTTGTTCAGCAATGTCTTCCCAGAACTTATCAATCAGTTCCTGGTGAGCATCTACCCGCGCCTCAACTTCTGGACCTTCATTATCGTCTGGTAACACCACCTGGACACGACGAAACTATGGTATTAGCATGAGTCTCCCGGGTAAGTTAGTACAATCACGTTATTTATTGTTAAACACAATTTTCAACATGCTGAACTGATGCATTTATTGTATAACATACTATAGTTATAATCACTATTGATTATATAGATAAATTTAATCATGCGATTTTAGAAGTAAAATTCTGTTCATTTTATGGAGCATGCTTAAAGACTACCTTCGATCCCATATTAAAAGATGAGATGTGTTCCATCCAAGAGAAGTCAGACGAGTATGTCAGAGAAGATGATTTGAGAAGGGAGGTGATTGGAAGGTTAGCTTTGTGGCACTCTGCCATGAAATCAGCTTGCTCAAACCCAACACAAAGTACAAAAAGGTCAGGACTAAATTCTGGATAATCGTCTGAGAGAGTAAAATAGTGAACTATCAGAAAACGTATAATTCGATGTATTTTTGTTTTTTAAAAAGCCAAAATCGAGACGAGCAATTGAGAAAATGTAGTTAGCATCACTCAAGGAGTGTAACATGAATCACCAAAAAATAAGCCGCTCAAACTCACTGATTTTGGCAGGTTCTTCTTTCTCCTCTCCCCTTTTTTTCAAAGGACACTTCCCTCTTGCGACTTCTGCCTCAGGATCGATGTTAGTTCCACCTTCTTTTTTGACAGGGGACTTTTTACCTCCTTTCTTTGCATCTTTCTTACCCCCTTTGTCGGGAGAGACAGACTTGGTTGGGGACCGACTTGCATTACCCGTTTTACCCTGAATGATAATAAGTAATTTAAAGTCGCTATGACAGCTTGTCTACATTTTGGAAATGTTACAATTTACATGGTTATGAAGCAACGTTTTTAGAACAGAACGACAACATACTACAGTGAGAAACTGTAATACCATTGTCTTAACTTGCCCTCATGCACATATAAAATACCTAAAATACTGCTAGGATTAACCCTAGATACCTTCTTATCGTTTTATTTTGTACACGTGATCAACTTTATTATCTTATATAATATCATGCAAGTTTAATGTCAGTGATGCAGTGGATATAGCTCAGCATAACAGCTTTATCAAGTGATATATTTGCAAATGAATTGGTTTTTAAATTTAATAAGCATGCAACAGTAGTAAAGAAACGAAAATAGAAAAATAGATATGCACTGCATTAACAAGCAGCATGAATTATGAACATTCTTTGTTGTAAAAGCAAAACGTCGCTGTAACCGCCAATAATCCTGAACTGATAAGTCCAACTTTGTCCACGGTATAAATGAGTTAAGGGGGCCGGGGGGGTCTTCATCAAAATTCTCTCGAAATTGACTTTATAGTTGTTTCTGGTAGAAGGGAGTGATATCTACCAGCTGCTTTTGGTCTCATGGAAAAATATTGTTCCTAGCCGAAATTATTGCCGGTCTAAGGTCAGCGCTTATGTGTATTTGTATTGCGCGAGCGATTTTCAATCACAAATTCTGAAAATCGAGTCTAAAAATCTATCTTCTCCTACATTTTTTGAGCAATCACCCTGAAACTTTCAGGATATGTTCTAAGGACCATTTAGAAGATTTGATCGAGCCAAAATTTTGAGATAGGCCTTTAAACATTTTTTATTCAATTTTGAAAATCTTGGACCTGAAAAAATCGTAAAAAAACGAGGTCCAAGATTTTCAAAATTGAATAAAAAATTTTTAAAGGCCTATCTCAAAATTTTGGCTCGATCAAATCTTCTAAATGGTCTCTAGAACATATCCTGAAAGTTTCAGGGTGATTGCTCAAAAAATGTAGGAGAAGATAGATTTTTAGACTCGATTTTCAGAATTTGCGATTGAAAATCGCTCGCGCAATACAATTACACATAAGCGCTGACCTTAGACCGGCGATAATTTCGGCTAGGAACAATATTTTTCCATGGGACCAAAAGCAGCTGGTAGATATCACTCCCCTCTACCAGAAACAACTATAAAGTCAATTCCGAGATAATTTTGATGAAGACCCCCCCGGCCCCCTTAAAACTTCATTCCATTGGAAATATTACAAATCAGCCAATTGTTATTGAGAATTTTTGGGTTGTGGCAATTATTCTTAAAAACCTAGAAATGCCTCCTAAGTTCACAGCTCATATTATTTGCCCATTTTTCTCCTTCTGCACTTGGGGCCCAATGTAATTGCTCGACTTTTCATCAGGTCTCTCGAGGCCTTTTGTTTGGTTATTTGGGTGTATTGGTGTCCCCTGATTGTTATCATCGCTGTACACTTGTCAAGGCATTTTTTGGTTTCTCTAGTCCATTTTTAGAAATTCTATACAACATTGATATTGTAATAAATTCTGATGATAATAATTGAAAGATTTCAATAAAAAAATTGATGCTAGGGTACATTTTGACACTAAGTAATGTGATAACAGCTCCTTAAGACGAATTATCCAATTAAATCAAATGTGTTGACTAATAAACACTTCTAACGATTCATTCCAGCACAAGTTTAACTGCAATAACCATATTGGAGTCGTTAAAAACTCTTCATTTAAGCCCATGCACATTGCATGATGAATACCTTGGCCTTCCCTTTAACCCCCTTAGCCTTTTTCGTTTTTTGAAGCTCTGCCTGGGAGTTAGTTGAGATAACTTGATGAGGAAATAAAGTCAACACATTATTTGCTTCAAAACACAGAAAGTAGGATGATTATAATATTCAGTGTACCTGCTGAAGTTCCTCTCTTCTGTTCAGTTCTTCGTCTCTGTACTCCAAAATTTTTACTTTAAGCAACTTTGCCAAGACTGCTGAAGGCAGGAGCTCATCTGCCGATTTAAGCATGGCAAATATTTCTGGGAAAGATGTTTTTGATCCACTATCTTTACCTTTGCCATGCTCTTTTCCCTGAAATATTTTCTAATCTTGCAAACATTTCTTATGCATTTAAAAAAACAAATTAAAAAAACATGGATTCTACAGTACAACAAAGGTATTCTAACATAAATACCTGCGCAACAAGACTGTCCTTCTCAATATACACAAATCTCTGTCGAACATTTGTCTCTACAGCTGATCCCAGGATTTGTAATTGTAGTTTGTCTTCAACCTTGTCAGGCGATATGAGATAAACACTCGTCTTAAGTTCGTCCTGAAAAATGTTATATAGTTACAATACTAAATTTAATATTTCTTTATACAATTCCAAGTTATAATAATACAACTGTAAGGGTGATAATGATCTATCACCTAATCTAGTCATTGAGTTAAAATTTCAATCTGTATGATGAAATTAAAATCAAATCAAATAATAATGACACAAACATCATCACACGTCATAATAAATATTGTTACAAAACTTGAAATAAAAATTAAATAAGATAGAATAGAAACATACACTATACTACTAAAATATAAACATCATCAACTCACATTGTTGATAAGAGTGGATGCTAGACTGGCTTCCCAAGCACCAGTATTACTTGGTGCTGGATTAGTGGGAGTCTTGGGCTTTCCTTTGGGCATTTTAGAGGAGCATGTAAATCCTTCAAAAAATTACATAGGCTTTAATTGTCCCACAATAGTTAGTCTAGTTTAAATGATATATTTCTAACTGTGGGTGCCTGGAATAATATGCTAGCAGCTAACAAGTGAAATGTAAATTCAAATCAAAACTTTTAGACATGAATGTGGATGTTCTTGGGGCAAATCATTCTAACTGAAGATTTTGCAAGTCTGATTTTTATAGACTTTGGTTCCATCACTCTATCATATTAGCCAAAGCAGAGATATTAAGTTTACATTCTTGATAAAATTAAGTATGTGAATGGTGGTGTAGTACAGCAACTCCCGAAGACTGTTCCTACAACCCTACGAGACATATTTAAATGGTACGAAAGTCTGTGGTTTTTCGAAAAAAAACACCATATTTTCGGACTACCAAAATTTAGGTCACCATCATTATTTTCCCCAAATTATTCTTCACGTATTTTGCGATTAGTGGAAGATAACAAACACTGTCGGTCTCCTATACCCTCTAGAGCATTATAAGTTAAGTTGAGGCTAACTTTCAAAGGCTATGTAGAAATCGTTTACAAGATTAAAGTTGAAACAGCTGATCGGAGAAGATTTGTGCATTTAACTTTTTCAAATATTGGGTTTCATTTTTGTAAAATAAGGAGATGGAAAAAAATCCCCAAATACCATGATTTAATTTCCCATATTTTCGTTCCCGAATCATATAGGTCACTGGAATTATGTCGAACATAAATATGTCTCGTAAGGTATACAGAGTCAAGAGTAGAGATACTTTACAAAAACATTATTCAACCGTCACATTAGTAATATTACAATAATGTATTATTGTATATACAGTACATTACTATACAGATGTACCAACGAAGTATCATACGAAGATTATTTATCTTTAAGCAGGACTATTCCTAATTTAAACCCTCGATCACGTTTCTGACATTAAAGACAGAGGATTATTAATATTGACCCTGGTCATTAGGAAAGTTCGCACGAGATGGACCACGTTTTTCCCAATTTAACTTTAGAAGATTGTCACAGGAAGAAATTGTTTGATTCACGATGTCAATCCTTCGCAGCTCGGTGAGGCACAGTGGTGCATCTCGCCGATCTACCGAAGCGAGAAGCATTATTTGATGCGTGCGCGACCCAGTAGTGCATCGCGCTACAAGAAATTGTAAGATAGGCATATTATGATATTTTACATATCTATAGTTAAACTAATTGAGTTTCGATTAATAGTAAAACAAAGAATTTTTAGTAAAAGTAAAACAAAGTATTTTTAGTAAAAGTTAAAAAATTTTTGAAACATTTAGTCGAAGGCAAATTGAGGCTAACGAGTCATTTAACATTTAGTTTTTATTTATAATGACAGCCTCCAAGCATGCAATAAAAATTTAAACATGTTTAATCAAAATTTGTTTTCTCTAATTGAGGAAAAAAATTATCAGACCTGAGGCTAATAAGTCGATCATTGCTAATTTTTGAATTATATTTGAATAATAACGTAAATCAGAGTATATCCTCTGATTGGGCCGCACAGGGGGGGGGCTGAAACCAGGTTTTCGATCAAATGCTGCCATTTGTAGTCAAACGTCGCCAACAGTTGCTCTCGTCCAATGAAATCGCTGCATTTTGCAAATCAGTATGCATAATTGAATTACATATATTCATATGCGGAGCTTGGCTTACATAATGCAGCGATTTTATTGGACGAGAGCAACTTTTGGCGACGTTTGACTACACATGGCAGCGTTTGATCGAAAACCTGGTTTCAGCTCCCCCTGTGGCCGCGCCGCGCACTCAATTATGCTTCTCGAGCTATATCGCGGCGAAATGCGCAACTGGGCCTCGCCGAGCTGCGATGAATTTACATTAATTATAAAACAAATATTTAAAAAAACAAATATTTATTTTTACGTCACAATCAAACAATATCAATAATAAATAAATCAGGGGAGGTTTGAAAAGGTTTCAAGTGCACTTAACTGCTTATCTTTAGGATTTGAGAGTGACCTGTGCTTGAAACCCCTTAACCATCCACTACGTCAATATACTTGTTATACAAATATAAAAAATATAATAATCTAAAATTACTTATTGGTTTAGTTTGGTGACATAGGAGAGCCCAGTTTAGTTTTAGTTTAGGTTTAGGTTTTAATCATAGTTTAAAAGGTTCGTTAGCCAGGCCAATGGCCATGTTTCATGGCATAGAGAGATATCATGTGTGCAGAGCTAGCCGTACCGGATTTATTGTAGCGCGATGCGCGTTACTGTGCCGCGCCGCGCACTCAATGAGGCTTATCACAGCGAGATGCGCTACTGTGCCGCGCCGAGCTGAGATGAATTGACATCGTCAATTAACAGATTTAGAATTTGAGGTATAATATAAAGTAGTTACCATGTATTAGGTCATCTCGATTTTGGAGGGATAGCAAGTGCTTTTTAAGGTTAGATTTAATAATACCTGACGAGGCTGACCTCTAGCCTCTGACTTGTCATACGTTGTATGCAGTATGACCCGCCGCGCACGAAGTGCGCGGCTCCCCCTGTATTGTCACTATAGTGAAACGACCGTGGGGGTCGCAACGTGATACAACCTCTGACCGGACCAAAAATATATAAAATGGATGCTTTAGGTTTAATTGTAGTGCAATGCACTGCCACTACTGGGCCGCGCTGCGCATCTTCTCGCAACCACAAATCATTTCTAATTTTTGAATTATTTTTGAACAATAACAATAACGTCTATCAAGTATTCTTCGATCACCTAAAATACAAAATAAATGCAGCGCTTGCTCATCATGCTACTAGTACTAGACTTCGAAGAATAACATCCGTTAAGGTTTACATGTAATTTGATTGTAAATGAAAATTTTAAATAAGGTTTTGGCAGAAATCTATATTCAATAATTTTACAACGTCTACATAATGGGTCCTTGTAACTTGGCAAAAATGTTAATTTTAATTGTTAACTAGGTTTTGCATGTTCAACAGAAACATTAAATATGAGCTGGCGATGCGATCGCGATTTTTGATATTTTGCTCCTATTATATAAGCTGAGGAGTGAGGTATGAGGTTAACAATGAGTTTACCTAGCCATGAGTCTAGGCGTACTGCGTGACGGTACGCGCGTTCGAACCTAGCCATAAGTCTACGCGTATTAATTAACGATGTAAATTCATCGCAGCTCGGCGCGGCACAGTAGCGCATTTCGCCGATCTAACGATGTGAGAAGCCTCATTGGCACAGTAATGCATCGCGCTACAAGGAACATTTTTACCCCCCTCCGAAATTAGTTTTACACATGACTATTACGTATCAAAATTACACTAGCGTAATCATTCGGAAACTCCCCTCTACTCAGCTGATTACGTAATATAATGTGAATTAATATGTGAACGACCCCTTAAGATGAGAGCAACAAAATGTTATAAATAAGAACCGCAGTTATTTGTGAGGTTAACTGATTAAATAAGCAATTGTTAACCTCAATTTTTCGAGCTCTACTAACTGCTGCTCACTGCTTGTAGCGCGATGCGTTACTGTGCCGCGCCGCGCACTCAATAAGGCTTCTCACAGCTGGCTAGATCGGCGAGATGCGCTACTGTGCCGCGCCGAGCTGCCATGAATTGACATCGTCAATTAACTCACTGCTTGCTCTATCCAAAGCCCTTGCGCTTGCAGTAGCGCACGCTGAAACAAGCGCGCCCGCAGCGGCGCGAAAGCACATGGTTAGGTGATATGAAGCTCACTGCTGCTATGGGCGTGCGCGCGACAGCAGCAGTGAGCAGCAGTTTGAGGGATGTTACTCGTCTAAATTTCTTCGAAGTAGCGCGCACCGCTTTCTTCTCGGGCCAGATCATTAACAATGGTCAAGCAGCAGTGAGCAGCAGTTTCTTTGCACTATGATCGAGATAGTCCTTCGTGGGCTAAGGTTAGTGCATGCGAGCGTCAGGTAGTACGTACACGTGGTCTGCCAACTTCACATAGCCATGTGTATACGCGTACTGCGTGACGCGCGCTACTGCAAGTGAGAGGGCTCTGGTTAGAGCAATCTGCCAACTGGGGAAAAAAGTTGTGGCCTCGGACCCCCCGGCCCTGTGGCCTTAAAGCCGTAGTACATACATACATATTAAATTACACTGAATCGAGCTTACACAGTGTAATTTCCTCCAGTCTGCGCCGCGTAACGTACGTTTATATAGGCGCGCGGCGCAGACTGGAGGAAATTACACTGTGTAAGCTCGATTCAGTGTAATTTAATATGTATGTACTATACGGCTCAACACTATGAACTAATGTTTGGCAGTTTTAGGGTTAAGTATGGACTCTGATTTGTGTATGATTATTTCTTATTGATATTATATTCTGTTATCAGTTAGTATGTTTCATATTCCAATTTCAATAAAACGAAACGGAAATCGGGTCTTTTCATTTACGGACCTAGTGTAAAATGATTAAGCGCTTGAAATGCCGCCAGAGTATCATCAAAGCCTCCCCTCCCAAGGAGAAACATAAATTGGAATAATTTAGACATTTTCAGAAATTTTGGTGTGGTTTAAACATTAGAAAGGGTACAGTATTACATAGGACTACTTTTCTGTAAACAAATGATAAACTCAAATTAAGATGGTCTTTAATATCAACATAACAATAAGTTGGTGAGAATGGTAGATACTATCATTTTTACTGTCTTTCATTGTTCATACAGTAACCCATAACTGATCTCATAAAATAAACGAGAAACTACAGAAAATTTCAGAAAATATCCACACATTAATGACACTTACAATCTATGTTACAAAATGTATTTACATATAATTTTGAACTCTTTTTACTCTGAATAATCATCTCAATATCAGTGTCTGTACGAAAAGTCTAAAAACACGCTCCTCTCAGCCCGAAGGCACATTGTTCACAACATTGTTCACAACATTGTTCACGGAGTATTCTGAGCAAGGACCCGCATATTTTGTCTGATAAAGTTCTTCTTGACACCTGGAGAGGGCTTTGGTAGCCTGCTAGGGGTGGTGGTCACTCCAACTGGCACACTAAAAGCCGGACTTTGTCCCTGGATCACGTACGACCACTGGTTTGTCGGAGTCTGAAATTATTACCGCTCATAATTTTCAGTATCACTATCTACTGTATTACAGTTTGAATTAGTGCCGCGTCGAAACAAATGGAGAGGCATAACAGACAAGATAAAAGCTATGTTGGAAGTTAAAATGGTGAGTTTGAATTTACTCCGGCGCGAGGACTAAAGTAAAGCGACTACATAACAATGTAATAATTAAGAAAGTTGCTGTTTTAATAATGCTTCCGTTCCCCACCTGAACAATAAGTTTGGCGTTGTGAGTTTTTCCGTAAAGGGTGGGTTTATAAGCGACACAAATAAGAGTTCCCTCAGTTCCCAGAGGCAGAAGCTGTCCTGTCGGAGGATAGACCCTGAAATCAGGATCTGATCCCTTATCTAGATATGCTTCGTACGAGATACTGGAACTGGGGGTCAAAGTTGGAGTTAGTTTGGGTGGTTTATAGTGTTTTAAAAATATTGGAATTATTCTAAATCTCAATTAAAACATAATCATAACAACAAAATAAATAAAACAAGAATTTCGCCGCGGTGAAACCACGCACGATCAATTTTCCCTACGATGTACTTGTACCATTAATTCTTTTGAGTGAAAAGTGTGACTGGAAAAAAGTGCATCATATTTACATACTATGTTTTTTATAAATGAGTGTGATTCGTGCATGGTATAAATTGACGATTTATTTGACCAATGCAGCGCCGCGCATCAACAATAAATAAATCCAGAAAATAGCGGAAAATAACTTTGCGAAGGAGGAATTTCACTGTAATTAATTAACACATGGCTAGCGTCGAGCGCAGCATAACAGACGCTTCCTATACACTTAATTATAGGGGAGTGGTCTATATTTCGAAGGAGCAGACTTTTGTCATCATCGCAGGTCCATCGGGCCACCTCATATATCCAAACCCGATTACTTATTCCCTACGATCTTTTTGCCTTCGGCAAGAGTAGGGAAAAAAAATTAGATATTGGATTATTTTGTTGTTACAAAGTTGCAATATTTTCATCGTAATTTGTCATTGCGCGCGTGCAGGATTGCATGTACTATATAGAATATTTAGTACGCCGCGCACAAATTTTGGGCTAATTTAATTTGAACGGCATCGTTTGACAATTGAAATTCGCGTTGGATACTGCAATTAACTAACACATGCCGAGCGTCGCGCGCAGCATAACAGACGCTTCCTATACTCATAATTATAGGGGAGTGGTCTATATTGCGAAGGAGCAGACTTTTGTCGTCACCGCAGGTCCATCGGGATAGCTCATATATCCAAACCCGATTACTTATTCCCTACGATCTTTTTGCCTTCGGCAAGAGCAGGGAAAAAAATATCCTGACCAAGTTTAAAACCCTCATACCTATCAAGGCTGTTGAGTCTGATGCCCACGACAGAGTCCTTGTGCAGACCTGAAGCTCTAATCACGATACTGTCGTCAGGTTCGGCTGAGGTAGAGTGGATTGTGAACGGGTAGATCCACCGACCTCCATTTTTACTGTCCACTGTTAACTTTACTGTCTTCCTGGTAGGGAGATAATTGTTAGTTTTCAGTATTAATCGGCTAAGCTGAGTCATTGATAAAGTCAAGCTGATTTAATTCGTTGTTTTAGACTACGATATTTATATAAAATCTAATCTGAAGTAACTGAAATAAGAACATAAGAATTCTTTACTTGATGGGTTTGCCGGGAGCGAAGACTAGAGTAAAGGTAATGAGACTGAGGCCAGGAGGAGATATGTGAGAAGAAGAACAGTGTTGTAAAGAAAGCAGATTTGTCTCGTCTACTGAGAAAGTGAACTCTTGTTCGGATTCCTTCTTCTTCCATCCTTCTTTTAGCTCACTCGGTCTATCGCTTACTAAAGTTTAGGGAGCATTATTGTAAGTTTTAACTGTTTTATAAAAAGTTGTTTTCCAAACATTTTTAGTACAGAATATCTTGATGTCTCCCAGATCTACAAATTATGTTAAACTAAGAAAAATTACCCAGATGCCAAACACTTACTGGCTGCCTCAGTGTATTTCACGTTCTGTGTAGGTTTCACTGAGTTCGTATCCAGAATTATTTCCATGAAGCACTCCTTCCGTTCTTTTGACTTGCAACTTATTACCGGTAACTGGTAACCTTTACTAACATTGAAAACTGGCGTTCCTGCAAAAAAGGCCCGCCAAGTCAAGACAAATATGTGATACGAGTAAAACAATTGAACATGATATTTTGTAGATTCTAGAGAGCAGAAACTAAAATTCAGAACCAGTAAGAAGACTATTTACCCTTTACAGGGAATTGCCATTTAACACCGTCCACTTTGGATCCTTCCTCAACTACCTCCACTACAATATACGCAGAAGCCTGAACCATGTCCAAAGGTCTGAAGGTGAATGGTAATTCCAGGACACCCCGCTCTGGCACCGTCATCAGCTCCTCATTCACTAGGAGCTCGAACAGTTCATCTGATGGGGCAACTAAACGGGTTAGCTGGTTAGTTTAGTGTAACTTAGTTCATCCGATGGGGCAACTAAACGGGTTAGCTGGTTAGTTTAGTGTAACTTAGTTCATATGGTGGGGCAACTAAACGGGTTCTAAGCTGGTTAGTTTAGTGTAACTTAGTTGATATGGTGGGGCAACTAAACGGGTTAGCTGGTTAGTTTAGTGTAACTTAGTTCATATGGTGGGGCAACTAAACAGGTTCTAAGCTGGTTAGTTTAGCGTAACTTAGTTCATATGGTGGGGCAACTAAACGGGTTCTAAGCTGGTTAGTTTAGTGTAACTTAGTTCATATGGTTGGGCAACTGAACGGGTTAGCTGGTTAGTTTAGTGTAACTTAGTTCATACAGTGAGTGATGGGTTACTTGGTTAATTGAACTTAACTTCTTGAAGTAACTTGAACTAAGTCAGAGAACTAAATTTGGGGTATTTTAGGCAATACCTTATAAGAATTTATCTTATATGTCAGCATTGCAAACTATATTGATGAATCTAAAAGTTATCCAAACATGAATTAACCATAAAACGTACTTTTGTGTTCTATCTTATTCCTCTCCAGAAGTCTACATGACACAGTTATAGGATGATCTAGAGGGTTCTTGAAGGGTAGGAGAGTCTGGGTGACTTGTCCTAGAGAGCAGGCGATATTCACAGGATCCATCACTGTGGGTCTTATACCCTGTCCTTGCAAGGTGTACGACCATTCTCCTAACTGAAATATATTGTTCTTTAACTGTGCTTTAAGGTAGAACAAAATATAGGATATGAAAATCGACCAGGAGAGAGACCAAGATTTTTGGAGGAGGAATTTGGAGGATTACAGATCGGTGAACTGGGATTTCTCCAGGAAATAATCACGATTCACGTTTTATCATAATTTGAATTTAATTTATCCAAACACCTAAGAAAATATAAAATTGATAAATGTCACATAAAAACCTGAGGGCTGGAGAACTCAACGTGACAAGTATGTTTGTCACTGCTACCAAGAGACGAAGGTATAAAGGTTACTTCCAGGTCTACTTTACCATTTCCTGGGACTGATACTTTCCTCTGAAATAATATCTGGTTGTAATATCGTGAATTGAGATAATAATTGAGATAATAAGCAGGGCCAGAAATAAAGGGTATTTGGCGACGTATCTTCAAAATAATCCTGAACTAACCTGACTGTGCAGCACAAAGTGGGAAGTGTTAGAAAGAGTGATGTGAACCAGACAGCTGTCCGGCAGATCGTTCCTCACTGATATCAGGGTAGTCTCAGTTTTACCCAGTTCAGCGCACATCTGTGGCAGGGAAACGGGGCGGGGTTTCTCTGCGTTCAGTTTCACCTCGTACCAGAACTCTCCTGATAACAGGAACATGAATAACTTTGCGGAGTTTGAAGTTCATATTTTGTAGTTCATATTTTGTACGTAATGACTGAAAAGACATCCTGTATAAAACTAAACGAACTTACCGAGCTCTTCGCTGACAAACACAACTTTTCCCGCAGATTTTCCAATAAAGGTTGGCTTGTAAAGGATCTCATAGCAAGCTTCTGTCTTGGGGCCCACGGAGACAGTCGGGGGTCCTGAAACCCCCTCCCCTTCACACGCTACATCAAATATCACTTCCTTATCAGTCGGGTTAGAGATAGACAGCTGCAAGATACAAATGTTAGTTGTAACCAGTACAGTGCGATTACACACATACTACACACATACTACTCTTTATAAAAATAAGAAAACATCAAAAACTCAGGACAGTGAGAACATCAAACCTCTAGAGTTAGCGCTTTCTTAGCCTCACAGAAGAGATCAACAGTCTTCTCTGGAGGAGGAGGGTCTACAAATATCTCCACGGAGTACCAGACGCTGTGTGCTTCTGTTGTGTTACTACTTGTACTCTCTCTCCCACTAACTGAGGGGATTGTCTGGTTGGGTGCCTGCAGCAATCCATTTGAATATGGAAAATATTGTGAAAAGCAGAGCCAGAGGGATATATTTTGTGCCAAGTCGAACGGGTGCGAACTGCGAATGGAATTACAAATCACGGATGGAATTACAAATTCAGCAGGGTCCTTATAATTAGCTAACTTATATTTGAGTTTGACTTACCAGACCCTTTGATTGACTCGAAGCTGAAAACGCCTTTGTAAACCCCCTGCTTTATTGGATAAGCTGTGATCTCGTAAGGAACTGATATTCCTCCTTCTATCGAGATCTCGTGTAGTCCCACTATGCAATCCAGATCAGTGTACGCCTATTGTGGGGGTGTTTGAGAATCAAAAGGGGCGAGATAATTCAAGAAAATCGATAACTGAATTATCACATTAACAATTTTAATTTCTTGATAAAATATTAATTATTGTAATTCGTATTTGAATGAATGTTTAAGTCTTAAAATAAGGAATTTTAAAAATAAATTGAAGCTAACCTGGAAAGTTTTTCTCCTCTCAGAAGGATTATGAACGTAGACAGTATGAGAAGATTTCTGTCTGGCATGGCACCTCAAAGTAACAGTCTCCTGTGGAAGTGGCTTGAGTCCTGATCCGGACAATTTAAACTTGTGAACTGTTCCGTTTGCTACGTTCGTCAGCGTCAACTCTCCCTGTGGTGTGGAAATATTGTACAGTTTTGTGTTGCAATTAGTACAACCCTTTTAATCGAACCAAAAATAAACTACTGGTGTTTCGGAGCATCAACTGTGAGGGCACCTCCTTTCGGGGTATAGTGAGAAATAAGTAAGACTTTTAAGCTGATCAAATAAGAACTAACCAAGAAGCACTCAAGTACTGGTTGTGTCTGTTAATTGCTATAACAGACAACTAGGAAATAAGAAGAGATACAAACCTCAATTTCGCCCTGATAAAGAGGTTTGAACATGAGAGGATAAAGTGAGGTAGAGGATGATTTGGCGAGCATGGTAGGAGGTCCGAGATACGCCTCACCTTGGATCACAGCAGACAAATTCCAATCATGCTGCGTTTCGTTTATCTGGCAGGAGGTGGATTAAACTCATTGATAAGGAGAAACTGTTAAAGTTTCACTTTCACAAAAAGAAGTTTCATTTTCGGAATTTTCTATTCACTTTGAGAATTTCCACTTACGATTGGTATCTCCTGTACAACGCTCTGCATTGTAGGAGCACTGAAGAGGATCTCTGCCTGAGTCGTACTGGGAGTACAAGTAACCTCCAATTCGTACACTCGGATATCGCCACTGTTTACTAAAACTACCTTGGCTGGGTAGAACCCTTGTCCGTCCGCCTGAAAGAGGTTCATACATTATACATTTATACAATATACATTATACTATACAGTATACTATACACTTACATTATACTAACTCTATCATTCACGAGATGGCCAACTCGACGGTCTATTAAGCAAATGAAATTCAAAGCGAGTCAAAATATGTGTGTTGCCTCAGAAGCACCTGGATATGGCGCATGTGAAAATACAGTTCTGCTAACCAATATTTCTAGAGTGTGAAGAATATGATACCCGATTGTTACGATAAAACAAGATAATCTACCTGGAAGGTGAAAGGAAGTTTAGCTCCAATGCCCGGATCACATGATACCCGCTCCGGGAACACGAAGTGTTTGCTGTTGCAGTGAACCTTGAAGTGGCCGGTGTCGTCGGGCTTGTTGGGTTCCTTGTTTACCTGCTCCAAACAGGCTACACTGGCACTGGCCAGCGTTCCAGTCAACTTTCGTCTTCTTATCTGAGGGAAGAAGGGTCAGGATGACATTCAGATGCTGATGTTGTTGTTTAGATTTCGTCTGTGCGATTACCCAAAGTCTAGCAGTAATTCGTTTTCATAACATTTAAACATAGCCAAGAAATATCCGATTGATTTGGCTCTAACGTCTTAATCCTCATTTTAGACAGAACACGATTTTAATTGAAGAATCAAGAAATATCTTTGCCGCCCTGATTTATATAAAAGGATAAAAGGTCACAAAACTAACGATAATAACATTAATTTAATCACAATAGTGATAATCCTGAAATGATTTACACATCATGAGCAAGTTATGGCCCCCTGATTAGGCCTATCTCAGAATAGCAAAGGTTTAAAATCAAACGCAGACTAATTCTACCAGACCAAATTCGAAGTAATTCTACCAAATAGTTCAAAAAACGTGGGGGGATCTTAATTTCATCTGGAGTGCAAGTTATTGGCATTGACTCATAAGCGATCAGATTTAACAGAGCTGAAAACTTCGCCTTAATATTGTTCAACACAAAATATGAGTTATCTTTTCGAAGGTATCAACTTATCCATAACAGAGAACAACCATCGCAACACAACTGTTCTATGATAATTAGTCTACTATCAGTTTCAAGTGTAGAACAACTTCTAGAACAATCCCACAATGCAATTATTTTAACACTTACCTCAGTTTCACTCATCCTGTGCTGAGCGGTCTCGATGAGAGCCTCCATCTTCTGGGGGTTCTCTGCGGGGATCTCCAGTACCCCCTCCAGCTCCTTTTCAGGGTCACACCGGTACCTTATCACGTTACTGCTACCTGTGTTACCATGGCCATGGTGATGGGTTAGCAGGCAACTTATAATAACATGGAAAGTGTGAGCTCAATCAAGTAAAATGTCATATCAATACTAATAGTCAATATTTGTTGGGTCAATAACAGTAAAACAGACAAAAGTAGTTTAAACTGAGTAACTTTGCTGACCTGAGCCGAGGATATCCTGTCTCATTCTGTCTACAGGAGATTTCAGTCTGATATCCTTGTTTTTAGACAAGTTTAGTGGTTCAGGATACAGTCCCATCCCTTCTATGTTCTGTGTATGAAGACGTGAGATGTTGCTTACAAAAACGTATTTTGTATCCAGATAAAAGTGAAATATACATTATACGTACGTTGAACTATCTAGATGCGTGATATTTTCAGTAAGCTTTTCTGCCACAGTATTTCCCGCCCCAGATTTGACCCTAACATAACATTACTTCAGGATCCAGTACAATAGGATTGAGATAATAAGTCAAACCTGTAAGAATTCGCCAACTCCCGGACAAGAAAAGAGGAGAGCACAGTTCCTGGGGCCAGGGTGAGAGGGGCAGGAACTCCAGCTCTAGGTTAGCAGTACCCCCTGGTGCTAGCTCCACTGTGGTCTCAGAGCACCAGAATGATGATGGGGAACTTGTCGGCACCGCAGCTGGAAGGGGGAGGCGGTGTTTATTATAGTTCTCATGGCGAAAGAGCTGTTAGGAGTTATTAACCCGTGTTTATTATGGTTTCCATGGAATTCAAAGTTTAAAATTGTGGATTTAAACCCCCCAAATCATTTAACTCGACAAGCCACGTGCATAACAGACAAATGTCGCATAAGGAGGATATGCTGAATGGTACGGTTTAAAAATAAGACAGACCAAATCAAATCTAGAGGACGAAGACGACAGAATGCATACTTTGTAAAATTTCCATCGGCTAAATAGACGAATTTCGATTCCTAAAATGAACATCATTCATTTTTAGCGCGTTTTATATATACACAAAATGTGTGGGAGTAAGTGCTTTACATTTTCGAATGAAATAAAATCAGCAGATTCCCCTCATCGAGCGGATTATCTGACAGTTACTGATGTGTACAACCGCATCAGTTGTACAACAAAGTTCCTACCTTTGGTCACGTCGAAACTCCCAACGGTTGTGTCGGATATGTTAGGGTTTTGCTGCTTCTTTCTGCTCTTCAGTCCTTCCTTTAAACCCTTACTCTCCACCAGTGCTATCTAATAAAATAGTAATGATTTAACCAACTCATAACCGTGAATATTGACAAAGGATTCATTATTTCTTGGGTATAAAGAGGAGCTCTTACAGGAAATGTCTCCTAAATACAGCCTAAACCCAAATTAGCAATGTTACCTTGAAGGATCCACCGTTACCGAGAGGGTTGGTTACAGAGAGGGGGAACTTGAGAGGCTTGTACACTGCACTCTCTACTTGGACTGTACTCTGGAATAGAGCTGTGAGTGAAACATGAACTCACAGAAAATAATAGCAGTTGTTATTAAATAAAATGTAGTAAAATCAATTCCAGGGATTTTGTTTTAAGTAAAATTGCACTATATAACCTGATGTACAGAGTACATGGAGAAAACTCTAAGTCTTTGAAAACCGATTCTAAAGCAAGATCTAGTCTATAAAAGAATGACAACAGACTTACGATAGGGAAAATGTCGTTGACGAGGGACTGTAGACTGAACACGAGAGTGCTGCCACACGCTACCCCAGTTCGTCTGGAAACTAACATGAGGGCAGCGTTGCAAGGGTGCAGCCAGCTCGAACTGAACCGGACCTTTATCAGTGCGTGAGAGTTAGCACTTATCTGAAGAATGTTAGGAGTTAGTTTTAGCTGTATGAGAGGGATGAATTATGGATTTTTCTAACGTTAAAATTGTAATTTGTATAGGTCAACTATAACATCTTAAGGTTGGATGGCTGTATATATAATGTATAATGTATAATGTACATTGTACAATGGTGTATCGTGTATAGTGTATAATGGTGTATGGTAACGGTTACTAACATTGAGAGTAGAAGGTTGTACAGAGAACGAGGCGTGGTCCTCACCCACTACAGTCACACAGTAGGAGATTGTCTTGTTGGAAGGGTTCTGAACCTTCAGCTCCTTTAGAACAGGCTGGTGTAACGCTCCTTCAAACATTACTGTTGTTTTAGGTCTGAAATTATGTAGTTTAGAGGAGGTGTAATCGCTCATTCTAGAGGAAATTGGCTGGGTCGTCGATGATATTAAATAACATCAATTTTGCGGAGGACCAAAACTCAAATAAAAACGTCAAACCATTTTCAAAAACCTAATTAATTATGAAATTATTAATTATAAATCCACGACTTACTTGTACTGAGGAAGTGTAATGTAGAGATGAGTAATAAAGAGGAGCATGTTAATGGCATTGGGCTGCATTATATCAGTAGGATGGATATCGTAGTCCATCCCCAGGGTCCGCAGGGCGTGTATTATAGAGAGAGCGTTGTGGAAACACTCCTCCGGGGACCTCACGTTCAGGTACATGTCAGAGAAATGGAGGTTCACCTGTCGAGAGGGAGCTGGTTATTGTTTAGATTATTCTGGACAGAGATTTGGCTATTGTTTAGATTATTTGAGAGTTACATTCTTTATGGTAGTTTTGTTTGTTCTGGAAGTTCGGGATTTTAATTTAATTCATGAACTCGCTCATATTTGTGTGCTTTATCCGGCTCAAGAAGATTATCCTGTTTTAGAGCTTAGAATCTGTCCGTATTTGGAGTGAAAGTGAAAGTGAAAACTTTGTGAGACTAAGAGTAAGAGTGAAAGCTACCTATGTGGACACTTATAATGAAAGAGAAAGTGTTTTAGACTAAGCATAACTGCAGGGTACTCTAAGAATATTCTAGACAGGGACCTTCTTCATTTAACCCTCAATCACGGATTTTCGGATCATTCTGCTGAGTCGACCGGAGCGACTCAGCAGATGATCGGGAGTTCAGAGAAAGTGAAAGGATAGGAGAATAGGAATGGAAGTAAACAAAGTGGGCATTAATCGTAAAAGTGAAAGTGAAAGTGTTGTAGGCAAGAAATGGATGCAACTCAGCAGTCAAATTCATGAGATTCAGAGCATGAGTGACGCGCACAATGGAGCAGGAGCCACCACCAGTAACCTATTATACCAGACTCTCTTTCATCACCCTTTAGACTCTGACAATGCTCAGTTTCTTTAGAATAGCGAAATAATGGTACCTACAAGAAGGTGGTCCCCTAAACGGTTAGCTGCTAGGTAACACTGATAATCGTACAGAAAGAGACTAATTTTATACAGAAGAGGGTTGCTTGGTTTCATTGTCATTGTGAGCATACAGTTATTAGTCCCACTTGTTACTCTCTAGTTTATACAATGAGCAGATAAACTCCCCCACGCATGCAGGCTGCTGACGTAAAAGAAAGAGAAAGAGATCTACAAACGTAAGATAATGACTCTCTGTAAGGGAAACCACTTCTACACCTGCACACGGACACGTTATATAGCTTTAGCAGCCCACAAGACAAATTATTTCCTATCCAATATGAATCTCACATATTGTAAAATTATAACATTATAATGTGAAACTTGAAGGATAATAACTTTGCGGGTATTTCCGTTTGTAACTGAGTCATGTTCCCGCGCTGAGAAGGGACATTTCCTGGTTATATAATAAAAATGTGGACTGGTATGATTAAACTACAGATAATGCTATAACTGCGGATTATAATGGACATGTCAGACCGGATGAAGTGCAAAGTTATTGTTAGCAACCTAACCGCAACTGTCGCCACGCACTGTAAAGTAACTTTCACTTCACTTTCTCTATTAACAGTAAGTTGAACACGTGCTTTTAAAACAGACTTTGTCTCGTGCTTGAATCACAGCTGACAAATAGAGAAAAACTGCGGAGGCGTGCTGAAAATAATACAAAGAGTTCTCAGGCTTTGATACGCAGGTCACCATGACAACAAGAGATGAAACTGAATATAAGATGGGGCGGGAAGATATTTACAGCTCCATTATTCGTAGCTCTAGAGGAAAGTGAAACGAGTATAATTACCATAGAAACGTCTAGATTCTATTTAAATTATACAAAGTATTAAAAGTAAGGACCTGCATGTGATACTTACAGAATACAGTATCTGAAAAGTTCTTTCAAATCTTACAGAGATCGAGAATTGCTAGCCCTTAACAACCCTACTGGCATTTTTTGTGACACATTTTAAAGATTGTACCAGTAACATACAAAGAATAGGCAATTATCAGTTTTATTACGATCATCTTCTTTCTGACAGATGATATTTCAACAGGCAACCAGTGAGCTCACTTCTTCAGAACAGTTTGTTTCAGACGCTCTAAAAATTCAGTTTGTTTTGCACTGAACTCACATTTCTACTCAGATGATATTTATATTCAGAGACAATATTTGCGCATAATGTTCCGCAGCCCAACTGGGGAAAGATACGTCTTTTTGTTTTCCCTCATGTCGGGGAGAATCTTGGGAGATGTTGGGGAGTTGATATATTCCTACGTTTCACTGCTTTATTCTTAAATATTCTTTATGGAGCGTAATCTCCGAGAATAGCCAGAACTTGTACAATAATTGTTAGACATAGAGCAAGTGAACTTACTTTCACTTTCTGCGTGAAACTTAAAGTTTAGTAATCGGACACAAATGCACCACGTGACCGTTTATCGCAGCATTACGCTCCACGTGACTTACTCACGGAAAATATCGCTTTCGTAGAACAAGTTAGAGGTGCTCCATTATAGTATTATCGATCTGTTGCTTTGAGCTCATGTCCGTACTATCAGTTTCTCTCTCGCTGCACGTGGCGGTACTTAGTCGCACAGTGCGCGCCACGTGATTTGCACGTGCATAACACGTGACAGGGGGTCACGCTGCAACGCGGTGTTTTACGCCTGCCTTTTTATGTCACTCCCTGCCACTTCTACAGCAGACAGTTTCTTTCTCAACATTTTAGCTTTAGCTAGCTTATCTGTATACGATTAACATCTTATTCTTATCATACTGTAAAACTTAACCAGATACTTTCGCAGCATTTTCACGGATTTTTGGGTCCTTTAAAAATCGCAAATCTAAATTCACCGCGGAAATTAATGGTTTTACAGTAGCAGTCTATTCTGAGACAATATAGAACCCCGATTATTTACTTCGTTACTGCATCATTAATTTATGAGTTCCTTACATTAGTTACAGTTACCAACTTAATAATTACACAAATTAGTTACTTACATAAAGTTAAACTAATTTACATCTGTTTAGCTAAGATGAAGATGTTCGCTCTCCTCCTCCTGGTGGCAGGTAATTTGCATTTTAAGCTTAATTCTATTTTAAACTACAGCAAAACCCCCATTTATTAATTACCATACTTTTTCTTTCCCCAAACTGCACGGTAAATCAGGGTTTTTCCTGTATTTTGTTAGTAACCATTTGAACTTACATTGAGTGATATATTTAATTTTAACTGAGAAAATACTAAGATTTCTACACCGTTCGTTTTCCCTGCCAGCATATTATAGAGGTTCTACTATATTATATAAGCAATCGATACATTTCTATAATTCTCCATATCAAACAAATGATTATGCAGTTTACCGAAGTGAAGCCGCGATCAAATGCGTGCAGGGTACCGACGGAACGGCAGCTGGAACAGATTGCGCGGGCGAGAGTGAAGCCGCATCCGACTGCAGCCAGTAAGTCATTCAATACTTCACGCAACATTTCTGACACAATTTTCTAGTTGTGTTTCTAAACGCTTTCTGACTGAAGTATATCCTAACATGGTCTGGAGGTGGCCCTAAATCCCACTTATTTTCCTGAATTAATCAGACTCTCTCAGACAGGTATACACCATACCTGGTATACACTACTTTCTAAGACAGGTATTATACACTGGCACCATATCAAATTATCGGGATCACATATGTATTAAGTATTATAAACGTAGATGACCCGCAGGCCCAAGTTCGTCGAATACACAGGGATGAGTGCAGTGGTCGAGTACAAGTGTGGAGCATGTGCTGCCAACACTGAAGCCACGTGTGAGTCCTGCACTGGGGCAGCCGAGGCTTGCAACACGGTGAAGGAGACCGCTGACGACTTCAAATGTAAGAACTACGCGTACAGTGCCACTGACAAGAAGTTCAACGCCGCAGCGGATTCCACTGTTTGCAAACGACTCAAGGCTACCAAGATCATGTGCAACATGTACGTACCCTTCTTAAATATCGATCTTATCATATTTATTCTTAATTAATACTTTATATTTATCCATGATTAATTGCTTAAATGACACCCAAAATTAAATTTGCCTGTGTGTTAATATGTCAAAACAGTATCCGCTCAAGTTGAATCAGCTCAACTCTAACACTAACTTGACACTTTGACAGGCCCGGAACTAAAGCTACTGACGCGTACAAGGTTAAGATGGCGGGATGTGGACCCTGCACAGCTGAAGATAAAAAGAATGAGCTGTGTGCTGAGTGCGACACAGCAGATTGCACCAAGGCCTCCTCCGCCACCGCCCTCGCCGCCCTTCTCCTCCCCCTCATCGCCTCCCTCTACACTCTCTTGTAGGCACATTGTGACTTGTGTGAACTTTGAGAATATTCTTCACGAGAACTTCCTATTTACTTATTTACATTTGTATGATATGTCATTTCTGTTTTACTAATATTTTATTACTTGAGAAATCCTTTAGTTATCCGGGTGTTTTTATTGGTACAAGATATTGCTGCATAGACATTGAATATTGAGTAAGCAGAAATTGAAATGATATAATTATTTGTCAAAGGTCGTTGGATCATTCAAATTAAATAATTGACTACAAAAGATAAGATTATGACACGTTACTTCTGCTGATTTCAGAGTATTATAACATCCACTAACAATATTATAAAGGGACACAGAACATTAAAGAATGAATCGTGATGTTCCAGGCCTAATCTGAACATTATCTTTTTCTATGACTGGCGAGCAAAATGGAACTGGGCATTGTTTCAAGTTAATGCTGTAATCTAGATAGAATAGAAAATAAGGCTCTCCGAAAATAATGATAACCCAATCTGTGGTCGTTGGTCATCGATTCCTATTAGACAAAAAGTTGAGGAAAAATTACGGATACCTGTTCGCCGTTCGGGTAAAGGAAACTATTCCGCTAAAGTGACGTTTTGGTTTATTTATACTAGATACCCTAAAAAATACATGAAAATTACCATTTCAGGATATCTAGAAGCGCCCGGTATATCGTGGCTCGGCAAATTAGAGTTTGACTAAAAACCCTTTAAGGGGGCCGGGGGGTCTTCATCAAAATTCTCTCGAAATCGACTTTATAGTTGTTTCTGATAGAGGGGAGTGATATCTATCAGCTGCTTTTGGTCCCATGGAAAAATATTGTTCCTAGCCGAAATTATCGCCGGTCTAAGGTCAACGCTTATGTGTAATTGTATTGCGCGAGCGATTTTCAATCGCAAATTCTGAAAATCGAGTCTAAAAATCTATCTTCTCCCACATTTTTTGAGCAATCACCCTGAAACTTTCAGGATTTGTTCTAGGGACCATTTAGAAGAGAATGATCATACAGTAAACCAATTCAGTTCGCAGTAAACCAATTCAGTTCGCAGTAAACCAATTTGTATTTGCACTGTTTTTTAGCTCGCTTATCAGTGATCGTTATCAGTGAAAGTGTTACTCGCCACGTCGACTTTCAACAGCGCCGACTGTGTAGCATGGATTTTTCAGTGGACCGGCTCAACGCGATGGACCATGAGATGACATCAGAATTTCAGAAAATATTCAAGGTTGCCAATGTTTCATGTAGATCTGACTTTACTGAGACCGCTTTAATGAAACTTAACAAAAATCCACTCGTCAAAATCATCGGCAGCTTAATGAAATTGGCGGAGAAGAATATTGAACTTTGTAAAAGTGCTGCTGGGAAAATTGATGTCATGAAATCGGAGAAAATAGCGGATCAGAAACTAATTATTGAAACTCAACAAGGACAGATGAATTCAGTTCAGGAGACAGTTAAATCAGAAATGAAAAGTTGGACGGATGTTGTCAAGAAAAACACTGCTCAGCGTCCTAGCGGGAAACCTTTAACAGAAAACTCTATCAAACAAGCCGTAAGGACTGTAAATGAAGAGAAGAAACGATCGAAGTACTTGATGATCTACGGTTGCCATGAAAGTGATAAAGAAGCCGATTTTGAGCTCAACAAAGTTGTCAAGGACATACTTTACGGAACTGACGCTTTCCCCGTGCTCCGCACTGGTGAGGTCTACAGAATCGGAAGGAAGGAACCGGGTAAGAATAGGCCTATCAAGGTCGAATTTGGTTGTGCCAGTGAGGTAGACTTGATTTTGATGCGTGCACGAAACCTCAGAGACAGTGACGTTTTCAAACATGTTTATTTGGGACCGGACAGAACCAAAGAGGAACAGCTTGCGCATAGTAAACTTGTTAAGGAGATGAAACAGATGATCCAGAAAGACTCAAATAAACATTATTTCATACGCGACAGAAAGATCCGCACGGCTGATAAAACCTTATCATCTCAAACGTCCCAAAGCTCCTGATAAGAGTTAATGTATGATGTATGTTGAGTGTTATTTGGTGCTGACTGGAGTTGCCGTGTGTAGATTTACCACTTTTTACAATTAATAAATGAACCGCGTTGAAAGCTTATTTAGTGTGTTTTTTTCAGTGCTGAGACTGGTAAATGTTAAAGTAACAGAACCTGAACTGCAACTCATATTTTTATGCTATTTTCTAGTTACGTCGACACACAAGGCTAAATAGTTTTCGGAGGCTTGCTAGAATTTTATTCTCTATGTTTCTCTATAATTTTATATTGTATGTTTTTTATATTTCGGTACAGACCAGCGCCCATTGGGCGTATTCAACCAAAAAATACAAAATTTTGAGATAGGCCTTTAAAAATTTTTTATTCAATTTTGAAAATCTTGGACCTCGTTTTTTTACGATTTTTTGAGGTCCAAGATTTTCAAAATTGAATAAAAAATTTTTAAAGGCCTATCTCAAAATTTCTAAATGGTCCCTAGAACATATCCTGAAAGTTTCAGGGTGATTGCTCAAAAAATGTGGGAGAAGATAGATTTTTAGACTCGATTTTCAGAATTTGCGATTGAAAATCGATCGCGCAATACAATTACACATAAGCGCTGACCTTAGACCGGCTAGGAACAATATTTTTCCATGGGACCAAAAGCAGCTGATAGATATCACTCCCCTCTATCAGAAACAACTATAAAGTCGATTTCGAGAGAATTTTGATGAAGACCCCCCGGCCCCCTTAACATAGATATATTCAACAGCCGTAAAATTCCAAACGCTTGAAGTCCCCATCATCACCGTCCTACAAGTATGGCCCAATCTCTATAATCTCCCATAACACGACGATTATCCAATTAGATAACTAGACCCCACACAGTGAGCTAGTCATCCATCCTCCTCTAATCACTCCTTGATCTGACTAAAGCAAAGATAATCTCCAATCTCCATCATAGTTTCCCCATTCATCTACTACGTTATAACGGTTGAAGAGTTTGAAGGTTGCCATGGCAAAAAAAAAGGATCAGCTATAATCGAGCAGCTAAACCTCATAATCGACTTGAACCAGAGTCGTTTACCTTCATCGTACATAAAAGCATAAAACATTGGTGTGATTCACAGCTAACACTGTCATAACACAACATAGCTCCACAGTAAACACTCACCAAGAAGGGGCAGTAAGAGGACAGTAAACACTCACCAAGAAGGGGCAGTAAGAGGACAGTAAACACTCACAAAGAAGGGGCAGTAAGAGGACACTCACCAAGAAGGGGCAGTAAGAGGACAGTTAACACTCACCAAGAACTAAGAAGGGGAAGTAAGAGGACAGTAAACACTAAAAACTCACCAAGAAGGGGCAGTAAGAGGACAGGAGAGCCGCGAGCACGAGCCCATCTAACAGATCATTATCAAAAGAGACGATCCAGCGAGTAGGAGGGGAGTTCTCACTCCAGATAACCTTCCTCTGGGTCTCGTAGTGATGAGAGAGCCATCCTAGCAGCGTCCTCTCTTCTCTGCTGTACACTGACCTGGCCAGACTGCTTTGAGTTAGGGTATTTGTAGAGTGTAGCGGATATTAGGTTTAGGGTGCTGTGGACTAGCTATAAACGGTAAATATTACAGTAGTACTTAACTTGTTGAATACGGAGACAGTTATCTGATTATAAACTCACGATTTGTAGGAATCAGAGTTAGCGGGAAGTGACTTGGAAGGTTTGACCTTGACCAAAACAAACACTTTAGCGAGCTGAAGGACCAAGTCCACCCAGGCCTGGCTGGAGTATTTCTCGTGCTTCACAACCAGGATCTCCTCGGACTCGGACGGAAGTCCGCACTCGAAGTTTGAGAGATGAGACCAGAGCAGGAAGTCAGAGAGACTCAGGAACCACTCTGCTTTAACGTGGGTCAGCTTCGCTCCTTGTACCCTTGTAGATAAGGTGTGTTAGTGAGGGGTCAGGTGAGTTATTGAGGGGTCAGGTGTGTTAGTGAGGGGTCAGGTGTGTTAGTGAGGGGTTATGTGTGTTAGTGAGGGGTCAGGTGTGTTAGTGAGGGGTCCGGTGTGGTAGTGAGGGGTCAGGTGTGGTAGTGATGGGTCAGGTGTGTTAGTGAGGGGTCAGGTGTGGTAGTGAGGGGTCAGGTGTGTTAGTGAGGGGTCAGGTGTGTTAGTGAGGGGTCTGGTGTGTTAGTGAGGGGTAAGGTGTGTGGGAAATGAAAATCATCTTAGCCAAACTTAACTAAGCTTTAACTTTAGTTTAGTTAAATACGCAGTTAAAAGGTCTGTTCTAATGATTACACTTCACATCTCGCTAAAAGGCGATACTGACGACGCAGTATCAAATATGACGTCACACACCATGTGACATGACGTCACACCCAACGCATCATGATAATTACTTTAGGAAAGTGAGCATAGTATTGAGTTGCCAGTGTAGTAGTTTGACTCTCTCCTGAGCGTTAGTTGGGATGGGAGGGTTTACAGGGATACCAGGTATTGGTCTACCACACAGGTTCTGTACCAGCTCAAACACACTCCGTCTCTTACCACCATCGTTAGTTACCTGCAAGTAGTAGTGGTGGGTTAACTCTAAAGTTAATAATAATAGCTACTTAGCATGATGGGTTGATATGATTCATGATTGGGCGGGTTGTCATGATACGCAATTAATAAATAAGTTATATCATCTTTAATTCCAAACGTCCCAATATATCGTTAGACTTGTCTGACGGATGATGAAGGCAAAGTGTGACTTACAGTTCCCTTTTTAAGGAGGACAGTCTGCCATATAGTATGAGGTATTGAAACAGGGTTAGGAAGATTAGACCACCCCATCTGGGATATCCACCTCTCTGCACTGTTCAGTACTTGTAGGAGGAAACTCTCTTCTTCTTTTATTTCCTCTTCTTCCTCTTCGTCTTTCTGAAATGAACGGGTAAAGTAGTTGGGCTCTGAAGATAAACTACACTTAACTGTACTTAAATCTTGCTAAATGTAGCAGGATGTAATGTCCTTAATTTGTAATAAGTGATATCTTGATAACCCACTAAAACTTTGCTAAATGTAACATTATTGTCCCAAATGTGGCACTAACCTCAGCAGCATGAGTTTTGATAGGGGTGATGTAAGCCCTGAAAGCGTTCCTTGCCCCGTCCCTCAGACTCAGAGTAGAGAGGGGTGTATAGAGGGGAGGTGCTGATTCGCACTGTCCTCCGGAGATCAGGGACACTGTTGAGGGGGTCGCTGTAGGAGGGGTGTACTGAAGTGGAAACTTTTAACATTAATGTAGAGTCTCAGTCAACCGATTTCTTGCTTTCTTATATATTATTTAAAGGGTCCTATAAAACTGGTATTTATCAAGAAATAATGTATATTATATACCAGTTTGTAAAATTTTCGAATTAATCAATTGCTTGTTTTATTCCGCAAATTAAATAGGGGCTCAAAATTCCCGTAGATATCCAATAGATAGCACGCCGCGCGGCGGAGTATAGTAAAATAAAGGATGTCAAGGTGAGGCCATCTCAAATATGACTTAGAGAAGCAGAGTAATACACTTGTACTATTTGAACAACTAATGTCCGTGTTTTGGGATGTGAGTAGCTACTAGGTAAAAGCTGTGGATTCCTATGTACTCATCACTAATCTAATCTTATCACTGTTAACAGACCCGCATGGCAAATGAGTCACGAGATTACCTGTTGAGTGTACTCCGTCTCTCCAGAGAGGAGGTGGAAGCGAGGATTAGAGTTTACGAAGGGGTAGTTAGTCAGCAGACAGTTCTCCGAGGTCCCTGTTAATGACACAGAAAACCTGCGGAGTAAACTGTTATTAAACAAAGTCACATGTTACAAAGTTCAAATAAAAGGACGTGTCTAGGTGTTCCACTTGTACCTGGTTGGAGCAGAATTCCACATCGTACCATTATGTGGGATAATATAACTGTAGGAGCTCTAAATTATACACAAACAAAGGTCTAAGAGGAGGAAATTTCCGGAGTTTTAGGCCACATGATTACTGTATACTTTAAACTTCTAAACAGTAAACTAACGTGTTGTTAAGAGGATCAATAAAGACAAGTCTAGTCACAAAGCTAGTGCTCTTTTCAGCGCAGTAGTTTATCTCCAGTGTAATCGTCTGAGAGGGTTTGTCCTTAGAGCAGGGAGGCAGTTTCACTTTCTCCGGGTTCACGGTGATGGGGGTGATCACGTCACCTTCATCTGATCTTATCTCGTCTATCTCTATTGTTATCTCCACTGGACTGCAGGGTAGGTGACGGCTGTTATGTGGCGATTATTATTTGAATTAAATTATTGAGACTAAATTATGCGCACTAATATCACTGGATTAATAAACTTTCGTCATCAAATTGACGCAACATACATGTGAACTGGAAATTGACAGTTTAGTAAAATTAAATAGAAAGTGAAAGCGAAACAAGATGATAGTTGAGAACTAACCAGGTGTAGTTGAGAGCAGTGAGCTGAAGAGAAGTAGCAATACTAGCAGAGAGGGGTGTGGGCAGTAACATAAGGTGCTGAGAGGAGAACTGTAGTTTGGGAGGCTCCAGAGACCCGGTGACAGAGAGGACACGGTAAGGGTACCGCTCCACTGACTGGAGGACTAACGGTAAAATCATCTCGTAGTGGCAGTCCTTACCTGCAGAACGTGTGATATCTGTGAGAATAGGGTTAGTTTGGAATGTTGTTAGGGGTCGAGAAGATAGTAGTTGCTTGATCATATCTACCAAGTGTGTCATTTTATACAGATTAGCTTGCTTCAAGGGTTTGGTATCACAAAGTATAAGAACATCAGCCTCGGAAATAACCTAACAGCAGCCGAGCTACGGCAGTATCAACTACATATTATATCAATACAGGAATTATCTTAGTTTTTAAAGCTCAAACCTGTCGGTTCATCAACATTCAACAGTTATTGTGAGATAAGTACCCTCACAAAAGGAGAAAGAGGTAACTAATAAGATATGCTAATTCCATTAGAAACTAAGAGATTAAAATCTAAGTACCTACCTGCACACATTTCACTGACTTACCCGGAATGAATTGTAGTCCGATGAAGGTAGACTCCTCGGGTTTCAGAGTCTTCCAGTTAACAGAGTGCACATCGATTAGAGCTGGCAGAGTTGGAACATTCTTATCGTTTGTAAACCTGGCGAAACAAGAACTATAATTTGGGAAACTCTTATTATATTATTAGGAGTAGGAGGTAGTTAGGAGCAAACTTTGAAATTTATTTAGCTTCTCCAAAAGGATTTAGTTACGGAAATGAAAAGAGGAAATATTCCAAAATCTAAAACTTTCTGAGTTGATCATATGTTTGAGTGACGAACCTGAAAACGCCCTGCTCGAATATGTTACTGTATTCTTTGATATCCAGCGAAAAGGTAACGTCCTCTTTTCCTTCGTTTGTTATTTTGAACCCCTGAAAATTAAAACACTCAGATACAGATTCGTGCTAGGTAATGATGTAGTAATATAAAGTTCTGGGTCATAGTTTTATACAGATCAATTTGAGAATGATAAATGTCTAAATGTCTAATAAAAATAGTAGTATCCTCGAATAGATACTCAAATATCAAACTAGATATAAATTATTTTAGCAAATAATTAACTATAACTTATGAGCATAAAATACGCACGTTGCTATTAGAGGGTTCGGGAGTAAAGGTGGCAGTGGTGAAGGGAGACGCAGTGAAGTTAACCTCCAACTTGTCTACTGTGAGTATAGGGAACATTGCTGTAGCTGTGACTCTTCTGCAGGGTGTGGACATCACACATGACTGTGGAGACTGGGGGTGGTGGAGTTAGTGGGGAGGTTCAAAATGACGCCACAACATGAGGCGCTGATGTGTCGGAATCAATCAAGGAAATTAGGAACAACGAATATTGATTGAGGTATCTCTACATATTATGGTAATGTGACATATAATAATAACTGCTCGTTATAAAGCACTTATACTAGACTACTTGGTATATAAGTAATGAAGATATTACCTCAGTAACAGAGCTAGTTCTGGAGAGAGCAGTGCTTATCTTGCGGTTGGGCGGAGGAGGCGCTATCATGTCGTTTATCAGTACTGGCAGGTTGAAATCGTAGCTTGCCACCTGCAGAAGTGCGGTTTATAAGACACGTGTTGTGAGGTGGTGTTAGCTGGTTCTTTAGAGAGTTCTTACCATCTAACTCTTATACTTAGTTAACTAAGCATTTCCTCCTCAAGACGCAAGATATAAGAAATTTATTTTAAATTATTGGATCACGACTCACGAGTGCCTGGAACATAACTATCTAGCTATTAATTGTAATAGTTATCTAAAAGTATATTCTTTTATGGTAAAAATATAAACGCTACAAACCTGCTGAGGAGAGAAGAGCAGGTTTACGTTGACTTTCTCTCCCGGACTCAGGTAGATATGATAATAGTTATCTTCTACATAGTTCTTCTTGTCATCATCTGAAATAATGATCTGGTATTGACGGAACTATAAGAATCACAACAATAAGAATGTTGTTGTTACACTTGTTGTTATCACTTTACAATAAGAATCATTATAAAGTGACGGGTCTATCTAACTATAACTCACAGTTATCTTTTAACATCACGCTACCTGCGAAGTTCCTATGGGGTATCTCCAGTTTAAAATCCTTGAACTTGTTCAAATTGTAGACGATCTCAGCCTCCGAGCACATCGGGTTAACCAGGTTGAAGCTCTTGGACAGAGAAGAGCCCACGTGCACACCGTGGAATGCGAAAGTATCCAGATCACATTCCACTAGGGGAGGTTCCACTGATCCTCCTACCCTCAGAGTCTGCTTCTTACCTCCTCTGATCTGTGTTGAGGGTTTACAGTTGTTACATTTTTGTTACCGGTTTGTTAACTTTTTGTTGCATTTTATCTGTTTTGTTGATTTGGATATCCATGCAAAAGGGTATCTATGCTTCTATGGGCCTATGGCTTCTAAAATCCTGACGATAATTGACAAGGTTCCCCTCACACTAGGAACTTACCCTGACATCTATCTTAAAGTCGAACTTCTCGATATCCACAGCAAAGAATGATAGTTCCAGATTAACCATACCGCCAACAGGGATACAGCCTGACTCTGGTTTCACCGTGCAGAACGGAGTCGGCTGTGAGTTAAGAACCTACACGGAATATGTGTTATTTCTAGTATAGAGTAGAACTGTGTGTAAGATGGATTAACTTGAGGGTTATCATTACTTCATAAACATGTTAACAATTTGTGTCTGAAATGATTATCAAAATATCATGTTATTGATAACAACATGATGAAAAAAAATGCAAAAGTAATAGGCTGAGAGATGTCTGAGAGATAGGCTGAGAGATGTCTGACCTGGAAGAAGGCGTGGTGATGTCCGGTATTCTTCAGAGCAGCGCTGACTTTGTGGGGAACATGTAGAGGCAGCACTCCTACACCTAACCGTCTCTCTACAAACTTTACTAACGGGCTGAAACACAGGACATGTTACCTCCGCAAGCTTCTTGTTAGTTACTTTGGAACATTGCTGGGTTGGTTTGTATCATTTATGTTTGTTTTAACTCGTATGTAATGCATATTGTAGCACTCACAAAATTATTGTTATATTTGCTAGTACCCACATATTAGCATATTGTAGCGGTAGAGTGATTTAAGCCCAGATAATAAAAGTATTAATTTCATTCAAGTTTAGCACACAGTAAACAAGTAAGTGTTGATAAGAAACCCACCTAGCAAACTCCGCAACACAACTAAGTTGCTCAGTGTTACCCTCCACTACATCCAGCGTAAACACAGCATCTAGAGGCGAGCTGACAGAGGGGAAATAGAGAACTTCACAGTTCAGAGTCGAGTGTGGCTCAACAGTTCCCTGAGAGAGTTGTGGTGTATGACGTCATTACATGTGGTATGTGACGTCATGGCAAGTGGTGTATGACGTCATTACACGTGGTGAGTGACGTCACGACACTTCTGATAATTACAAATTAATTCTAAAGTTCAATAAAAGCACTGATGGTGGTTGTGATATTAATATTGAAACCTGTGAGGGTCGCACTGCAAACGGGCTAATCTTATCAGGTCTCCAAGTGAACTCTGCGGCTCCGTTTGTCTTGTTCGTCAGTTTAATTACCTCACTATAACCTGTGGAGTCTGGAGTGTGTAGTGTTAGCCACAAATAATAAATACGTGACATTTTTACCCTGCTCACTAAATTCAGACAGTATATTATGCTGGAAATAATACAAAGCACAAAACAATCAGCATTTCAAAAATAAGCTTTTAAATTAAGCTAACCATAGGTTTGAGGCACCCCAAGCGTGGGTTTCAGTGTAACATCGGAATGAGATAAAGATATCTCCGGAGTCACAATCTTAGATAAGATGTTGATATGTTGTTTTATGTGGTTGTTCACAGTGTAGACCACACTCCTGAGGAAGTTGAGGTCAATTGCTGCAATTTTAATTATCCCTGGTATTATGAAGTCTAACACACCTTCAAATGATGTTTCATTCTGATCTACCCAGGCAAAAAAAACGAACCTATTTGTTATCCTGTGGATTCAATCAATATCAGCGATATAAGAATTTGGTACAATAAAGATAATTAAAATCATGGCAACTACCTCTGGAAAATTCCAGCTTTCTGAGACTCGAACACGACATCCACTTTAGAGAGAGATCGTGGTGGGATGACCTGAGTGAGTGGCAGACACTGTCGCAACTCCCGGCAATCTATCTCGATCTGAATGAAGACATGGATGTCCAGATGGTTGACGATAACAAGAGGTTTGGTATTCACTGTCCGTATAGCTACTTCACCGAAGTCGATTGTTGATGGTCCGATGACTATCTGAAAGTAATCCACGTATGAAAGGATAATTCAGAATTTTAATTGTAAGGTAATGAGAAAGGTACTCGGAAACGGGCTTTAAAGTTGTTTAGAATTTGGTTCAGGTCTGTTAAATACGCGCGCTATATGCCGTTACTATGGCAACACGCGCAAATTTAGCGGCGAAGTTGTAGCTTTTCATATTTAAATTTGTTTCGCGCGGTACGTAAACCAATAATCTATGATGTGACCGATGCCAAATATTTAGCCTTTTCCCACAGTTAAGTTATTTATTAGACATAATACATATTCCATATGAATTTTTACAGAATCATGTTGAAAGCCGCCGTAGAAACCAATGTGATTGATCCGATTGGATTTGTGTACCAACTTACCAAAGGGACAGTTAAACCTTTGTTTTGTCATTTGTGGAATGTGGTGAGTTGTACATCGTAGAAATCATGGTTGGACACTTGGGTAAACAATACCAGAACGACATTAGTTCGACATTGTATAAATCACAACTTAATAACTTAATGCACATTCTGTCGTCTGTCATTCAATGTCGGTTATATAAACCTGGTGCATCTGTTGAGGAGAGAGTCTGGTGCTGCAATCTCTCTTCTCCTGTGCAGTGGTAGGCTGGTTGTTGGTTGTAGTTACAGTGTTCTGTAAACTAGCTTGTCTTGAGGCCAACTCTACTGACGTCAGCACTTTCTCGGATAGCCCATCTGTGGTAGTAACACATTAGCTGCATAATGTTTCTCTTATCTGGTGTAGTTATTATAACATTAGCATATTATTATTCTGGACAATATAAGAGTCCTTTTCAGCAGAATCATTTTTATAAGAGTCTCAAATACAAGACGCACTAACCGGGAGGTGTTGGAACTTGCTTCTGGTAGTTGTTGTAGGAGTCCACTATCGGAGGAGGAATAAGGCCACAACCTGGCACTATGCCAATATCAGTGTCGTTATCGAACTCTAGTAACTCTCTGGGTATTTTGTCCGTGCTGTTGGACTGTCACATATCTTGTACACAATATAATCTCATACATTTCAACAACCAATGGTCGTCATGATAAGCTTCTAACATTATAAAACTAAAGTAAAGGAACACATTTAAACATGAAAGTTCCATGAACATCAGTACTAAAGTGGTACAAATGTTCCCGGACTCCATTTTACCGTCGCTTGAGTTTAGAGAGTCTGCTCTCCCTGAGAGAGTCTACGTAGTGTTTGTATTTGTCTCTGTGAGCCTCTCTTTCTCCCTGTTGTCCCTCCGTGTACGCGTAGTCCTCGTCTACATACGAGTATCTCTCTAACTTTGAGAATGTCGTTCTGAGGAATTGTTCTATTGTCAGCATCTACATTTTACTAATAAAACAAAAGTTAATAAAACAAAAGTTAAATTTATTACCAATTATTCAATCAATACATATCATAAATTCTAATATTGGAAACACAATGCAAAATGGATGTCTTAAACTATAATTTCATTGTGACTAATAATCTATTTACTAACGATACATGATTTCTCCGGCCCGGGAATCTAACTTCAAGTATTGAAATTGTGTCTTATATCATCCATAGTTGACTAATTTCAGTCAAAGACGTGAAATGTATCTATCTATCTTGAGAATGCTGTTATGACGGATTATTTTAGTCAGAATGTATTTGGTATTTCAAAGGTAGACTGTTTCGTTTTTTATAAATATCATATTATCTATTTCCAGAAATCATTCATGGTAATCCAGCATGAGACCAGAGGTCAAATATCAAGTAAAAATAGAACACACTATCACTTCAAAAGACTTACAGTGACTTGATAAGAGTATATTTTATAACTTACAGTGAGTGGACTCTGTCGTTGCTGGGCCTTATAGAACTGTACATCTCAAACTTAGTCTGTTTTCTAGCTCCAGTCTTTATGTCCTCTAACTTTGTATGTTTGTTCAGATTTGAGACCTTACACACCCCTTTTACCTGACAACGGGATAAAATAAACAAACAATTTTTAAAACAATTTTAAAAACAATTTTAAAAACAATTTAATCGAACTAAGTAACTACTACTACTATAACTAGGCTACAATTAAGTTAATACTATATACGTTGTTTAGTTCTCCATGTTTTTTATTACAAAAACTAATGCAAATATTTAGTATCCGAACGTACACAGTTTACAACTGCTAAATTGAAATACCATGCCCATATATGGGTATTGCGAGATAATAATGACTTTTAACACACTGCTACCTAGCTACTTACCTGGATGTTGATACACTTCAGAACTTTAAGCTTGCCCTGAGCGATCACTTTCGGCTCAACGTCACCATTTGTGTCAGTGATAAAGTTACCAATACCAAGGATATCCAGCTGTACCCTGTAAATATCAAATTTTATTCCCAATCATGTTAGCTAGTCATTTTATGCGAGCATGATTATTATCAAGCACTAACTGTAAAACATTGTTACATTAATAAAACAAAAAAACGAGAAGAAATTCAAGATGACGAGTATACGTATAAAATAGAACGAGTATGGTGAACTAATATGGTTTCTTAGAAAGAAAACGGTGTCAATGTTAACATACTTTTTAGAGAAGGATCCAAACTGGGAAGGACAGAAAGTTATTTCTATTGGGATCTCCTCTCCGGGACCTATCTTTCCAGAAGATGGTGCTATTGTAAAGTGAGCTATCTTTGAGAAGTTGAACTGAAAGAAAAGAGGAAATGAGAAAATGTTAATTTTAGTCATCAGTAAGTTAATGCTTGAAGTTGAAAGGGTTCCGATAATTGTATTGCAAAGAACCAACTATCAAAGAAATTTTAAACCACATCTACCAATTAATTAAAGTTACTAATTTAAGTACTGTAACCTGTAGAGGAATAGTATTGTTGTTAGCTAGCAGTATAGTAGCAGAGGTAGTGCTGCCCACTTCACAATGTCCCAGATTGTGTAGAATGTTGGGAGACACAGTCACATCCACTCCTACTGCTTTACCAGTCACTCCTACTTCAACTAGCGGGGTCAGCTTGTCTGGGAAAAATTGTTGGTTAGTGGTCATATTTCTATTGTTTTACAATATTTATAAACATAAGGAGAATTAAACACCTAATAAATGTTAAACCAATAGTATAACCAATAGTAACCAATAATAACCAATGTAACCAATAGTAACCAATAGTAACCAATAGTAACTAATAGTAACCAATAGTAACCAATAGTAACCAATAGTAACAGCTAATCTTACTCTGTTTGATGTACTGCGCATCTATGAGCATCTTGCCGGAAGGGACAGTAGTAATAGGTACAATGTGCATGAACAGCACGAACTCCTTGTTCATAAGTCGGGTTCGTTCCCATTCGCTCTGAAGGAACTGGGAGGACGGGGCGAAGCAGAAGTTTATAACTACTTTCTCGTACGGTCCAATACCACCCTGTACAATAATTTTTAATATAATAAAGTTATTGGTTAATGGTTCACTAAAACATCAAGCCTTCTCTATTTGAATATGATATTTTAACGAAATAAAGTCATAGAAAATTTTGAATACATTCTAACTTTGAGGTTCATATTTTATGTGTGTACATCTGAAGTTGTCTGTGTGTTTAATTTCCATCGACAGAGATTGTATCTTCTAACCAAAACTTTAAAGTTATGAAAATTAACCTGGTTAGGTGAAGCAGTAATGCAGCTTGATAAGGATCTAGGCAAGGTCTTATCATCTCCTTGCTTTATCTCTTGAGCCACCCCTCCCTCTTCTAATATTATCACAAATCCAAGAGATGTTGGACCGTTATTAAACAACACTGCCGGCTGAAGAAATAATTATGATTAATATCTTCACAATAGTATAACTTCAATGTAAATTGTAAAAGCTTCATTTTTATTACAATAATCACAGTTATGTAATAGGTGTAATAAGTGTCTTTATTGACTACAAGCATCAGAAGTGAAATATGGTAAGATGATTTAGGTATCAAGTCATAAAAACAAAAAGCAGCAATCAAATCAGAATACCTGAAATTTCTCACACTCGAACACAGTAGACCCAAAGTTAATAAGTTGTAGATGAGAAGTACCGGAAATGTTGAAGAGCATGAGAGAACTGGGTCTAACCTCACCGTACATTCTCAGCTCCATGTACCCCGACCCTTCTAACTCTACTCCAGCTATCTCCTCCCAGGTTCCTAAATCTCGGCTTATAAACTCGATCTGAAAATGTCATTACAATGAAGCTGGAAAGTTATTACATGGTTATCTATATACAATATAGTTTATTACGTCACCAATCACCATTAATATTGATTTTATGCAGTCATCCATTTCAGACGTTACTAAAAATAAAATTTATTTTCGGTCAAACCAGAAACATATTGTAAGGAGTTGTTATAACTAAGCGTGTATAAATACACACTTAGTGTAATCAATTGATAGTACTTACTTTGATACTCCTAGAACAATCAGGTTCTATGGTGCCCACACAGGGAAATATCTTAATGGGCTGGTCACCAGCGTAGTCAATCCGGAAGTTTCCTGCTCGTTTTCCATTGTTCTTGATGTCAACAAAACGAGTTAATACCAAGCCATCTGGTATCGAGATACCAAAACTGACTGGAGACTCAAATTCCAATTTCGGTGAGGGTGGCAATCTGAAATATTAATGAATAAGAATAATTTGGCTCACAAAGAATTTATGTTTGTCCCCAAGTACGAAAGACAATTAATAAACAATTCAGATTCTTAAATTTAAAAAATACAACTTATAACACCTACACTTTTATAGGAACAACAACAGGTTCATTATCCACAAATGCTACTATCTTGTCCACGTAGTGACCCTCTTCCTTGCAGTCAAATTTAAGAGTAGCATTAATGACCAAGCCACTTGCAACTAGCTGTTCTTCATTTGGAGCTTTCAACAGAAAATGCTGAAATGAATTGGTCAGTATACTTCGTTGCACAACTAACAAGCACAACCAGGTCTAGTCAGAAAATGTTGCAGAATAATTAATTATTATACTATTACTACAGAGCAAAGATACTATATTTTAGAAAACTTACTGTAGTTTCAGGTCCACGTAGTCTTATGACTTTGGAATTTTTGGAGAAATTTTGGAAGGTTATGTCGACATTGAACTTTGATCCCTTCTGAGCATCTTTGATCAGAATACTGTCAGGTGATATCTTAATACCACACTGAACAGCCATTAGTCTCTGTGACCTTAAGTCATGATCCTTAGCTGCTAAAACTGTTTGGTGTAATCAGGTTACAGATATATTATCTAGTGTATAGGAACTGTTGATGACTTACAGTTGAAACTAAACGTATGATCAAAAATAAATATTCATCTTAGTTAAATGTTTTAGTTGATAGCCACAAATAGAGACTCTCATAATATGGCGATCTCATTTGTATCAAACAACAAGCAAACTGTCACAATAACCAAACTTTCACTTTTTGATTGACAAAAATTGCTGTAGAGTACTTTACCTAACTGTGGCAAGAATTCGATCTGAAAACTGAAAAGTCACATTTCTACCGCCAACCAGTTGCCAAAACTGGCATCAAAAGTATCAAAGGCCTTCAAAAACGGGCCATCAATCTGATCCTGCTGCACAGAATTTCTGCTTTTTCTACAGGTTCAATAAATTCATGCTTCATCAGCAACCAGAGTACCAAAGTAAAGTAAAAGTAAAGTAAAATACTTTGCCACATAAGGATGAAACCAAAGATAATCATTGTTTCTTTTTATTACTAACACTAGTGTCGTATACATTACATTGTCGTATGGAAGTAGGAACTCTTTCTTTAGTCAAAATAGACCGCAATGAGTGCCGCATTTGTGGTACAAAACCATCAATTAAACCACTTAACACCGACCGATTTAAAAAACCTTCGTCAAAATTTTCTCCGCACTATACCAAAAAAACCAGTCCCGTAACTCTAACCCTTTCTTGATTAAGCCGCTCCGAAATTACACGCGCACACACAGACAGACAGACACACAAACAGACACACATTCTGAGATTATTATTTGAGATAACTGGCTCCCTCAATTCTTAGAAACATTCCAAAAAAAGCAATCATTTGTAATACTTTTAGAAATCATATCTTTCTTAAATCCTTCTAATTTAATTTTAAAGCCTAAAACTGTCACAGAGTTCTTAACGTCCGGAGGGACTTAGTTCCAATATGGAATAACTCGCTCCAGGAGAAAAGACTACTGGATATTCTTGATCTTAGTTAAGGGTGCCGGAGGGGGGGGCGGGGTCTTCATCAAAATTCTCTCGAAATCGATTTTATAGTTGTTTCTGATAGACGAGAATGATATCTATCAGCTACTTTTGGTCCCATAGAAAAATATTGTTCCTAGCCGAAATTATCGCCGGTCAAAGGTCAGCGCTTATGTGTAATTGGATAAGTTAGAAGAGAACTCTAGAGCCAGAATTTTGAGATAGACTTTTTGGGATTTTCAATTCGATTTTGAAAATCTTGGACCTCTAAAAATCAAGGTCCAAGATTTTCAAAATCGAATTTAAAATCTTTTAATGCCTATCTTAAAATTCTGGCTCTAGAGTTCTCTTCTAACTGATCCTAAGAACATACCCTGAAAGTTTGAGTGTGATTGCTCAAAAAATGTAGGAGAAGATAGATTTTTAGACTCGATTTTCAGAACGCGCGATTGAAAACAAGATTAAGACCACCCCATATCATATATCGATATTTTAATACAGCTTATAATAATTTAAAATTGAATCTCTCTTTTCTTCAGTAGTCAGATCTATAGGTTTAAGTTCATATGATCAATATAATTAGGGAGTTGGTAGAATATTCCACTGATAAAGATAAAGGTTGTTCTGTGTTAAATGTAAGTATATGCAGTAAGTATATGCAGAGTTCATGAGATTGATGGTGTGTTTGAATAAAAATAATAGCATTGTAAGCTAACTTTCAGTGCAACATCACACATCTACATGTAAAACCTCATCGGTTAACTCAGCTGATAGGGAAATCCGTGATTGATGGTAAAATAAGGAGGGGGGTGCTAAAGGTACCCTTCAGTACATTTACATTTTCACTTTCCCATGTCTTTGTTTTTCTAATTTTAGCATCGATTTGTAATTGTGCATGTGATTTCCTCGCTACTGAAGCAGAAGCACAGACACGAAGGTTATGTCTCTCCTACATGGCCATGACATCACCTTTGCAGCCTTCCAGGCAAGGGTTGCCATTGGCCTGAGGGTCGCAATTGTTGGCCACTGGCCAACAACTGCGACCCTCAGTGTCCAAATTGTAAGGTATTGGACACCAATTATCACAGACTCTTCTACTGTCCACTGTGCAGCTGCTCTTACAGGGAAACCAAACCCTGCAGGAGCATTCCTCTAATGACCAACCATCATGGTCTATCTTAAGAGATGATAGTGATAACAGCATCACTGCCTTCTGCTCTCTAGCACGAATTGCTATTGGTATAGATGTTCAATGTTGTAGAGTGATTTCAAGAGTAGTGGTCCACAGGGGTCCGAAAAAGCCGTACAGGCACTTGGGTCCTTATCCTTGTCACTAGTCCCAATTGGATTCACTTTACACAAAACATGAACGTTTACAATTTAGACGTACACATTGGCACGATATTTATTAGAAAGCAAACAGTATAAAATAATACGTGCGTGCGCGGCTTGAGCCGCGCCGCATAACAATTTATGCGTTTAGGGGCTGGAGTACGCGTGTTTACAGATTAATGAATTTTTGCATTGTAAATATTTAAAGTTGACGATATATTATAATTTAATAGTAAATTTTTCAAAGCTGGCTTTGGACTTAGGTAAAATAATAACGTATTTATTTAAAAGAAAAAACCACGGATAGTTTTAAATTTACATAGTCGTATAACTATAATCAAGTTAATCCTGTTTTCAAGAATGCGCGGCTTTGGCGGCCAGTTATTGACTTGTACATAAAATTGAATTTTAAATAGAAATGTGAATGTATTAAAATTTAAAACTTTCAAAACGGAGGCTTATAAATATTATTATACTATGATTGTAAAATAAAGGATAAAATTTTAAATTTGTTTCACTAAAATTTGTTTCACTAACTAGCATAAAGATGATTAATATAGTGCTCTCCCTGCCCTTCTCCTTGTGCCATTTCTTCTCCTTCAGCCTCTACCACTCACTAGTCACTCTACAGTCTACTGCCTCATCTTCTGGATGTCATTATCTTTAGTTTAGTTGAGGATTCTTAACACCCACTTTCAAGTCGAGTACTCTCGACCCACTTAGTCCACATACCTTGCAAACGGTATTTGTAATGGTCTAAGTTCCTAATACTCGCCAAAGATGGTCCCACTAGTCAATCGTAGGAGGAGAGAAAGCTTAACAACAAATTAGGTGGCTGCATTTTGTTTTGATTTTATTAGGTCTTCATATTTATCCCCATTGTTTTAAAGTTTTAAGAGAATTCTCCTTAAATTATTTTAATGCAGTCACTCAGATAAGTTTATACCAGGACACTTCAACAAAGACACATACTCTGCCCACAACAAGGGGCCATAATTGTTTCAATTATGTAACTGTATAGAATTATTATTATTATTATTGTGTATGTGACTCATTGACAATTTTTTGATCCATAATCAAAAATTAATTTTAAATCAGTTGGTTTTATAGCATGTGTGAAATTTAAGTAGCGAAACGTTATCAACAAAATATTGGTAACATGTATAAGCCATGTTGCATGTATTTGTTATTTTAGAAAGTTTATTATTAACCATTGCATATATTGTTAATTGTTTGTTGCATTGTTTGATTTTCTATTTCCAAGTAAAGATGTCGGCCGACTTTTTTGTTAGTCGGCCGACATCTTGGGTTGTATTGGATGTAACAAGTTTATTATCGGATGTCTTCTTATATTTATTATGATATCTTTATTCATTGTAATGGAAACAAAATTTAAATGTTGTTTTACTTAAAATTTTGTTTTACTTATATACTACTAATCGCACAAATCATAAAATTAAATTTCATTATATCGCGGCAAAATGTTGAAAAGTGATTAACAAAGTAAAAAACTGTTAAATACGAATCGGAATATTTTTTAAGAGTCGCATAGTTAACGAATGAAACTCGTAAAATATTTGTTTCAAATATTTGTTTCCAATATCCAATATTCAAGAAAACAACAAATTTCAAGAAAACAGCATATTAAAGCTAATATAGCATATAAAGCTAAAGACCGTCGACGAGTCCAACTCGGCGCGCGTCTTGAGCTTGATAGGTTATAAACCTATAATAGCATAGTAAATATATAAATAATAGTTGAAATGTTGTTGTTTGTACCATTTTTATTAAATATAAATCCTGTACGATGCGGCATTGCGGCAACATTGTAATTTTTATTGATCATAAAAATAAATCTGAGGAAAAATTATTGTATAATTATTTATTTAACGGGTGATACTCGTAAAATATTTGTTCCATATATTGGACCGTCGACGAGTCTAACTCGGCGCGCGTCCTGGTAGGTTGTAAACCTACAATTATTTATTTGAAATTTAATTCACTTAATTCAAAAATTTTAATAAAAAAGTTATAACAATTACAATTGGAGGACTTTGCCGATTCAACGCGCCGCGCGAACTAGCATTCTTGCATCGATCGTTGCTCTGCTTCGCATAGCAACGATCTCGATGGGTTGACATCGTCAACCAACAATTACAAAATATTAATTTAAACGTTACCTGGCACGCCAATCCCAATCAAGTGTTAAAGCCTAATGTGCAGCGCTCGCGCTCTTTTCGAGGTTTTCGCAGTGATAGAAGCGAGCAATATATTTGCAAATTAGATATATGTTGGTTTCAATTTCAACTGTCGGAGGTCCTTTTAGAATAATCTTGAAAATCAAGTTTAAGTGTAAAGTGATTTAGCACGCTTTGCGCTTGGAAGTTTTTTCAAGTGAATCGAAAGATTTGTGCGCGGCAACTTAAACTTTTTCGCACCGCATTATAAAATATGTGTGACAGAATCAAGCAATAAACTAGCAAGTGAGATAATTATAAATTATAAGTTGTTCTAATTTTTAGCTGAAAGTTAAAATATTAAAATAGAAAATGTAATATCCGCCACGCAATTAGAAGAATTAATGAAAAATGGAGTGCTATTTTATATATTCATTTAACTATCTGTTTTACACATTATTATTATAAAATCTTAGATGGCTAATAATTAATTAATGGTAACACGACATCTGTCCGACAGCGACATCTGTCCGACAGCACTATTTTCGTGTGTTTGAAGTGATATCTCAAGTTTGGCACATAGAAATTTATCCAAACTTGCACGAATTATTTGTCTTAAAACTATCTTACTATCTAGAAAGTTTCAAGAAAATCGTATCGTTGGATCTCCAGATATATGCTTTGGAACCACTGAAAACCACCGAATTGGATATATTTTTTGTGTTTAAGGTAATATCTTAAACTTGGCTCATAGAAACTCGCTCAAACTTACACATATTATTCGTCCTATAACCACCATACTTTATGGAAAGATTTAAGAAAATCGTACGGTAGGATCTGACATAAACTATTGTCCAAATAACCTATTTTCTGATTCGGACAGATGTCGCTGTCGGACAGATGTCGCCCAATCTTAATTAATTATTAACAGGCCCCTTAACGTGGGCAATAACATACGCTTTATAAAATATTGCTCTAACCAGAGCCCTCTCGCTTGCAGTAGCGCGCGACCGCCGAAGCTACTTGTGAAACAAGCGCGTCACGCAGTACGCGTAGGCACATGGCTATGTGAATATAAAATATATAAACAAATTCAAGTCTATTTTTCCGATTTTGCTAACTGTTTCTTTAGATCTTTTTCGGTCTTTCGTGGGAGTTCCCACATCTGCTGGTTGAGAATACTCAACATAACATACATGATGCTTGACTGCTTTATTGACCCGGGCAGGCCCCGGGGGCGGACATCCCAACACCAGTGCGTTGGGACATAGTGTTGGTCTGTTTCAGGATGTGTTAGATCCCAGAGAAGCCGCCATCTCCTCTACTGCTTTAGCTCAGCGGCAGCATGAGCCCTGGTTTCCTGCCACATTGGTACCTCTGAAAGTATTGGAGGACTTCGCCGCTTCGACGCGCCGCGCGAACTAGCATTCTTGCTTCACGCGAACTAGCATTCTTGCTTCTTGCATCGTTGATCGTTGCTCTGCTTCGCAGAGCAACGATCTCGATGGGTTGACATCGTCAACCAATGAAAGTACAGAAAGGTGGTGGATTTCGGGGTCCAGGATCCTGCCTCTTTATTCTTTGAGGTTTTATCAATTCTCTGAGATGTTTGCAGAGTCTTTGTTTTATAGTCTTTCTAGTTGGCTAAGTCCTGGAGATATTAATTTTGTTCCCAAAGAAATTCTACTCCTAATGAATGCTTTTTGGATGCTGTTTTTTGTTGATATCAGAACTTTTTCTAGATAGGAATATGGTTCAGTTCCATTTAGTTCTTGTTTAAGTTGAAGATGACTGGTATCTTGGACTTCTAGGCATAGCAGTAAGCAGAAGCTGGTGTTCAGGAGAATCATCGAAGTTGTTACAGAAATGACAGGTTGGTGTTCTGCTTTCATCAACTTGGTAGAGGGTAGCTGAAAGATTGTCACCTTGTGTGAGTATTTTGCACATGAATTTAACCGAGAGAGCTTTGAGTTGCACATCCAGTGGTGGAAGGTGGAGAGCAAGTTCGGTTAATTCCTTTGTGGGTTCAGGACTGATCCAGTGTTTTACACAACAAATGTTGGATGACCTTTGTTACTGCTAGGCCGAAAATGAGGTATTTTTAAAACTTTAAATTCTGATAGACCTTCACTCTAAATGGTGAAGCGTAGACTTTAGTAACATAACTATTAGTTTCATAGCTGTTTGTCTTGTGACCCAGTATTATTATTTTAACTGTTAATTCTGCTTCTGTATAGTTGTTCTCATGACTGTTGACATTGTTCTTGACACTGCACCTGATTTGTATTGCTTGGATATTCCGGGTACTATTTACTGATTTTTTGAAAATGAATGTTACTAAAGTGACTTCAAATAACTTTGGTAACGAAGGACCATGTCTGTTACATGTGTACTGTGCTCTGCCAATTACACCACATGAAATAAAGTATAGTTGTTCTTTGCCACTCTAGCACCCCACCACATTTTTGGGTACTTTGATTCAGTTAGCTTAGTCTTGCTATACATTACATCCTTAATGCAGACAATATTGTGGGACTAGTACAAGGATTCATTTGACCCATACGTATTTCATAACTTAAATTGCAACCAGGTTTTATAGATCCTTTGACCAACACTTTGATGGAAATCTTAAATTAAATTTTACTACAAGAGAACAATCGTCTCTTGACAATGTTGTAGGTATTTCAAGTTTCTAGTATGTTATTTAATATACAATGTACATGCTTTTTTTCTAACCTCCAAATTAAGTAGCCATGGAGATTGTTATAGGAACCTACGAAGGACCGATAATTTCCTATGCAGCAAAGCTTACAGACGATATAAACTTTGAGGCTCAATTTGTAGACAAGTCGCACAGTGGATGTGTTAAAAGTGTAGCCTGTAACAACAGATATCTTGCTACAGGTAAATTTAGATAAATTTCTGTTTATTTGAATGTAAATAGATTTATTTTCCATTCTTTTTATTTTGGCATGTTATTTTTCATGTTGAAATGATGTATAATGTATGAATGTATGAAGGTAAGTTCTTCAATGACGCCTTGAAATTTAACATAGATTGAAAACTGCCAATATTGCTACAATAAACCGACTCATAACTAAAGTGTAACCAGGGAGTTCAGATGAGTCAATAAGGCTGCTGGATCTTCACAAGAGAGTGGAGTTAGGTGCGCTGATGCAACACTCGGGAACTGTAAACTGTCTCTCTTTTCATGGCTCACATCTTCTTAGTGGATCAGATGATGGAACTATTTGTGTGTACCAGTGCGGAACCTGGGAGTGTTTGAAGATATTGAAAAGTCACACTGCTGCTGTAACTCAGGTAAATAACTGTCCTTGATTTGATATCAACTGGTTTGATGCTGATGCTTTATAATAGTTTGCAATGCAGTGAATAGCAAATAAAGCTTTAACAAAGTGTTTCTCATTTCAGTTGTCAGTCCACCCCTCTGGAGTGCTAGCATTGTCTGTTAGTCGAGATAAGACCCTTAAAACTTGGAGTCTGATCACTGGTAAACCTGTCCATACTGTCAACCTACAGACTATACCTGACAGGTAAATTTACTACTGGTCTGCTATACCTAGTCTCTGTTTGTCGTGACAGGTAAACTTTGTCTCGTGACCATGTAAAGTTTATACTTATTTCATACAAAAACGCAGGAAGACAGATTTAGTTCAAAACTATTTAACAATCTATGATCATGTCTCAGTGTTATCTGGAACACAGATGGGTCATCCTACGCTATCTTATCTGATAAAGAGATTCTAGTGTTCCAACCTCATTCCGGTAAACCTGTCAGAAACTACTCCTCCCCTAAACGAATTGTTGCTTGTAAGTTTCTAGTCAATATATTTATTGAAATGTTGCAGTATATAATATGTTTTAACTTGCATTTGTTTCTCGTTCCATTCAAATGAGCAAATGGTAGGAAATTAAGTGAACCCTTTTTGCACTGGTAGCAAGTTTTATAGCTACCAGTAATACTGTACTACTACTATAGTAGTTCATAATTATAACAAATAACAGTAATTAATAAAGTTTTAGCTAAGTTAGTACGTTTATAAGTTTATTTACAGGTAAGTTCCTATCACCAACGCTACTAGTGTACGGAGGTGAATGTAAAGATATAACAGCAGTTGAGATAGAAACTAACTCAGTACAGACATTAACTGGTCACGTGTCTAGAGTCAAATCATTGGACTTCGTCAGGTTGGTTACAGTGCAGTTATAGTGCAGTTACAGTGCAGTTACAGGGTGGTGCTTCTGGTGGGGAGTCGGCAAAATGACGCATATGATCACCAATGCTATTCTAGGCCCTCTATTTAATCCTGCAATCAACATGATTCAATTGTAGCTAGTTAATTCTCCTTATTCTCAGGTCGGATGTAAAAGACCACTATCTCCTGATATCAGTTGCAAGTGACGGTGATATAAAGATATGGGCTCTTTCGCAGGACTCTCATGAATTGATAGGTACTGGCTTCTTCGTTTCATTCTCAGTTCATTCTTAGTTACAGTTTCTAGTCTTAATGTTATTTGACAGTCTACAAAAACGAAAACAAGTAAAAACCATGTACACATAATAAACATTATGCTGAACACAATACATTATATGGTAGACTGTTAGACTGCGATTACAGTACACAGCACTGTTATAAAACTACAACTATTTGTCTTCACGCTTAGAACATTAACACTATAACATGTCTTCCTAATAGACTCTCTGAAATGTCACAATGATAATAATATACATAATTAAGGAAGTAAATAACGTTCCGATCATAGTATAACATGTGTATAATTACTAGGCGGAACAACACTAAACAACAACAGACCCGTGTGTATGTGTGTTTACACTGGGGAGAAGAAATATGTTAAACAGATGACTACACCAGCACCAACACTAAAACATCAGGTAAATTTAACATTAATTATACTTGATTAAACAACATCATATCAGGTAAATTTAAGATTTAAACTTGATTTAAAACTAATTTTGACATAATTAATATAAGTTCTTGTTTTAATCTTAACTAGTCCTTTAATTTTGTTTAATATTAGAACATTACAGGGTATCTAGCTTATTTTATACTAGACTCATTATTTTATTTCTAATTAAGTAGGTAATTAACCAGACACTGTTATTTCAGGTTGTGAAGAAGCCGAAAAAGAGGATAAAACGTAAAGTACTATTTGCAAATATTCACGCAATAAGAGGAGGAAAAAGCATTACACGTAAACTGAAACATAAGAAGAGAAACAGAATTATCCCGCTAGCTTTAGAACATTAGTAAAGTTAGTTTACTGATCAATTGATGAGTCCAGAGTTGATTAATTGGTTAATGATTGGATAAATGATAGTTAATTGTTTCCTAGTTAGTATGAAATGTATTACCATAGCTATATTTCCCTTTTCAATGTATTCTAACCAAAGCTAGTGGCTGCTGTTTTTCATAATCTGCTATTATATTAATAGAGGTTTACTAAACCTTGCAATACTTTGAAATATCTGATATAATAATATTTGAATTTCTAAACCGTGCCTTATTAAGCCAATTTTGATGTAGTTCACTAAATATTACACCAGATGTTACACCAGATGTTACACTAGATGTTACACCAGATGTTACACTAGATGTTACACTAGATGTAATATTAGATGTTACACTATTTCTGAGGAGTTTGTTTTTAACTATTATAAAAAGGGGAGTGTTATTATCTCATGCTATTTGTATTTTGTAATTATTTCCCTATTTCACTGGTTGTCTACTCAGAGTCCTTACTTTATTGCTTACAATAAGTCTCTTGTATTCCTTTTAAATTGGGGTCCAGTTCTAAACGATCTATACTAGTGTGCTGATCAATTTTAAAGAGTCTTGGTTTCTGACCTTCGTGATATTGATGTTATGTGTACCATGCACTGTTATTTTTAAATATAATATTCGTGTAAAATGAAAATAACTGCAACTACTATTACAAAGTTAGAGCTATGGTGAAGAGTAAAGCATCAACAGTAACACAGTTACTAGTGACAGCATTCTCAATGTTGATTGTACCTGTGACACTGTTCTTTGTGGGCAAGTGGTATTTGTTTGCTGAACTAGAGAATTCTGATGTTTACTCTGCTGTTATTGCTATACTTGCGGTAAGTTTACAGATTACTTGATTATACAGGGTGGCCCAAAAGTACCTACCCACACGCAACCCTTTAATAACTCACGTAATTCGTGTCAGAATATCTTTCTTCTTTGTTTTATAACAGACTTATTTCTAAAACTTATATCCACTTTCTATTAGAAATGTGCTGGAAGTTCTAGCGATAATTCGAGTGCTCTCCCCACTAATTAGGCCCCACTAATTAGGCCCCACTTAATTAGGCCATTAGTCGACCTGTGAAATTATTAAACTATTGCTTGGTAACTAGTATCACGTCACTGTGTGAGACTTTGACTAATTATCAAGCAATTAATAAACCTTCTCCAATTAATCAAACAGAAAGAAAACTAACTGGGCCACTTAATAACATAATATGATAATGTTAGCATGTTGGTTATTACTTTTTATTAATTACTGACAACGTGTCTCCCCAGGTACACGTTATACTAGGGATATATTGTTACGTAGCGTATCAAGAAGTGAAGGAGGACTCCCAGTCCCCCGCTCCTGTGTCACAGCTAAAGAAAGCAGACTAGTTATTTAGTATTTTATATTGCAATGGTAACTGCACTTACTGCACTTACTGCACTAACTGCACCTGAATCCTGATGTTGTTGATCAACGATCGTTATTTTGTATAATTTATGGAATTTTATCTTCAGTTTTGTAATAAGATTTACTTGTTAAATGCATTACAATGGCAATGTTATGACTGCCGAACAGTTAATATTTTATTACAATTTCTTAATATATCTTAATCGAAGAAAATGTTTACATTTTGATTTGATGTAATTGTATTGGGTAATTCTGTTTAATATTATTTGTTTTTACTCTAACTGCAATTTGTCTCGTGAATTTTATCCATCATCCGAACAACTAAGATAATTCTAGATCAAATGTTGGTTACTACATATTTATGCTTGCTTGAAACTTGAATCTACTTTTCTAACATATACTCAACGTGTAATAGTCAATACTGTAACCTGTAACGTACTCTTATAGCTGAAAGATAGCAAGATGGTGCGTCTCAGTGTGAAGAAAGGTAACGACTCCCTCTTCATACACGACACAACAGTTAAACAGAATGTGGCTGAACTGGTGACAGATATTCTGGCTGTGTATGGTCTGAGACTCAAAGTACTGCGACTTTGTGATGGTATGTACTTCAATTATATAAAACACAAAGTATTGGGAACTTTGTAAACACACATCCTTCATTTTAATCCTCCTTATCACTGATTGCTGATTTCCGGAAAGCGGTTGCGATATCGCTTCTTTCATCAAAAGAACCTTAGTTACCATAATGTAACGACTTTTCTGTTCAGAGATGCAGTCGTTGGCAAAACACGGTCACTTCCTGCCCCCTGACATGCAAGGTTTGACAGAGGATCAGATTGAAGAGCTTAAATTGCACGATAAGTATGAGAAGATCTGTGTTCCACAAGGTGGCTCTGTGGAATGTGAAGACCCTATTGGACGTAGATCGGGAAAAGGTGGGTCAAAGTTAGCATTGTTCGCTAAAACTGCATGGTCACATCAACTTCTTACTAGCGGTATTTGTCTTCGATTGTATGTAAAGTTTCATTGTCAGCCAAGTCTTAATGCGCGGCGTGGGAAATAAAGCCGCGCAGATAACGTAATTCATGAAAATAGACTTCATTCTCACCACCATCTATCATTTATGGTAATAGCTTTAAGAATTTATATTCTCCAGCTCCAAACGAGTCAATGGCGGAAGTAATAATGAAGACGATAACAGATGCTAAAGAAGGAGTATCCAACAAGATTGCCGCTGCTAACAAATCCTTGACTGTGAAAGACGTGGAGGATTGTCTCGATAAGTTGAAAGGAGCTATCATGATTGTTTATCCGATGAAATTGCCCACTTACGACCCAGTACAAGCAGAGATTGATAACTGCGAGGATTTGTCGGGAACTCAGGTTAGTTCAAACTCTTGATAAGTATCTACAGTGGCAAGCAAGTCTCTCCGTTGTGACAGTGAGAAATCTCCGCGTTAACTGATATTTATGTGTTATCTCAGGCGTCTCTAGAAGTGATCGAAAAAGAACATGGCAGTTTATGGTGGGCGGGAAAGGAGCTTATGCCTGAGAAGACGCTGGAAGATTACATTGGGAAGAACGAGAAAACCAAGATCATTGTGAAGCTGGCGAAGAAAGGATCTTCTGCGCCGGGAAGAGAGCAGCAAATGACAGAAGAGCAGAAGAAACAGATGATGGCTTGGCAGTACAAGAAACAAGAAGAGATGAAGGTAAGATCTGCAAAATAATCAGACTAATACTGGTTTGAGCTAGCTTTGTTAAGATAGTGCGATGATTCGCGCCGTAATCTATTCGATAGAACTTAGCTTTATTTTTCCATGCTATTAAGGAATCTCACACAATATTTTACAGAAGCTACACACAGCGGATGACGGTGATGACTACTACAACAGTAAGTGGGCGAACTCTGGGGCTCTCAAAAACCAGTTCCAGGGTATTGGTAACATCAAGTGGGGTCCCAGTTAAACTCCACTTCTCCCACCAGACCAGTGCCGGACACTAATGCCCTTATAAACCCAGCAGTTTACAGCAGTTTAATTTATCATTTTTATGTGTAAATATAATGTATTTTGTGTATAGTACAAGTAAACTTGTTTGTTTTGTTAACAAAACGGTAAAATTCATTGAAATATTCAAATGGGTCACATACTGAATCTCACTATTCAATTATTAATAGTTGGGTCAACAATCAACATCTCCATGTAATAAATTATATAATGATTCGGTTTATCTTCACTATGAAGTATAATACTTAAAATACCTAAAATAATCCACTGGGCTACAGATGGCTTCACCGATCTACTTCAGAGTCTCAACTCTCTGAACTCTTTGAACAATATTAATAAATAATACAACTAGTCTGCTACTACTGCTCATTTGAACTCTTTGAACAATATTAATACTTAATACAACTAGTCGGCTACTACTGCGAACCTAATATCACCAGATTAAAGAGAAAGATAACAATATGAGAGTTGTAGAGAGTGTGAGAGGGGTAGCTGAAGACCATCTGTCTTTAGATCTGGTTATTAATACCTTCACAGAGGGCTCAGTTTCGTTCATCTGGTACATCCGATGCTGAAAAATAGACGGTTACTAGATAACATGATATGTTTGATCAGTCAACTAGTGATCCTCTCTTCAGGACTGTTAACTGTTAAGTTAAAATTTATTCTTGAAGAAAGTCGAATCTTTCATAAGATATCGGACCTCTGATCAACAGGATATGCTCTTTAGTCTATAATGCTCTATAATGCTCTATTCGGAAATCCTAAGCTAGGAGGTCCCAGCTGGGTGTCCTCGGTTTATAAGCTCACCTCTACGCTGGTATCGTCAATAAAGTTCAGTTCACAGTGGCCCCAGTGAGCATTATCTCTGTGAGCAGACCAGCCCGGGTTGGACTTGTGGTACGAGTCGAACTTCGTGCCATTCTCGTAATAATCGTAGTACCTGGAATCGATTGTTATCCTTTAAGTTAGGTATCAAGGATGCAAACATGGAGTCTCGAACCCAATGTTCAAAGGATGCAGGATGTTCAGCTGGACAAATTACCGGTAGAAATTATTTCGTAGGCCCTAAAATTACTCCTCTAGATCCAGTCTTACCCTTCAATTGGACATAAGTCATAACTCAATAGCTGAAGTATTTCTAATACGTCCGTTCAGAACCTGTAGGACTAGCCTCCAGCTCGCCATTTTTAAGATTCAGGCAAATCGAGGATGTTCAAAGGGTGCAGGATGTTCAGCTAGACAAAATACCGGTAGAAACTATTTCGTAGGCCCTCAAATTACTCCTCCAAATCCAGTCTTACCCTTCAATTGGACATAACTCAATTATAGCTGAAGTAGCTCTGATACGTAAAATTATCCCGAAAATCGTCGGGAAATCTCGGGAGTCGGGGATCCCGATGTCGGGATTGATTTCACTAACCTGGATAGTGTGTTGTAAACAAGTTTAAGAGATTAAAATAAACTCCGAGATAAATCTTATATCTTGAGAATTATGAATTTCATCCGGATGAAAGCATTTGAGAATTGAGGAGAGAACATTTGATTACGTCAACCATTAAATAAGCTACTTTATTCAATACCTGTACAGGCTTTTACCAGAGTGACCACAAGTGATGTGAACAGGGAACCTCACGTTATCATAACTGAACAATTAGTTAATTAGTTATAATGGTAATTGTGATGAACAATTAGCTAATTAGTTATTGTTAAACTGTGATTTATAATTAGTTCCATGATAATTTCAAGCTACTCCATGCGAATAGACTGCTCATATATTGTCGGTAATATTGAGATCGCTAGTAAACTTGTAAAGTAATTCACCAGCTATGTTCCACAAACCTTGTATCGTAGGTCTGAGTATTCTTCATAGGCCAGGTCCTCTCATAGTGGTGAACATGTCCCATGATGACCAGGTCCACGTTCTGCTCCACCAGTAGGGTGGGGTAGTTGTCCGTCCAGCCTATTATCTCCGGGTTAACGTATTTTTTACTCGTGTTGAAAACACGACCTTCCCAGTTCTTGTGCTTACTGAAAATTATTGGATCTCGTAATACTAGCATTGTTTGGACAACTTTATAGAAACGTTTTTGTTTCAATAAAACGTGTCCATTTAAATTTCATCTTGGTGACTTACATTTTTTGGGTTAAATATTGGGTTACGATTTTAGCAATATTACAAAATGTAGTTAAGTTAAAAACAAAGTAAAAGTCACAGCAGAAAAAGAGCAATCAATCGTTAAAGTTAAACAAAAAATAATTTTACTGAGTTTATCAAAAATGTCGATTAATAATATTAAAAAATCAGAATTCCAAATTGTACAGGGTGGGCCAAAAGTCAGTACCCATACGTTGGCCTTAATAGCTCCGCCGTGTTTTATATTTGAGAGCTGTTGCTTTGCAGATGGCATACTGTACTTACTGGTTCGAGGATTCCGTCGTCAAAATTTGAAAATTCTAATATTTTAGACCACGCCCATTCAATATTAAAACACCTATATTGTTTTCTCTGAACATGCTGAACGCCTAATTTTTTTCAGAGACGGTAGATTATCAAATGTTGCATATGATCTGAAAACATGAGGCAAAACGGACGCGGATTAGAAATAACGAAGTTATCAAGCATTTTCTGTATCTCGTTAACAAAATTGACTGGGTGATTATGTGACACCGTGACACGACACCTTAATCGGGCACCCTTAACAATTCCCATAATGTTTAACGGGGTAGTTAACGGGGGCACCTTATCACGTGATTAGGTAAACCAATCACCTGATCACACGTAATGAATAAACTCGTTATGCTTCATATCTCGGTCATCTGAGAAGCTACAGTTCTAATTCTTTCAGGACAAACGTAATTCGAATGGCCAAACACAATTCAATAACATTTAGCTTGATCCGACTATCCAAACTATCAAATAAATGTAAAAATGAACCTCCATTTGAAAAAAATGAACGCGAATAATTTTCGAGTTGACAAATTCCTCGAACCAGTGGTGGTACTAAGTCATACCAGAAAGAAGTATTTAAATTGGGCACTCAGTGACTGAGCTATAAAGGCCAACGTATGGGTACTGACTTTTGGCCCACCCTGTATTATTGACTGAGAACATGCAAATTCATGACGTCGGATCAAAAGTTTTCCAACAAAAATTTGATTAACATTAAATCCGTTGATCACCTCACGAATTAAAATATGATATGGTGACCCCCATCCGCCAATTTTGTCCTAACCTTTTGGCAAAATGGGCTAGGGAATCGATGAATGCGGGTTGCCCCTGCCCCCAAAATATGTGATAACTTGGTACGTTATGGTCAGGGTCACTAAAGAAGATATCCCCAATCCCCATATTTCCTTAAAATCACTGTGATCGTATTTCTTCGAATATTCTATTAAACTTATTTCAAATGAACGTCTCAGATCGTATCTCAGAAAATAAATAATACGAGTCCAGCAATAACAAGCGATAAGTTAACAAAAGTTGGCGTAGTGCCAGATGCTTTGGTAATGATCGCCACGTGTTCCTCTCTTGGTGTATTCTCTCCCATCAGATACATAGCGTGCTGAAGGTGTACGTGTAGTTTATAATTATATGTGAAATCTAATCATAAGCATATAGTTTTACTGGGCGGCGCTCAGCCTGTCATTCTGCCGAATTTTAATAGCCTGGGGTCCATTGGCCATATAATATATATAATATAGTTTAACATTATAAACAGTAAATCTAAACAGTTAGCAAAGTTGTATCAATATCATCAAACTATATTCAGCTATAGTTTCACCGAAATTGAAAGAATAATACCGCCTAATTCCTTATCGAGAATATCTTCAGATTTATTTAGTTTACTTAATATAATCAGCAAGAACTAACCTTGACAGTAGTGTGATTAATGAACTCCAGCTCACAATGCCCCCAGTCTGTATTAGTTCTAGAAGCTACGAATAGCGGCACCGTGTCATTGTAGCTGTCCTCTTTATCCGTCTTTGGGACGTACCTGGAAATGGATGAGTTGTTTGCGAAGTTTAATTTTGCAAAAATCACCAGGCGCCGGTGCTGAGTTGACTGTTATTATCCATATGAATTCTGGCTTTTGGTTTCTTTGGTTAAAGTCTGGAATGTGGTCAAATGTCCTAGTTCTCTACTAGTTGGAAGTGGTAAATTAACACGTACTCACTTGTATAAGCTCTGTCCTCCGTGGCCACATGTTATGTGAACTGGATACTTCACATTCTGGTACCTGTGACATGAAGGTTGGTGAGTTATCTGAGATAACTGACAGGTAAAATTTATATTGTGACTATACAGAAAAACAGTTGTTTACAACTATCACATTCAATCCTATTTAGTATTTATCGCGAAAGTCAGGAGTACGGAGACCTTCAAATATTACGTAATATTTACTGAGGGGTTTCTTAATGATTACGCTAGTTTAATTTCAATACAATAGCTATGTGTAAAACGGATAGTGATAACGGACGAGGAAGGGGTTAAAAATTGACCAAAAAGTTATTACGTAACATGTGACAGTGAACGACTCCTCAACACTAACAACAACAAATAACAAGATTTAAGAACTCACGATTTCACGGTCTCTACCCTGTTCCTGATTGGCCAGGTCCTCTCATAGTGATGCACGTGACCGTTAAGGACCAGGTCCACTCCGTGTTCCACCAGTAAAGTCTCGTAATACTCCTGCCACCCTTCAAATGGGGGCAGATCAGGGGGCCCTGAGTACTGGGGCGTGTTCGTCCCTGTCCAGTTCCCATGTATCCTGTCATGTTGCAGTCAGATATGGTGATATATTCGGCATAATGTCATGGTGCTTTCATATCCCAACAGGCCATAAATTGAATCTTAACATGCTTTAATCTTTACCCATTCAGAAATATAATGTTAAAATGGAGCTCCAGGAGAAAGATATACTACTTTGTGCATTCACAATATTGAGACATGAATATTGAATATATTATGTAATCAGGGATATATTGAGATTAAGTTGGAATCATTAATTCATGCTCGACACAATTAACAATTGAAAAGTTAATAATTTCTTACCTAATAATATGGTCCTTTTGCAGTTTTGACTTTTGCTATGTTGTATTTTCAATCACTGTACAGTGTACATTAATAAATTATGTGTAAAGCATTAATATAAGGCTTATTATATGGTAGTCGGTGCCACTATGTTCGATGGGCCCGCGATGTTAAATTTTATTAAATACATATTAAATTTATAATATCATTGGAAGTGATAAATAAGATTTAGATTACGAATAATAAAAATATCAAAATATTAAGAATCTCGCATAAAAACCTTTTCCTTCGTCCTTTCATCTCACTATTTATTGTTCAGATATAATGAGCACAGAATGTCCGGCGATGATATATCGCGAGGGAAAAAGTTCAGCAACCAAGAGGTCACACATAATTATTATAAGCGTTATTTAAGTTATAATCAATAATTGATAACCAACATGAAGCTTAAAATGGACCATAATTGGAGTTGATAATTTTACAATCGCCGCCCATAAGGTCAATTATTGAACCAATATTTGATCAAGTTGTTAAGTTACTAATGGGTGTCACAGTTACTTGTAATTCAATTTCATTGGTCCAACGGGAACGGTTTGTAACACTGTAAAATCCAACAACGGTTCATTTTTACCTTCATTTTTATTCAAACAATATCGCCGTATGTATTCAAAAGTCATTTCTGGGTCACAAATTTCCGAGATTTGGGTCACTGCTATTTATATCGCTCTTTGAATGATCTTAAACAAAACTCTGAAAAATCAAAATTCTATAGTCGTTAAATATAAATCAGTTAATGCTTTATAACTTTCAAATCCTTTGGACTCTCCGCCTTAACAAAATCTGCTAGTACTAAGTCAGTAAGATAATAAAGTTAGCTAAAAGCACTGCCAGGCTCACAAATACCCTAACACCAACTGAGCGTGTTATCGTAATGTTTTCTGTCGGTATGTCACTTCCCATCCTGTACATACGGTGCTGAAACGAGGGAATGTTAACTGTTACTTTGACAACTTTAACTGTTACCTTGACAACGTTAACTGTTACCTTGGCAATTTTAACCTTGACAATTATAATTACTGCCTTGTTATAGACTTGTTTTACCTTAGCGGTTTTAGCGTCAATAAAGTCAAGTTCGCAGTGGCCCCAATTGTTGTTATCTCTGGCGGCACTGAACATGGGGGGTACCTCATCATACGTGTTAGTGTCATTTGTATCCCACACAACTCTGAAGAATTTTAATTAGTCAGTAGTCACTAGTCAGTGTGATTGATCACAGTCAACAGGGTATGAAGTCATAATCATGACAGCTTACCAACAGCAGAAATATACGATAGATAAACAATGTTTCCAGAATTAAAACAATATATGTGAACTTTATAATTAGTTACCTGTACAGTCCCTTGCCCCCGTGTCCACACGTGATATGTATAGGTCTGTCAACCTTGTTGTACCTGAACAGATGGTAGTGGATAGAAAACACTATTTCTTCCAGATATTTCTTGGTTCATTATTGTCTCAATATCTCAAACCTCGTAATTTGCAAAACGCAAACTACTTAACAATAATTAGCGCAAACTAACACTTGTATTAAATCTAATAAACTATAGAAACTCACGACTGTATTAACTAACTAACACTTTTATTAAATCTAATAAACTATAGAAACTCACGACTGTATTAACTAACTAACTCATGTATTAAATCTAATAAACAGTGGAAACTCACGACTGAACAGTATCATTTCTGTCCCTGACCGGCCAGGACCTCTCGTAATGGTGCACGTGACCAGCCAACACTAGATCCACCTTATTCTCCAGGATCAAGTCCTCAAAGTGGTCAGGCCACCCCAAGTGGTAGGGCTTGTAACCGTCTGGGTTCTCGTATGCGTTCGTACCCGTCCAGTTTCCGTGATTTCTAGTGGTTTCTGGTTACCATGTGACGTTTATTGCAGTGATTTCTAACGGTTACCATGACGATCACGAGGATGATCCCCTAATTATCGGTAAATGTAAAAACTAAAAGTGTCCGTGAAATAATGTATTAAACGATTAAGTCACGACCCGAGATTTTAATGATGCGTTTGAAAAACGAAACAATTGAATACGATGGGACCCAAAGAATCTTAAAACGAGTAAATAAAATCAAAACATCGATCGAGAAACATAGCAATGACAAACAACGATGAATATCAAATATTATTGGTTTATGTACCAATCATGCTGTACCCATGAATTTGTTTTGGATTTTTGAATTGATTATAATATAGAGGTTATCCTTTCCAAATTTGAAGGTTAAATTGTATCCTCTAAATCGATTAAGATTTAGGCAAGTAAGATTTTCTGTCATAATCGTATTTGAATCAGAGTTTGACAAACATATTAAACAAAAAACAAGAATCTCGACTCTCAATGTTCACGCGCGATAATTCATGAACACGAAATTAAATCTCACACTTATGAGATATACACATATTTTTGGGTGGATATTAAAATATACACATATTTTTGGGTGGATATTAAAATATACACATATTTTTGGGGGACATTAAAATATACACATAATCTCACTTGTTGGAGTTATAGATGGGTCTGTGCTGGAATACAACCAGCCAAGGCCACTGTTTACGGTTCTGGTTCACTTTCTTCAGAACATTCTGGAAGAAAAAATATACATAGTTAACTGTGACATACATAATCAATTATCATAATGTGAACAGTGAAGGAACAAAACCTTTATTTACCACAGCTCTTTCTTTTCCCACAAACTCCACGATAAATCGAAGTTTTACTGTACACCATTATCAAAAGAGCATAATTGCATTAACTTTGTTTAAAGATAAGAAATTAAAACAGAGTATTAAAGTATTATAACAGAGTATTAAAGTTATATTAAAGCATTATCACAGAGCATTAAACTTATATTAAAGTACATATTATTAAAGTATTATTAAAGTTATATCAAACTGTTAAACACGAACCTTGAACCATTCCCCCTGGGTAGAGCTTGCATCAATAGACTCATCAGTAGAAACTGCTACGAAGTGCACCATACCCACTCCAAATGAGAAATAACGCTCGTTACCTGAAACTTATCATCATTAAACTGAAGATATTCCAAGAAGACAACTTAGCTGGTTTTGTGAAAGTCAATGTAAATCTCCATCTTATTGCTTTATTGGTTTGGGTGTAAACAATAGACATGTAACACACTCGAATTCGATTGGAATCGCACATTAATGTTAACAATAACTACTGACCCGGCATGATGAAGCGTTTGGTGTAGATTGTCCCGTTTTCGTTAGTAGAATCGTAAATGTCCAGCTCGTGGTTGCCTGGAACTGCCATGTAAGCCATCTTGCTTCCAACCGGCTCCACCATCTGGCCCCACGTGTCCCAAACTTTCTGAGAGGGGGTTATCAATAATGGATATCTGGGGGCCCTTTTACGATACCACCACTTTCAAGAATCAATTATTTCCAATTCCAGATCTATAACAGTATAACATACAGGCCGGGAAAACCAGAAAGCTTGAATTAAGTTCGGATGGATAACTCTGGGTAGATAAAAGAGCTGACTGCATGTTTTAGTTGTTGAAAAGATGACTAATCAAATACTTTACCTGCTCGGCGTTCTTAGGACGACTGTGGTTGAACTTGTTCGCATAGCTGATATCCCCACAGTGGATCAAGCCGTGAAACTGTTGTTCTTCCATCCTCTTCATCATGTCATTCGTTACCTTCACTGACGTCCTGAAGTTTTAGATGTAAGTTTTTGTTATGAATAACGTCCAGAATTTAAACTGGCCATGAGCAGATGCGAAATTTTGCAGCAAGTTCTAATATAGCTTTGCTGCTATAAGCTTCTATCAGGGAGAGAGGACAAGAGGGAGTTCACAATCGCAGAAAGAAAATAAATATATAAAGTCAACTGATTATAAACGTTTAAGCGTTTTAAATCCAAGTTACATAGGACGTGTATTTAGGAACTAATTCTAGGAACTGAAAGTTATCTACCCGAATGTTCCGACATCTCCAACATGCATGAAAGAGACGGGAGTGTTGGAGCCCGGATCTGGAGCTGCTACAAACTTTATCACTGCTGATTCCTCTCCGTTACTTTCGATCTGCGGGGGAGAACAACATTTTAGAGGTGAGATTGTTTGTAAACGTTAATTATAATTGTGGTTTGATACTGGGAGTGAAACCAAGCGAATGGCAAGGCTTAATTTGATATCAAAAATGAATGTCCTAACCATTTTCCCTATCATCAGTCCACTCACGACCCATTTTCTGATTTTCTGTTTCAACCATTAATATAACCATCTTGTGGACACACTTAATCTATAACCATAACAACGAGTGACATTACACCATAACAACCCTCAGAAGCAATAAGAACCTGATAGTAGTGGATCATGCCAGGTATGAGGTTAATCATGAGAGCCTCGTGTATGAAGCCGCTGGTGTAGTACCATTCACTCAGCTCCGCGTCCCAGTGCCATTTATACTGGTGGGAGATGGAGGTGGACGTGTAGTTCAGATCAGATTTTACTGGTCCGTAGTTAACCTGACGAGGTAGATAGATTAATGAAGTACTGTTTTAATTAGTAGGAAAGGAGAAATCAGAATTTACAAATCAAGGTTATGATATAATTTATTTTGCATTATTGAGTGATGATGAGTGATGATGAGTGATGATGAGTGATGATGAGTGATGATGACTGATGATGACTGATGATGACTGATGATTACTGTTGGAAATATACCAGCTCATGCTCAGTTCGTCCGTTCGTAGTCCACGTAATAGCCATTTCAGTTGGATCCCCTGAAACACATTCGCCGTTTATCTCGAGACATAATCTGGTCAGTATTCTTTCAAAAAACTAACGATTTCACAAAGTGGTATTATAATTAAACTTATATCCTATATTGAAACAAAAGTAGCGTTCAAACCAGTGTAAGAAAGTCTAATTTGATGAGGTTTCTTCATTTTGGACACGTCCAGCTGGTCTATCTCATCACCACACACTGGAGACGCAACTCCAGTAAAGTCTTCAATAGCCTTATCATAAGGTATACTAAACTCGTACGCTTCTCCGTTTTCTCCGTCTTCTCCGTCTTCTCCCTCTGATACTTTATAACTCAAGTTATCATTCGCCGCCCCGTTATAGGTAAATCCTGACTCAGACCGCTCCACAATGTTGGATACAGGGTCTCCAATTAAGTCCATTTTACTGGATACAAAGGAGACAACCACGAACAAAAGGAGTAAAACTGGCCTTCCTTTCATTCTGGGAAAGTGTTGAGTGAGAATTAGAGCAGTGGTTTATGAATGATACGAACATTAAGAACTAACCTTTAACCACCTACCAACCACCTACTAACCGCTTAACCACCTACTAACCGCTTAACCACCTACTAACTGCTTAACCACCTACTAACCGCTTAACCACCTACTAACTGCTTAACCACCTACTAACCGCTTAATCACCTACTAACCGCTTACTAACCTCTAATCGCTTACTCTGCCTTTCCTAATTTTGCCTCAACCCCTCCTACCCCTAAAACAAGCACACAATAAGAAGTGCACTGCAAAACACTTAATTAATCAACTATGTTGCTGAAATACGGTGGACAAAACAATAAATGGCACAAAACTAAAAATGAACACGTCGCTTTACAGGACAAAGTATAAAACAAAGTGTAATTTATAACCATAACGACCAGTGGCGTAACCACACCAACCAGCGGTGTAACCATAACAGCCATTACAGGACGAAGTATGAAACAAAGTTTGAAAAATCAAGATTCAAAGCAAAGATGTGCACCGTGTTACTTTTAGGCGGCGGCGGTCTGGACGCGCCGCCAAAATTGATCGGCAGCGGCGGTCTGACCGCGGTCTAACTATTATATATCCAAACCGCGGTCTACTATGTAAATGATGGTAATTTGGTTGTGTAACTGATGAAAATGAATTGATTTCTTGATAACACTCTACATTGAAGAACTAATTAATATCGTTAACAGCTGTATTAATTGTTGATTTGACGATTTGATACATCAAAGACCGCGGTATGGGTCAAAATTTCACGGCGGCGGTTTGGGTCAAAATGAATTAAATGATAGAATCTTACCGCTCTGTATAACTATATGTAAATACACTCAGTGTTATTGAGGTTAAAACTTTTTCAAAAAAATTGGCCTGATCAACAGTGAAGAAATGTTATTTTGAGAGATTTCACAAAAGCCTCAAAATAACGTAAAACGTGCGGTTACTATTTGCCTGCCACCCTGGTTCTTGGCAGGCTAAGTTATTAACTTATAGAAAAAGTGCCACCATGGTTTATGTTGTAGGTCTACGTTTCATTGATTCGGGCACCAATCAACATGGCAAACAATACTCGAGTTTTATCTAGTATCTATATGGCAGATAAAGGGTCAGTTTGACTGAAGAAGAAGAACACCAACCCTCACATTATCATAAAACTGGTGTGCAGATTTTAGCTGATAAGAGCCCGCCCCATTTAACTTCTCCCGATCGGATTGGTGGGAGCCTAGATCTTTCCCTAGTTCTAAACCACAAATGTAATTTAAATTTTCTTATTGTCCTGGTCCAGGATTCTGGATAAACCTCATCAGTTAATTAGTGGTTCAGTGAGATGTTATGCACTGGTGGTCAAATTCAATATGGTAGTGTAGAGATTGCAGATAATGAAATTACAAAATATTGGCGAAGGACCCTGTGACGTCACATTACACGGTTCATTGTAATTGGGTTTTTATTAATTCGGGGATTGTCTGTACACGATCAGCCAACTTAACGTTATCTCGCTGTAACGTTTTGTAGCCTAGTAATATTTAGGTAGAACAACTGAACAAGAATACGAGTATAACCGTAGCTACTGCAGTCGAAAAATCGGTCTGACTATCATGCCAAAACCGGGTGTGACGAACATAATAAAATCTCAAGTTCTCAAGTGTAACATTTGTAATTACTGTGCTCAGATTATGTATAGTACGGTAGTGTCTACTGACCGACTGAAGACTGAGCTAACTGTGTCGTCGGTGTAAAACAAGTACATTCAAAATGACAGTAGAAATATATTTATCGATGGTATCGGTAAAAGCAGATTCATCAGCACGTTATCATATGAAAATGGTAAAAGCACAGTTTTAATTAATCCATACATAAGGTGCTAGGAATATTGTGTCCATAACAACGACTATGAAGAGTATGAAAATAAATTCAATATGAGAGGTAGAACCACTTTAAAAATTGGATTAAATAAGGCTGAACAGTCGTGGGGGTCCCCCAGATCACAGTAAGTTACCACTTCTACAAGGTATACTGGTGATCGGACCACTGTACAATTATACAATTAGTTACCACTATTTACCACTAGTTACCACTAGTTACCACTAGTTACCACCAGTGGCGTAACGTTGCCTGTTGGCGCCCCCCTGCCGAAAAAAAGCGCCCCCCTGTTGGCACCCTATCCCCTTTTGGTGCCCCTCCCTAAAATTGAACAAATTAGGTGATTTTAGAGAATACGCCGGTAAAATCTATAAAAAAGTGTTTATCTAGAGCAAAACGCGCAGTTTTGCTAGTACTTTAGTTAAGTTTTCGAAATTGTCCCACATTCAAACGACGATTTGGCGCCCCCCTAAGACGGCGCCCCCCTGCACAGCGGGGTCAGCAGGGCCCTTCGTTACGCCACTGGTTACCACTAGTTACCACTAGTTACCACTAGTTACCTGCACTTCTACAAGGTTAACTGGTGGTACTGGTAGAGAGATCACGTGATCTTTTTTTGGAGAATAGAAACTTTCTGAGAAAGTAACTTTCTTTATTCTAGAGACTAAATTACTAGATTTCTATCTACACAGTGAAAATAGTGGGAGTAGCAGGCTTAATTAGTACCTGACAAATTATGACTGATAAAGATTTTGAAAGAATGCTGTGAATTAGGCAATTTAAAAGTTTAAAATCGGAAAGTTCGACCTTAAAACACAAAAATCACTAAAATCGTTAAAATCAATAAAATAACTAAAAATAGTTGTTAATGTTAGTGTTACAAATGTTTGAGTCAGCAAGGTATTTTTATAATAATCACAATTATACGTGAAGCTTATTCACTTTGTGAGAAAACTTTCCGGTACCACACAATTGAGCTCATATTATTTTGCGAATTGCGTGACCAAAACGTGACAAAACAGATGTTTGCTCATAAATCCTCAGGAAAGCATACGTCATGGGAGTGATTCGGAATCAGCGTCCAAAAATACATCGATTGACGTTTATGATTATGTGTTGCCTCCCGTCGACTGTCTGACTATTAAACAAATAAAACCATTCCATATAAGTGTGGTGATTCAATGGAAATATGTTCTGTCACAGCGTAGGTATGTATTTCCCGCTAAAGATACATTAAATGTTTAAACCTAATTACAAAACTAAATTTATTACATTTACTGATGAAAGGATGAAGATGTCTAACATCCAGAATGCGGCCGGACGGCGTGAGACTCTAGGAGTGGGACTCTCGGAGTGAGACTCTCGGAGTGAGACTCTCGGAGTGAGACTTTCGGAGTGGGACTCTCGGAGTTGGACTCTCGGAGCGAAACTCTCGGAATGAGACTCTCGGAGTGGGACTCTCGGAGTGAAACTCCAGAAGTGGGACTCTCGGAGTGGGACTCTCGGAGTGAGACTCTCGGAGTGGGACTCTCGGAGTGGGACTCTCGGAGTGGGACTCTCGGAGTGGGACTCTCGGAGTGGGACTCTCGGAGTGGGACTCTCGGAGTGGGACTCTCGGAGTGGGACTCTCGGAGTGGGACTCTCGGAGTGGGACTCTTGGAATAGGACTCTAAGATTGGGACTCTCGGAATAGGACTCTAGTAGTGGGACTCTCGGAGTGGGACTCTCGGAATGGGACTCTCGGAATGGGACTCTCGGAGTGGGACTCTCGGAGTGAGACTCTCGGAATGAGACTCTACGGTGCTGTACAAAACAGGACTCTACGGCGTGGAGAAATGTTCACTTTGTTTGTTATGACAGCGTTCTACAAAAGTATCCTAGCAGAAGCATTATACTAAGGAACAGTTCCCCTTTTCTGCCAAAACCTTATTTAAAGTTTTCATTTACAATAGAATTACAGATAAACCTCAAAATATCAACAGATGGGAAACTTTTTTTTCATTCAGGACAAAAGCATTTGAAAATTTAGATCGAGCTCTACTATGAGTATATATTTTAAGGCCCCGGGGCCTTAAAAGGTAACTTTACATGCCAATGTTTTTGATGTTACGTCATGAAAAGGTTTAATCCTATAACCATAGTTACGTGCATGTCGACCTCATTGTAGACTAAGACAGTGATATCAAGCGCTCCTACTAAATCGCTCGCCCAAATGAATTCAAAGCATAAAATACCATGTTTAACAAAGGAATGAATAAAAATGAACGACTTCAACACCCAGGGATATTGTGATTTACACATAACGGTGCTACTGCCCATAATCATACCGAATATGGAGTTATGTTATGTGAGTTAATCAAGGTCCGCCGCGAGTGGAATTGGAATTCTTTTGTCTTTTCTCATATAATTATGATATAACTCCCGACATCTGACAAGATTTGCTCACAAAGTTTGTAACTGGATTAATTAGAATTCCCGACAATAAGGCCCCTCGGTTAGCAGATCTGATTGAAATTAACTAGTCAAAATCATTCTGGTTTGTAACTAAGCATTCACGCAAATAACTCCGAGTAATTTAGCTAGTGAGTTATGTTTAATTGCGAAAGGGGGTTTATACAGGTGAGATAACAACAGAGATAAAATCGGACAATGTGTTTTACTATGCTGAAGATTACCACCAACAGTATCTTTACAACGCGGAGGTTACTGTTCTCTGCGAGGAACAGGAGTTAGGAGCCATCTACTTAGGACGTCCGCGAAAATCGCAGATTTTCAGACCCCCCCCCTCTACTCCCCCCTCTACTCCCCCCTCTACTCCCCCCCCCCCTCTACTCCCCTTGGAGGACTTCGCCGCTTCGACGCGCCGCGCAAACTAGCGGACGTCCTAAGTTCTTTGCAAGGAATAGGAGTTTAAATGTATTTTGTAGTTTCAACATTCGTACAAACATTTCTGTTATTGCGTGGAGAAAATGTAATGTTTAAGACTTTTGGTATATTCTTTTTGATCTAATTTGTTTATTAAGTGTTCGATTTGGCCTACCTATTTTTACAATGCACGATGATAAGAAATTCAAAGCACATTTAATTTTTTT